ACCTTTAAATTATATGTATGGTCGATAACGTCATGAGCTCAGGTTGGAAATTAACAACATTGTATTCCGTTCACTACACACAATAAAATTGTTGTTTTATGTAAAATCTCTTTCCCGCCTCGCCTCACTCAGTTTTCGATAAAAAAATATAAAAAAAAGATTAAAGCATATTGAGATAGTGCTATCAGCGTTGCCCAAGTGTCTATAAAAATAATTGACAAGGAGGAGGATAAAGAGGATTATACTGTAACACACAAAGGTCGGTCAGTCATGTCATGTCCTCATGTCAAATATTTTCGCTTCCGCCCTTCCTACTCGGTCAATAAGAATTGTTTTTCGTTCGTGCGCTCTAAAGTAAATTTATAAATATTTGAAACAAATATACAACATGCAAAAAACCGGCTTTTTTTCGCAGGTCGCAAGAAAATAGAGCTTATCCACTCTTAGTGGATCATGGGGAGCACTATGTTTACTGTCACATGACTGATGACCTTGACAGCTACGGGGGTGGTGGATGTACGCAAAAAGGTACGTTGTTTCTTGTCACTCTTACCCTAGATCCACATATTCGCTTTAGAAGGAAAATTTGGCATTTTATGCTATCGTCTTTTTGTGCCCAGTAAATTCTCAGATATTTCGAGGCTTATTTTATTATTCGCTAGTCTGTTTTACTGAAAGTTGTGACCGAGGTAGGTCACCATATATCGCTTTTAATGATATCCTACCTGATCATATAAAGAGCTGAAATTCTCCTTCATGTTATAATAGATGGTTTTAGTACATGAGATCGCTTGCAACATTATCGATTCTCACCGTTACCATAAACACCTTGTTTCGGAACAAAACTATTTTAAGATCATCATACATTTTCACTATGCCATTAAGTAATTACCTGAAAACCAACAGATGGATAAAAAAGACACAAAATGGTGAAAGATTCTTTAAGAACTGGCGTGAAAGTTATTAGCCCTGTAAATATTCAGCAAATATACTTTGAAGCATATATATTTTTTAACACTATAGACGATAAACAGCGATCGAATTTTAACAACTAATAGGCAAATTTATTAAAAGAAAACTTGTTCTCGTTTAGATTCTTGCTAATCTAAGGCGATCGATTTTTGAGGCAATTGTAAGATGTCTCGGTATGAAGATCGGAAACCAAAAGGAGATTATTGTCATCCAAAAACAGGCGAGCTCTCTTTAATCACCGATCACTGACGGACAATATCGTGGCACGTCACTTGGTCGTGACGCGTGGAAGGCGCTGATCGGCCCGTTTCAATGCTGTCGGTGACAGTCTTTACTCTAAAGCAAGAGCCGGCATAATTTCCGACCAAAGAAAGCATTGCAACAGCTGTGATTCTAGAATCGGCTTTGGTACAGGAGGGAAGCCTGAAAACTTCAAGACATGTGAGAACGAAGCAACGCACTCGCCAGATATGGAGAACAACACCTCAAAGCCATGGGGTACATTTTGGTGCAGTGACATGGAAATCAATACATTTTTACAGAAATAAGACTGAAGCCAGTCGAATGCGACTCGTAGATATGTAGATGTATCAAACTGGGTACAAAGAAATTGGACACCAAATCTTTAGTATTCAAATTCCATCTGCTTTTATACTCCCAAATCGAATTTGCAAATTTTTTTCCGATCTAAAGTAACAATTTTTTCGTTTTTAGTCCTTAGGGAGAGGGGTGGAGGGTCGAATGAACAGAAGCCCTGAACTCAGTTGGAGGTAGTGAGTCGTACCTACCCTTCTCTGTTCAGATTCATCTGATCGATGAATTACATACAAGTAGTTAGCTGTCTTGTATCCTTTGGGAAGAATAGAAAAAAGTAGAGATTCTGCCATAAAATAATAAAAACGAACAAACAAACACAAAAAAAGGAGAAAGTGGAGCCTTGCAGGTAATTAAATGAACGGTGTCTCGTTCCCACCGTTAGATTCATTAGATTAATAAAGTACGAATAAGTGGTTCACTGTATGGCATCGTTTGGTAAAAATGGAGGTAAGTGAGGTACTGCCGCGAAAAGTTGCCATGCTCGATTTTTGTGAAATACAGACTAGTAGCTTCAAGGAAAATGCAAACGTAATCCTTCTGTAATTTTCACTTCATAATATTTGTAAGGTTTAGAAACTTGTTTAAGTTGCCAGAAGAGGCTTTCTCCTTCCTCTCCCTCTTCGCCCATCCATCACATCCATCACATCCATCCCAGCCTTTTCCCAACGTCCCAATGTAAAATGCTGTAAGGTTTTTCACTTTTTGCTTCCTCAAAAATTTCTCGAGTCATATTCATGTCCTTCATGTTTTCAGTAAGTACTTGAGAGTAGATAATAAAATTATAGTATCATTAAAACAATAATAGCAATAACAACTTTCTCACAATAAAATAACTACGATGAAAACTTAGAAGTAAACGAATTTGATCAAAGTAATCCCTCTGATAAAACTGGTTAATGAATCACGATAGAATTGGAAAATCGCATACACCAACCCGCTTACCGACCTCGTATCTACATAACAGATATAAGATGTTACATTAACCAATTGCGACCACTCTTTTTATATCTGAAGGTTCTAATATTTCTTAAGAACAGGCTGCAGGTTTGCTAATGTTGGTCTGTGTACAGTTTCCTGTTGAAAAAAGATCATAAGGACATACTCTATTCAGTATCTATAAACACATGTTCTAGGCAGTTGAACGTTTAATCATAACCAGTACAATTTCCTAAAATGTGATTGGTACATTAGCTGCGTTATTTTTCACTTATCACTCTGTAAAGCTGTAATCGGACAGTATAATCGGCCAGTTGGCTGTAATCGAACACGTGTAATCGGACAGTTGAAGTAGTCAATCATACTAAGTCCACTCAGCCAAATCCACCAATCACACAATTAATCACAATTACCATAGCAACAACCACTTATCCTGAAAAAATTGTAGATTTTCCAAAGTTGAGGAATTTTTCACTTAGGCATTGCCTCTACTGGACCTATTTGTCCTAAATGCATTTGCTGTTTTCGGATATTGTAACAGTTATGATTGATTGGTAACAGGACTTTGTGTCGTCCAATTCTGTATGTAATCAAACTCGTGATTAACAAATCAGACTCCCGCTTCGCGGTCGTTCAATTTTGTTTATCACTCTTATGATTATAGACATAATTGGACTCCACTCGGTCCTAATACCAATATCAATTCTGGTTGCAAACTTCACTGAAGTTGATTCTCGATTCCCTTTGTCTCTTGGTCTCAGCCATAGATAATTTGGCTTAGGAGTTGTAAAAAAATTGTGAATCAACTAAGTACGACACGTTCCGCTTGACAATGACATTTGTCTGCACAACTCCCATCTAAAAACAAAGTTATAAGATAAAATTGTTGGTGGTGTTCTTTTACTTGCCTTGGGGTTCATTTTCTTTTCTACAAACTTGAAGTCAACCAGTGGTATAACAGATGGCCTATGTAAAAGCCAAACAAACAAACAAACAAACAAACGGTCACCGATGGTGCAATCACTATCATCATGAACATTACTGTCATGATCAATATCATCGTCATTATTAAATAGTTAAATGAGTAAAGTATAGCAAATCCTAGTAATACACTGCATATACCATTAAAAGGACTGACAAACACATTAAGTGGAAAACCCTACTTTGAATAAAACAACATTTCTTAACCCACACTTCACAAATATGATTTTCATATAACCACAGTCATTTAAACCCTACTTTATTAAGCCGAAGTAGAACATTAAGTCGAGTACCCTGCACTTAATGACTGAACGGGAAGGCCGAATGGGCAAATATTTTGCAAGAGGTCTTAAGGTCTGTACCGATGAACGACAACGAAATATTTTCCCTTCTTACCCAAATTAACTCAGTCAATAATAATTTTATTATGAGACTACCATTTTTTTCCTCTCTCAGCCTGCATCTTCAAGAGCCGTAGGGTTTTCCTTCTCCGTTTGTGCCACAATTTAAAGCCATCGGAAAAGGATTTTAAATGAGTTTTCATAAAATGCACACGCATATGCAAGGCTGTGAGGGTCATAAGATGGATAAGTTCGAGACCCATGCCAGTTTCACTCATATTCAAGGACTCCTGAAAAAAATTATGGCCGCTGGTCCAGACTGTTTTTAACCTAGTGCTTATATGTTAGCCAATAATAAAGCATACCGGCATATACAAAAAAATGACAGGCTCAGGTGGTTGCATCACTTACCTGCCATGTGCACATTGAAAAGGTAACTGACACTTAGACAGACTATGGATTAGTTCCTGACACTCAGCTGTGCCAAGAGGCTCCCCAAACTTAACAGCACCTGCAAAATAAAGAAATGCCTTCAAAATGGTTAAAATTCATGTAAAATGAGGTCACATCATAAAGAAACAGGAAATAAATCAATTCATTTTCTGCTTACTTTAAGATCTACATGTATTCTTCAGTAAACATAGCATTTATTTTATTTATCTCTACGTTCAGCTAGAATGAGTGAAGACTTGTTCTCCAAGTGGAGGAATTGTTGGACAACTATTTAGCACACAACTATAACTATGATTACATGTGAATTCCATGAAATAATTTCAAACATAGTTTGTGGGAAATATGAGTCGTTTCAGGTACCTCTCAGTGCTACTAATCAAAAGCTGCAACTTCTAATTGACAACAGAAGCATCAGAGAAATCCTTCTCTTTATCATAACATGTCAGCGTTTTTAGCTAGAAAAAGTTCGTGTATGTAAAAACCTCTGCGCTTAAGCTATCTGTTCATACCATGGCAAGCCTGGGAGCTGATCACATCAGAAATAGCCTTGGGAATAACAGGAGGTACTCCGCGTGTCCTTGAAAATTGCTGTTGACAATATCAAAAGATCCTGTTATAATTATAAGAAATTAAATGCTTTCAGACTGCACCACCCTAATGACTGCCTTAAAGAAGTATTTGGCCAAATAAAGTGTCAATAACTGTTTACTCCAAAGTTACAAAGACTACAAAAATCAGTTATCATACCAGTCCTCTGGCTTCAAGACATTCATACTCATTTCAACAACAGCAAAACAACAGCGATGCATTCTATTTACTATAAGGACTGAAGGTTGACTTGTTCGAACATTAAACACTGAACGATCCAAACTTGGATTTTCTGTTTTTTTAGGCTTCGGTTTTAACAAAAAATTTTTTTAAGCACTTCCGATTTATTCGACCGTGAATGTATGAAAGTTATATATGAGAACTGTGGTTTAAGAAATGAATATGAAAGCGATCTTCGCAGTAATGAACACAACTTAAGCAGTACTGAAAATAAGACCTGAAAAAAAATTCAACCCTGTACGGGATTTGAACCCATGAAAAATTGAATATATTTCCAAAACTAAAAGCTAAAATACTAGCAATTGAAAAAAATACGAGCAGACATTCTGCTCATTGCACACATTTTTCTTCCTTCCTACGGGGCTTGGAAAAGACTAAGCCACTCGTGAAATATCCGCCCGTATTATGCGTTGAACAAAGCGACTAAGTTGCACCTATTTATGAACAACCCTTTTTTATGATCAATTTTGCAATGATATATGTAAATACTTTTAGCCTTATCAAAAAGTGCAACTTACTTCAAGATGTTCTCTGATCAGCCCCTAATCAGGAAATATAATGCCCATTAAAACACAATTATTCTTTACATGTGACAGATTACAGACTGAGACTTGTAAAGTCAACACAGAAGATAACTCATTACTCTACGCTACAACCATTTTGGTCTCCATTGCCGCTAGCAAAAATTTACGTATTGAATCCACAGTAAAAGTCTCCCTTCTGAGGAAACCTGTATTCAGAGGTCTAGAGCAAGCTGTAACGTTTCAGGGAGCTAAAATTTGTTCAGAGTATCTTGTAATATTGCTCGAATTGTCCCTTTCCGTGTTTTTTTTCCCTTACGATTTAAGCGTTATTTTGTTTTAATAGGGTGAACGTTTTTTTCATCAAAACTTGCCCTAGGGTGTCTGAGTTTAGAGTTGTGTGACTAGATCACTCCAACATTTCTGGTTTCACATGTACTAATACTTTTAAGAGAAATTAGTTAGTTGTCAATACAGGGAGTGAAAGGTTTAAGTTAAGTGATGTCCAGAATGGCCTGGTTATGTTAAATTTATTTGAAACACAACAAATCAAAAAAAGAAAGGGCAAGTATCTGCTTAAAGGGAATTTCATTTACAAGTATTTCCAATTATAACAAGAACAACTTTGCCAAACTTGAGTTTACACCCATTTAAAATAATTGATAATACCTTCACATTATCGACAGCAACTGAAGGTCTTCCACGCTTGACTTCAGAAAACTCTCGTTCGACAAAAACAGACGGTACGCTATCCACAAGGACTGATACGTCCTCAGAGGATTCTGATGATTGGCTTATCAGAAAACGTATCCCAATACGTTCTATTTCAGCTTGAGAAGCTTTCAAGAGCCAAATTTCCTCTTGAGAAAAAAATAGTTTCAGAGGAGGTGAGACTGTTGAGGACTTGATCCTGGGTTTTCCTCCAGTTTTTGTGTCACTGCCATCTCCAAAGAGTTCTATGATCAAAAGACAATTATCATTGCATTAAGTATCAAGTAAAGCAACGATCCTCACAGGGGAGCTGAAATTTTTCAAGCTTCGACTGGATTCGAACCCATGTCTCCCGGATACTAATTGGGCTCAACAAACAACTGGGCTAAGAAGCCACAAGATGGGAACAAGGCGCAGTGTTGAAGAGTTCTTCTTTCCGTGGAGGAATCTGGTCACAACTTCTAACAATTCAATCTTATAATCATGTGTCTATGTTCCTTATTTGTAACACCACTGATGACCAATCATAATACACTCACAACTTAAAGGAAACCTATCATTATATTGTCGTAAAAAATTTTTCGCAGCACAACCATACCTGATTGAAGACGTTCTAATCGAACTCGCTCATGCGCAGCGTGTTGATCTACCAGGACGAGTAAGCCATCAGCTCCCTCTAATTTTCGAAGACCAGAAAATTTCAACAAGTATCAGTTAGAAGGAGTAAAAGGGCTTCCACTTACTTACATGCACATCAAAATTTCCTCTTATCGAACCTTTCCTGCTTTTGCTTCTTTCCACCCAAACAGTGCTGTGCTTTCTTGAGGTCAATTAACATGTCATAATCTGTGATTCTGATCCGTTTCCTTCACAATTGCACATTTTTTAAACAATTAAAAACAAATCAAAAAGAACATTTAACTTGATAACCTTTTCTTCTTGAAATAATACTCTTTAATTGTATAGCTGGGTTTACCCTCAAAAAGCGAAAGTTCACAATAAAGCAAATTGCAGTTGTTGCTGTTGTTGATGTACTACAACAAACTTAAATCATCATATTATCTATGATCGTGTGGTCTGATCAACCACCTGGAGTAGTGCACAAAAGACAGATATGACTAAGACTAATGTTTTGGCAACCCGAGTGGAAGTCACCATCTGATTGATCAGTATTGTCTTGATTTTCTCCCTTGTTAAACTCGAGAAGACTACTTATTCACCCTTTCCACCCAATGATCTCAATGATTTCACCATCAATTCTCTTCCTCCGTATATTTCCTATAATATTTTGGCTTTGAGTATTAAGTGCTAAACCAAACCATGCCCTCAAGTTGAATTTTCTCAATCTATCCTATCACGACCGACTTACGCCACTTTAGTCTTATAGCCAGTAACATCACAGCTAAACTGACCAATCAGTATACACGAACAGGACTTAGTACACCCGACTGACAACAACTCTTCACTTGACTTTGATGATGATTCCACTCAGGTTGTAGAAACATCAGTCACCACTACTGACAACAGTCCATCGCAGGACTGCACCCATGCAGACGATCAGACTACACGATTCCTTGTCGAGTTAATTTGACACAGACAATAATTACTGAATGGTCATGAACTTTGCCAAATGAATGACTGCTTTTGATAAGCCAAGCATCTCACCTTCATGTGATACAACTCCCACGATAAATTTCTCATCCAGTTGTCGCAACACCCTCATGCTGGTCAACATCTCTTTTGTGAAACGGTACGGATGAGCCACATTATGCACTGAGATCTGCGATTTATCCAAGCCTGGTTTGTTGACCATAAGTATATCCTAAAAAAAAAAAAACACACCTCCACTTGTGAGAATCCGCAAAAAGGGGTTAGTGAGACTTTGCTGACCTCAGACAGCTCTCTCAAGAAAGAAACATAACTGGTTTAGTAGACCTTAAATTTTAGAACATGTTTCCCAAAAATTCCTAGTCTCATGCAAAGCTGCTTTAGTAAGGAATGCCAATTCCCTTTCCGTACAATTTATGGTGCTGGCAAGAGTGCAGCTCTTCTTTCCATTGCTTTACTTGTGGCTAATCAAGAATTATTTCAGTGTAGTACATCATACTGAGGAACATTTCGAAAATTTTTTGGCCTTTCCCAGAATAAAATCATAAAGAAGCTTTGTGCTTGATTGTTGTTTATGACAATAAGGCTATCACAACGATTAAGGTATGGCATCAAAACATGTGTGTAGTTGTGAATCCAACGTGGCATTAGTCTTTGGCCATAAAACTGCAAAATAAAACTTGGCCGATATCCAGCCATGTTGACCAAACAAAGCTGGTCAATAACGCATATGTATTGTCAGTGCGCCACTAGTGCCTATGCAAGTGTAATTAAAATTCCATTTCCTGACCTTTTCTGGAGCAGCAAATACAGGATTTTTCCAATTGTCAAGCAGCTGTGTCACAGTTTTTCCTCCATTGTTAAGTAGGTCTTGTTCATAAGCTTGCAGGGCACCTGCATCAGTCCACTTACAGAGCTTCTCTTCTGCTTCTTGTTCTTCCAAGTGTTTCTTGTATAAAAAGGCCAAGTGAGAATCACCCATTCCTAAAATGTACAGAAACATGCAAAGTTGTTTCTCTAAAGAGCAACTGAAGTTTGAAAGGAACTGCCACACACATATTGCCCAGATATAAATGTTTTGAACTAGAACTCTTAGCAATGAAGTTCTGTTCTCTCTTCTGGTTGCCAAACATCTACTTGCAAACTAGTTGAGAGAATTTGCTGATACATGTACACACACTGAAAGACAACAAATGTTGTACAGGCCTGATTTTTTTTTGTGCCTTATTTTCACTACTGCTTATAAGTAGTAGTGTTTCTTACAGCAAAGATCAATTCCATATTCATTTCTTAGTCCCAGTTGACATATATGATTTTCATATATTCACAGTTGTTTATTCATTGAGTCACTGGTTTATTACAAATCAGTTCCCAGTTGGCTTGTTAGCTTAGTTGGTAGGGGACTGCAGGGTGATTACAGAGGTCATGAGTTCAAATCCCATACAGGCACGAATTTTTTTCAGGTCTTATTTTCAAGACTGCTTATTATTAGTAGTGTTTATTACTGCCAATATTGCTATTGTACTCATTTCTTAAACCACAGTTCACATATATGATTTTCATATATTCACAGTCAAACCCCTGAATGAAAGTGTTTCTCCTCTAATGTCACCTGTTTGCAAGATAGGACATTCAGGTAAATTTTAAGGAAAAGTCAATAGTTCAATTTCCTCTTGTAGTCCAGAAAACGGAGTAGCAATGCATATACCTCAAAATAAGAGTAGAAAAAAAATTGCAAATCTAACTTTTTAAAATCCATTTATAAAATATTATTTCATCGACAGAGCCAAGATCAACATTACCCTCAGTACCTGTGGCAGGTTCCTGTTTCCTATCCTCCCGTGGAAGCCAAGGGGTACACAAAAAGGACAAGTGAGAGGCACACGGGTGTGGCACATGCTGTCTACGGTCCTCTTCTTTCCCACAAAATTCAGTTTCACTTAACACTGAACAGTCATCATCTTTAATACTGAATTCATTTGGTGCTTCAAAGGAAGAGTGTCCAGTTCGACTGTTGATGAACAATTTTCTTCCCAAAGATGCATCAAATGTACAAAACCAATCCTTGTTTGAAGAACCTAACATTCCTGTGTGGATTTCAATTGTATCAGGATTCATGTTAGATTCTGATGTCAATGACTGGTGACTAGATTTGCCTTTCATTGGAAGCAATTCAGTCTTTCCAGGATTCCCTCTTTGATGGCTGTTGGTGTCTTTGGGAGATTTTTCTATGTATCTGCCTTTATCAACTTGCTCAGAATACAATTCATTTTCAAAACAACCAAGTACTGCAGAGGTATCTTTCCTAGTAGGAAATTTTGATACACAAATCTGATCTGTGGTTTTATCTGAATAATATTTTCTGAGATATGAAGAATCACCTGAGCCACAGGTCTCTTCAGCAACCACAGCCACACCAGCCTTGTTTCCCGCACTGTGTACTTCAATGCCGCACATAGCATTATGATCCAAACTGTCATTTGCAATTGTTTCTTTGACAAAATAATTGCTAGAATATGCTGATGACTTAGTATTGCAATTGTCATTAACAGGAGCACCACCTGCATCACAGTCACTTCTCTTGACATTCATTGATTTTCTCCTGTCTAGAACAAATCTGCTGTTACAGTTTCCTTTCAGGGTGATTACCTTCCTATTCTTTGATGGTGATGCTAACTCATCCACTGATGCTTCCTTGGTTTCTTGCAATCTCTTCCTGGTACACTGCCTATTCAGAAAAATAGGACTTGGAGAAGTAAAAGTTGACAATACACCAGTTTTCCTTTCACCTTTTGTAGAAGCAACAGAGGATTGATGATTGTTTTGGCGTGTTGAATGCACAAACATTCCTCTGTGTTTTGGACTATTAGAATCAGATAGATAAACTTCTCTCTTTACACCTTCATTATTTCCAAGTGTTCCAAGAGATAACAATGAGCCAGTCACTGTGTTCCTCATGGAGCTATTTGATGTATCACAGGCATCCAAACTACCAGCAGTGTTCCTGATTGACAATTTAAATGAGTTGCTAAAACTGTTATAACCATCTTTGCTGGTGGAAATATTTCTCACATCATTTAATTCATAACATATGTCGGCAGGCAAAATTAATTTGTGACTGGCAACTGCACCATTTACCGCATTTTTTATTATCTGGGCATGAACTGATTCACTGTCTGTAAAAGAACTGCCAGTCAAAGAAACGCAGAAAGATTTTTCCTTAGTGAGGAGAGAGCTACTATTGTCTGCAGCTGTAACCAAAGTGTTAGTATTTACCAGTCCTGAAACAGGATTTGAACCTGAAGCAACAACATTTCCTGATGAAGTTATTTGATCTTCACTTTCATCTCCATTGTTCCTATCATCAGTGGATTTAATTTCTTTATCAGAGCTAGAAAAGACAGGAAATTCATTCTCTGAACAAGAAGTGTCAAGAAGTGATTCAACTTTTTTAACTCCCCTTGGCCTCAAAACAGTTGAAGAGTGCAAGCTCTTGTTAACATTGCTGGTTTCAATCTCCCTTTTGTACTCAAAAGCCTCAAGATTAGCATAACATGAAGTTTTCATAACAGGTCCATCCTCATTTGACTCTGATACATCTGAGGTTGCTGAATCTTCCAGGTTGGAGAGCAAGTTTTGTTCAACCAGAAATTCTTCAATACATTTTTCCACACAACTGAGGACTTTGTCCCAATTCTGAAATTCAATCAATGTCTTTGCTGGCTCAAGGCAAACATCATATTCAGTGACAAGACAGTCAATATTTAGAACAAATATACCATGTTTCTCAAAAATCTTTGTATTCTGAGGGCTCGTTGTTTTACTCTGGTGGTTCTCTGATCTGACAGTATCTTTCTCCTCAGGCAAAGGCAATCTCTTCAAATGCTCTGATTTTGCGAGAATGCTATTCACAAGCTTGTGAAGTCTTGTCTTCAGTATTAAACGCCTATTTATATACAAAAATTGCAGACACTTACTATGGTGTGTGTCGGTTGAAATAAAACCAGAAACTTTGAAGTTGTCCTGTTCAAATTGTACTTGTTGCAAATGTTTTGATCTTTGGTTGCCAAACAGCTGAGAGAATGCTGAGACAACAGACTTGCAGTCATGCGTTCGAAGGCATTTCACACCCGATGAATCGTTTATCAATGTGAATGCAGTCTTTGGGTTTATAAGAGCAATGGATGCAATTCTATGCCGAACACGGTCAAAGTCAAGTGTTTCCATGATAGCTTTACGTCTCACAGGAAGGTTTGAGAAAAGCCCATGAACTGTTACACTTGTTCCACGGATAGTTCTCGGAAATCGGGACTCTTTGAGCTCAAGGACTTGAGAAGTTCGAAACAATTTGCAGTAAGTTTGATGAGAAGACCGATGACGGGTGGATATTTCTAGCACATCGCAAATCTCTCGTATACTTGCAAGAGCTTCTCCTCTGAAACCATGAAAACTCAGCTGTTCCAAATCTTCAAGCACATGGCATTTACTACTCGAGTATCGCTCTCCAACAAATCTCAGATCTCCGTGGGTTATACCAATACCATTATCGCACACTTGGATCTTAAAATTCGGAATGTCTATCCGAACTGTGATGCAGGTAGCTTCAGCATCTAAGCTGTTCAAAACAAGTTCTTCGACGCATTGCGTGAAGTTGGTGATGGCGACCCCTGATCTTAGACGAGATCGCACCTCTTCTTGCAGAGGGCGGATCATACCTGGCAGTAGAAGGAGATTACATATTTTTGCGAACTAAGTGACTTGGCCAGACATAATCACTATACCTTTCAGGTGTCATGATGTAAATATTGCACGCAAGATCTCTGCCGATACGCGCCATAATGAAATTCTGCGCGCTTAAGATATCCCAGGGACCTTTGTGGGTTGCTTGTGAGGCCACTCTTTGGGACTGATACATAAAGAGGAAAAAGGCGCCATTTTGATTCTCTGGCAGCAAAATGTTGCTCTCTACGAGTAGAAGTAAGTATATTCTCTTCGTTCCTTGTAGACTCGTTGCTTTTTGCCTCTTTATTTCTAAAATTGTTTTCTCTCTTTTGATCTGCAGTGGCCAAGTCAAAATCAAAGTGAGTGATCTTTCGTTATGGAATTTTAATTGGTAATGATCTGAGTCGCGATCGGCTGCAAAAAAAACATGCGTGGACAGTCTTCAGTTCTGTGTTTGAGATCCTGGCGAGTGAATACGCAATCTTGTTGAAATTAAAGTTAGGCGTGTTATGAAGTGGTTCATACTTACAACCGAGAGATCGATAACGCTGTCGTTGTGACAGCGGCATAGATCCACCGAGATCGTAAAGAATTAACCTCGTTATTACTTAATTGTTTTGTAGGCGCATTATTGTGCAACTTGTTAGTATGGCTGGTACTGGATATTATTACATGATGTCCAGGAACAGACTCAAACCCAAGCTGGAGTTCATGAAATACGATCCAATCGGTGAGTGCGGCTTGTTGATAACAGCGTGGTTGGAATAGTGATAGATAGACAGCAGGCCAGCAGTGTCCACGTGAACTGAGGACATGGTAAATTGGTGATGGAAGGGAGGGTAGATGTCCGTCTTTGCGGACGAATTATTTGTTTTGTGGTTCATTATACTGTTGAACATCAATTTAGTGGATTAGAGGTCGAGGTTTACCATAGAGATGTTGACTAGACCCAGATAGTGATGTGTACATCTTCATGCTAACAACTACGGTGATGCAAGTTATTTTACAACATAGCTAGTAAATTTGTCTAATCAAATTCAATTGTGTGAGCATGCTTCATATTCCTATTGTGCACGCTCATGATGTCAGCAAACAAATCCCTCAAGAAAAAAATTTTCCTTTGGGTTGATAATGTTATAAAACATTTGGTTCATAGGTCAGCTGTGCATTCATTGAGATATGAAGCACTTGGGAAGTTTGGAGAGCGCTCAAGAAGCTAGAGTTGCTTGAGGCTATGCCTCGAGCAACTCTTACACATCTTTTGTACTCTCCAAACTTCCCACATGCTTCATATCTCGATGAACGCACACTGACATATGAACCAATTGTTAATTGAAACTGATGTTGGCAATGCAAGCATCCTCCTCTATAGAAAAGTAATTTCTGGTGAAGCCAAATGAACCAGCAATTATAGTCTGGAATTTGGGTTTTATTAGCTTAGTAACAGTAAATGATCATTCTCAGATCTTCACAGGAAGAAGGTTAGATAGCCTGTTATAATAACACCATTTTTAATGTTCCACCTGATAATTATAATACTTCTTCCTTTAGTGAACAAGCATGTGCTGTTTGTGGAGCAAAAAGTCAAAAAGGGGAAGTGATGGCCCATGGGAAACCATTGTAAGAATTGCTGACAGATGTACAGTTACTATTTAAATACAAGTTCAATCCAAAGGAATATTCAGAAATGGAGTAAGCAAGGACATTGATAAATTAAACAAAAGTGAAGTGCAGATGGTGACAGAGAAAGGAAAGTTGAGAGTATTCATGGACTCGACAATAATTAATTTTCCACCAGATTGAAATTGCATTCTACGTTTCATACTTGGGTACATTCACCCTTTACAACATGAAGTAAGCAAATTCATAGTGCATTATGTAACTTCTTCATGTCCAGTTCTCTATGAGGCTCAAGGGTGTAACATGTGAATTAAGGAAACAAAAGACAACTAAATGAGGAAGGAAATTTACAGGAAGAAGTGTTATTTTTATTATTAAAGATTTTTATTGCTTCTTTATCATCACATGAAATATTCTTTGCATAACACCCAATAAAATTGCTTGTGATTACTTTTAACCCTTTAACTCCCAGAAGTGATAAAAATGTAAAGTCTCCCTACAACATCCATACACCATTCAGCAAACAGGTAAAGAGAATATTCAAACTTATCAGGTAGAAGTTTTTATTTTGATTCAACACCAAATTCTCACTGTGTATTTACAAGGAAATGTGTTGGAGATTGGTTGGAGAGTTAAAAAGCAAATCTTGGGAGTTTAAGGGTTTGAGTACAAAGGTAGTTGATGGATCAGAATATACCCAGCCAATGGCAATCTCACAAGTAACCTTGCAGATATTTGTCACTATTAACATTACTACTGATGGTCATTTTCTGATATTTACTGTACAAGAATTCAATTCCTAATGTAAATAATAAACATATATCAGTAAAGGAAGACAAAAGTTATTAGATACTTTTTCCATTATTGTCCATTCTCAAACAAAATATTACTGACCAACAGCGTTTAATTGGTTTGTTGTGCCAGATAACAGGGTTTTTTTTAGAAGGTATCAAGGTTAAAGCTTGCTCACTAGTAGCTTACACAAAAGCAGTAACAGGCAACAGTGAGTCACCATATTGGTTACAACATGCTTAATCTTTCCTTAAATTCTGTCTACAAGAAAAATTACAGTTACTTGTTGGTGTAGCACAAAACTTATACCTCGCTTAAATGCCATGCATCAGCACACCAAATATCTTCATTTCTCCAATTTTTTAATCCACAATAACAGTGTGCTTGTAAATATGCAAGTTGATTACTTGTATTTATAAAGGAATTATCATAACAATAGCAGTGATCAATCTATGCAACAAAAAGGAGTGGAGCCTTAAATTACAGCACAAACTTCATCTTTGGGGCCAACAATTACACAAAGCTGTAACATTACAGAGACGTAGTTGCCCTTTGACTCCCAGGAGTGATTAACATGTAACTTCTCCTTATAACATCCATACATTATCCAGCAAACAGGTTATGAGAATACTCAAACTTATTGGGTAGAAACTGTTATCTTGATCTAACACCAAATTCTCAGAACTAATTTAAAGGAAATGTCTAGCAGCAATAGGAGAGAATTAACAATCAGATCATGAAAATTACAGGGTTAACTTCAGTTCTTACAATGGACTTGCAACCCATCTGTTTTGTATAATACTCTTCAGTTTGTTCCTAACACTCCTAAATGTAGTGTTCTTGTTTCATTCATATTACACCTAAGACAGGTATATTTGGAGTCATTCACATGACAATAATTTTAAAAAATAGTAATATTTTTAATTTAAGATTTGTTGAAAGTAGCTAAAAGTTTTATGTTGAGGATATTCTGTCCCTTGAAACAGTGTTGCTAAACAGAGAGGGTGGCAGTTCTTTTTTAGTAGGATAGCTAGACTGTGTACCCACAGCTAACACAGTTGCTCTGGCAATTTCACCAGATCTCCTAACAACCTCATCAAAAGGGAGGTCCTTGAATTTTGCCATATAAAATGCAAGAGCCCCAATGAATGCATCTCCAGCTCCCTAAACAAGACCAAAAAAAAAATGTCAAGGGTGCAACTTGCAGTGAAAATGGACATTATAAATTAAAGGAACTGCAAAATGAGGGTGTTACGCACTGAAGACTAGAGAATTCTACAACTACCACATGAAAAAGGAACAAAAATTTCAAGGATCTGAGCTTGTTTCTATTCAGAGACAGAGAATATATACTCCAGTTTATATAAAGTGTTCTCCCGTTAATAAATTTCTCAATGAAACCTCTGAAAATAAGAATTTAACTCTAACATACCCATTGATTGTATTTGGTTGGTTAAAATCCAAGATAAAACACAGCTATATATCTATCTATCAGAAGTGCACATACTCTTGATTGCTAAACAAACTCTCCTTATCGGAACATTATGAAATGTAAAACACTGACTACTTCTGGAAAGTTCCTGGTACGAAAGTTTTGCATATTCAGCATTACCGTGGTATCCACAGGTTCCACTGCTGTAACAGGAATGTGTCTGGGTATGCGGTTTTCCTTAGTTCCAATAACGGAGCCTTTATTGCCAAGTGTGATAACTGCCCTACGAGCCCCTCTCTCCAATATCATGATGACAGCCTTCTCTGCATCTTCTATAGTTTTTACTGATAATCCTGTTAGAAGTTCAGCCTGCAACAGAAGTTACTGCTAATGAGGTCTTAGTTGCAAAGTACATGAGATGAGAGGTGGGGGAACTGATGTCTTGCATGCTGGAGTCCACATCAAAACTTCTTGCTAGGAAACCTAGCCCGGATCAGCAGGAGTTCTCAGCAAGACACTATATTCTCACTGTGTGCATGCTCTCCACTAAAGTTGAGTGTAGAAGGATGCCTGCAAACAGTCCCAAGGATTCTATTTTTTTTAAGCTTGACAATGTAGCAAGGCAAACAGGAGGTCAGGCAGCAAAAAAAAAGCATTTTTTTTGTTTCATTTCATCCTTCCCTCCCCCTTGCAACATGATCATGCTCCCTGCAAAAATTAACCCCTAACTGCAGGTTAGAAACAAGATGGAATCCTTGGGGTATAACCATCTCTACCTTTTACAAAACAAACGGTAAAGCCATGGGGGAAAAGAAGAACACCATCAAATTAAAGTGCACTATTAAAAATAGAAAGCTGCACTAAACAGGAGTACCTTTTTAGGTTAAGACTATGTAGAACTGAAGACAAGTAATGTCTCCTACAGATCAAACTTACATAAAAATAACATAGCAGACAGTAAGGAGAATGACTAGTGAGGTCTTGGAAGTGAACGGATTTAATGTCAATAAAAATTTTGTTTTGAGTTATTCAAATGCCTCGCGACTTGCACAACATTAACTGAAATTCTAACATGACACTTGAAAAAGATAAAATCATCTACTACGTTTCAGCAATTTACAATTTAGACTTGATATTTTTTATCATTATTATTACCTCACTTTCATTTGCACAGAATACATCACTAAGAGCATAATAAAAATAATCCAGCCATGACAGAGCTGGTGCAGGGTTGAATATTGTTTGTACTGCAAGCATAAAAAATAGCATGAAGTTAGTCACTGATAGGGGTTGATAAATATTTCAACAGGAAGAACTCCAAGACCCCTTCATCTGGCATAGTATCATTAATAACAGAGAGCATACTAAGGCTATTTAAAGTGAAGAAGTTCTTGATTATTGGGCAAAATCACCTTGTAAATACCATGGGTAATATATCAAGAACAGTATGAAGAACTTGCAAACTGATGTTAGGGTGTAGAAGGTAAAGGAGGTTGTTGCCAAGAGGTTTGACTATATGAAGGAATTTCCCACAAACTCATACTGACCTCCATTTTTCTTTGCAAGAGATAAAGTGTAGTGTGTTACTTCTGGATTAATTTCAAGCTGACAAACACAAACTGATGCTGATGATATAACAGACTTTGCTCTTTTAACATCCTCTTCTGACAGAATATCATTAGCTCCACTGACAATGACAATAGAATTTTCACCTGCAAATGCAGCATACCTTCAGTGAGGTATCTAAAGTTCTAATGTAGTGGAAAAAGGTTGTCATAAATCTTATGTATACTACATATTATTTTTAGGTAGCATTAAAGAAATAGCAGGGGCCTGATGGTCAGTGCACTGGACCCCAGGTTGATAGGCCTGGGCAAGAGACCTGGCTGGGTCAATGGGTAATAGTGAACAATGATTCCCATTGTTGGCTTTCAGTAACCTGTCAGTCAACTGTCAGCCAACAGGTTATGGACACATTACCAACACATTACCGACAGTCTGCTGACAGTGTTAAGTGGACCAAAAATTGACTGAAAACAGAGTCAATACTCTTCCAGTTGAAAACAGTAAATAGAGACATGTCGATTGCATTGTTTGTACCTATCTACTTGATTCAGTTTAAACAGTAAAACAAGCTTGTTTAACCCATCTCCTGACCTAAAGTACCAAAATTAAGTATTAAATTTAGTACCTATTTCTTATATCCTTGTTTGTACACAAAACAGTTCATTTTCTCCACTTTGTAAGTGAATAAACCAACAGGTCAAATAGCTCTAACCAAAAAAAAAACTTTCTTAAAAGGGTTTTGGAGGTAGTGCATTTAGGGAATTGGGAACTAGAAAAACTTTTCCATATGGCAGATAACTGAAATTGAACCAATTTGGGAAAGTTTTGCTAGCCAATGCAAAAGAGTAGGCAAAAGCCATAGTAACTATTGAGAGTACAGTGCAAGGTTTCTTTTTTAAATGACTTTTCCCCTTTTTATGTAGTTTTAGAAGCAATAGATGGGTAAATGTTAACAATCATTTCAGTTTATGACCCACCAACAGGTTACTGACAGGTGGCCAACAGGTTGCCGAGTGTTGGCCGAGTGTTGGCCGACAGTCGGCCAAAACTTTGGCCTGAAACATAACAAAAACTGTCAGCCGACAGTTGGCCAACAGTCAGCCAACTGACAGCCGACAGTATTTTTTGGGAACTGTTCTTCACTTTTACCAGGTCAATGTGTTGTCTTCTTGGGAAGACACTTTACCCTCACAGTGCCGCTCTCCACCCAGGAGTATAAATGGGTGACAGCAAATTGTCAGGGAAGCCTGATGAAATGCTAATGAGGGGGGGGAACCTTTTGATGGACTAGCATCCCCTCCAGGGGGGAGTAGTGATACTCCTAGTCACTTCATGTTACATGGAAACTGGGATAAGCTTTGGCTGGGTGGGCCAATAGGCTTGAGTACAGACTTAACCTTCATCATAGAAATACCATACATGGTGAAGGTTGTCAATTGTTGATCAATGCCAACCATCCATAACAAACTTGAGTCCCATGAACAGAAATGTTAGTCTTCAGAGAGTCAATATTATTTTGCTACATCTAATGACGAGTGTTTTCAAGATGTCTATCTCAAGACTCAAGTATACAAGTAGCTTCATAATATAACTACCATTACACAAATCTAATTCAGTTACCATTTGAATTCACTGAGATAGGAGCAACTCCAGTAGCAGCCTCTTTAGTGATTCCCACATGATCTACAAGAAGGTAATAAATTAACAAAACTACAGACTGAACAAATCAGGAATTCGGTTTCCCAGCACTTGATCAACATGTTAATTCTAACTAATTCCAGGGAGAATTGAAATGATCTTGGCAACAAGTAAGTTCCAACTACTTTCTAACCATGTGCTTACCTGTGTTGACTTCATGTTGTTTAAAATTTTCAATATATCGATGTCCAAAAGAATCATCACCAACCTAAGACAAAATCACAGAGGAAGCACCATAAAAATACGGCAAGATTTATATTTCCTTTAAAACTAAAGATTCGTGAAACTCTGTAACTACCAGGTGATCACCATTTCATTTCTCCTTTAATCACCAGTTCCTTATCTAGCTAGAAAGTGATGAGAATAGCCAAACTCCTCACCTCACTATATACTATTATTTTAATTTAACACTAGAATCTCTTCACTCACTCATAAAGGAATGCCACAGCTTAAAAAAGAGAATTGCTACTTTGGTTTTATGTCAAGATCCTGTTCTCCTTTCCTCATGAAACTACGTAAATAAAGTGTGCATGAGAATCTATTTTGAATCACTTCTTTAACCATCTTTTACCATTTGACCCTTTAACTCCCAGAGGTGATAAACATGTAGTTTCTCCCTATAATATCCTTATACTATGCTATCATTGCAAGATTCCTGCCTGTTAAAAACTTTAGCTACATCCCTGCATAAGCCTAACAGATAAAAGTAAGAATTTCCTTCTGTCAGTAAATTTAAGTAGACAAATGGCTGTGTTGACAACTGTGCAATTATAAATATTAAAAGATTGTGTTTCAATAATTAAAGCAAAATTAGATTATCTTCTGAAATGTTTACTCTAGATTAATCACCAGATTCATTGTGGGAACAAAAATAATATTTTAAATACACCAACACTGAGTAGGTCGTGCCACTTTCTTATCCCATTTAAATACACATCAACAAAGGGTTGAATTACAACCACAGGAAGCCTCCGTAAACAGCCTAGATTCCAAAGGAAGAGCTTTTCAAAATTTCACTCTTTTGTTAGAGATTAGGGAAATAAATTAAAACATTTCAAACAAGGATCGATTACACTGATTTCAAATATTTGTCACCTAAACGCTAAACACTGAAAATGATTAAATTTGGTGGAAAGGACTTTAGCATAGTCATCTCTGTTATAACGAACATTCTTTCTGCCTTAACTGTCAACTTCATTGACACTCAAGCAACAAGGCAAACATTCAATGGTCCCTTTTAGAACGGAGGCACTTTAGTCCAAAGGGTACTCAATTTTTCAATTTTCCTCAGTCTGCGCGACAGCTGCTCGGCTGGAGCTAAAACATTTGCATTTTAAATGAAGTGTACTCACAAAGAATCACTGACGTTTTCAAGCAATCAATTATATTACCACGATGAGAAACAGAAGATTAATGACTGAAGCCAAAGGAAACAGCATCATTTATTGATCAGTTGTGAAAGAAATGTTTCTTCAATGTACAATTTTTATTTTGCACAACACAGTTTCTGTAACGTATCGTATAAACAAATGACTTATCCCAGAGTTACTTTGTAGCTTTGATACAAACAGCATTTGAATATAAATACTTAGTATGGCTTCACAAACCGGTTTATCTATGGCAAGGAATTTGGAAAAAAGAAAGATTAACGCATTGTGCGGTTTTGATTTCTGGCTATTTACAAATTTATCGCACTAATTCCCAATTATTTCCGAGTTGAGATGCACGATTCGAGCTATGTTACAAAATTTAACTTATACATTCGATTTACTGGTACTTTAAATAACACCTAGTCATTTTAAATCATACCTTTTTCTAGAACACTTTTTAGTGTTTGATATAAAGAGCTTGAATGCGAAACATTCAAGCGCATAACTTCACCCGATCCGTAATATTATAAGCAAGAACTCAAGCCAAGTCAGATTGAAATCTACATAGATATTGATCCGCTCATTTTAATTACAAGGTATATACTAAACACACAAATGCTATTGAATGGAAAAATGTACCGCACAATACCCGATGATCAGGGAAATCACTTCCTGGCATTCTTATCAACATTTTATGTAAAACAGCGCAGTTAACAAAACGAAATTAGAAATAGGAGCCTGAATTAGAGAAACACACACAGCACTATTTTAACGTGCGCCGAGCGTGTTAGCTCACCGGCGCGTACAACTTTATTTTGACTGCATCTTGCATATTCATAAATCAAATATTGCATTCATCTTCGTCAGGAAGATAAATATATTGTACTCACTTTGGCAACCATTGCAGTTTTAGCCCCTAGCCGAGCTGCCATCACACACTGATTCGCACCTTTTCCTCCAAACCCCATCACAAACTTATCACCATGAATGGTTTCGCCAGCTTTAGGGAGCCGAGGAACATAGCTAGAAAAAAGCAAGATCGACTCAGTTAAATAAATTAACAATCCACGTAGCTATTCATGAACATTCTAACGTCTCCTCATATCCAACCTCACGAGATCTGTCATGCAAGAGCCAACAACCACCACATCAAACTTCTTCGCCTCTCCCGCCATTTTAACAGCGGGTCAGACAAGCGGGTCCTGAAGCAAGTCTTGTAAGTCGTAACCGGAAACCCCCTAGGGACAGGAAAGGCCGAGGCGAGAGGACTGAGGTTGACCGGAACTAATATTTTCCAATATGAAACCGCTGATACTGTGACTGCGGTCGTCTATATTGCATTTGCAAAGGAGTTGAGTTGGAGAGAATCCGAGAATTTTATGTATTGAGGATTTGATTCTGAGTGTTTGATATGAAATGAGAGACGGATAATGCCTTTGTTTGACGTTATTGGACTTGGAGCAGAAAAGCACGCGGTTGTTATTGACATCGGGGCCGCCTATACGAAGTAAGAAAGGTTCATGTATTGCAAACATTGTGAAAAGTTGGGTGTTAATGTCGTCAACCTTGCTAGCGCTAGCCAATTTTGGTAGAAATCAGCTGTTGAAATTTATCGCAATAGACATATTTTAATCTTTTTTTTTACTTGTTTGTTATCTCATTTATCAACCTTTTGTAGATCTAGTTTGAGAAGGTACTCGGTAATACCGGTAGTTTTGGGCAGTGTTCCTCTTGATGTCTTCAGTGATCGAAGATGATTCTTTCCCATAACAAACGATCAATTAGTTTTCCAGTAGTGTTTCATCACCACTTGCAAGACATGCCATTCGGGTATAAAAAGAAAAAGATACGTTTTACTTCATTTTGTCTTCAACATTTAGGTAAAAACGTATCTAAAGTTCATCTAAATCCGATTTTATTCTTTTAATCCTTCAGATGTGGTTTTGCCTCAGAAACAAGTCCTCGTCATATCATTCGAAGTGTCATTACGCACACAATAAATGGAGAGGTATCTACTTATACTAATCTGTGTTGGAAGACACTGTCTCCCATTACATGATCAACATTCTATAATTTCTTTGTAAATCGATTGAGAGATTTGAAAGAATTTGGTGTTGTATGCATGAAACATCACCTATTGGTATATTGCAGGAAGATGTATTAATTAATAAATACTAGGAGTTGTTAAAGGGTCAGCTGGTAAATAAACAGTAGAAGACATAGTGGCCCAACTGTTAGGGACTGGACTCTGGGTCCAGAGGTGCAGGTTTCAGAACCAGACTAAGTCATTTTGTTGCATGCTTGAGACACCCTACCCTCACAGTGCCACTCCCCACCTTGGAGTGGATCATTGGATACCAGTGGATTGTGAAAAAAAACAAAAACTAAAAACATGCAGGGGTGGGTGGAGGGAGACCTGGAATAGACTGGTATTTTATCCTGGGAGATAATTAGGCAAGGGATTATTAGTTGACCCAGTACCAAAGTTTCTGAACCAACATCATAAGAATTATACAGAAGACATTAAAGAGAATTACTGATAGAATGTCATGCGTGAAAGGGTTAAAATGAATGCCTTTCCAGTAAGTTTAATGCCTAACTTGTGGTATGGTATCGAATTTGCTCTTTTTTCCTCCTTTTGTTAAGACGGAAACTGTGAATGTTGTCAGTCATGAACAAGACAAAAGGCCAGATGAATTATATGCTATCCTTAGAGACTTTCTTCATCAAGTTTATTTCAGGTATGGTAAGGTTGTGTGTAAAACACACATTATAGAAACTGGTTTTCCTGTAGGAGTGATTTTCCTAACATTTAAAAAAAAAACTTGATTTGTCTATCAAATGTACCTTTCCATGAATTAAAAATTAGCTCTACACAGCTCAAGATAATTATAGCACCCAATGACAACCAACTGCAAAAAGTTTTGACAAAGAAGAAAATCAGTGGTCTGTATTGTGTTGTGAGGGATGCAGCAAATTTAATAATGCTGATCATAGTATTATTACTTCTAAGAGTAAGGGAAGGGACTTGCAAAATAGTTTCCAGTTAATAAGTCCTCTGTCTGATCATTGACATTTTCAGGTACCTTCTTGTCAACCCACGAGACAGACGAGTTGTTATTTGTGAGTCTGTGCTTTGCTCTACACTTTGGAGAAATACCATCGCCAAGGTCCTTTTCAAGCACTTTGAGGTGATGCATACATAAAAAAAAATTTTTTCTGATTAAAAATAAGTACGGGAAGCCCATATTTCAATATATGTAAGACTCAACTGAACCAGAAAGTGTCATTCTTATTAATAATAAACATTTGACGTTATCCTTCGATAGCATGCTAGTCAGACAGATGGTTCAATTAAGGCCTTGAGCTACTGTATTATTTTTCATTCCCTGACAATGCCAGAGGCCGCTAAAAGCTTGGGAACAAAAAGGAATACAGTGACTTGAAGCCTCAATCCAGTCCCCTCATTTAGTACTTAACATTTCTCTTAACAATTCCAAATTATTAAAATTTCACCGACAGGTGCCTTCAGTACTGTTTGCACCCCATCATCTTTTAGCGCTCTTTACCCTCGGAATACCATCAGGACTAGTCTTGGACTGTGGCTTTACAGAGACCATTGTTTTACCAATATCCTTTTCAGTAAATGTATCATTGCATATAGGAGTAACCCTTAACCCTTTATACCCTAACATCAGTATATATATTCTCCATACTGTTTTCTATACATTTCCTAAGGTGCTGACAAGGAGAATTTGTTAATCAAATCAAGAGAATATTTAGTTGGTGATCATTTCTGTAATTTTTGTGACCTTACTGTTTGATGCAGGGGTTATACAGTTGGGAGAAATAAGATGCAATACAGTTTTACGTTTGATTATAAGCTTAGAGTAATAACTCTTGCGATGAAATCGGTAATAGAGCAGCAGCAATAATCAATATATATATATATATATATATATATATATATATATATATATCGATGCAAGGGTATTGCATCTTATTTCTCCCAACTGTATAACCCCTGCATCAAACAGTAAGGTCACAAAAATTACATATATATATATATATATATAATTATATATTATCCATACTGCTCCTTACCTATGGTACTGACAAAGAGAATTCTAAATCTCAAGCTTCTCTAGTTCACAGCCATTTTCTTCTAACCTCAATGTTTGATTCAGCAGCAATGCTGTAAGGAGAAATTATATCCTGGTTACTTTTATGGATTAAAGGGTTAAGGTGAAAAGAGGATTGAAAAATTGTTCATCATTATTTTCTCTCTCTTTTTAGGTGATAAACAAGTATTGGATTTTATTTTCAGAACAATCTTGAACATGTTTTGCTGGACAATAACCAGTGGTGCATTATCGTGTTAACAGTCTTGTCATTTAATGAATGTAATGATTGAATGACCCGAATAGATCCACTTAATTTTTTTTGCATTGGATGTTAGACTACTTATTACTTCCTTGACTCAGTTGATTCTGGTGTCACATTTGTGAGGGGACGGCTATTCTCAAAGCTGTAGAAACAATCCCTCTTGGATCAAGGGCCATTCACAAGTGAGTAAATGTTCATTTGTATTCCACATGGTTTTCTGTGTGTAATTGTAACTAATGTTATTATTGAAGCTGGATTGAAAAAAATACAACACTGTGATCAAGTAGTCTTCAAACCTTGACCTTTTGATATGGAGCACTGTATGCTAAGTTTGAGTTTATTGCACATCCCAAATCTCTTTTTTTGCCAAATTTACATAAATCCATGCAGCTATGTTTTGCCCCTTTTGATTACAGGCATCTGGAGGAACAGCTGATGGAGAGAAGTCTGGTACAATTAGAAAATGGAATAAAGCCTTTGTCATCTGTTATGAGTAAGCTTGAGACACTGCAGTTTGGTCACTCCTCTTGGCCTAATTCTAAGAGTTTATTCTATAGCACACCATTGGTTGATGACTGTGTAGAAAGTAGTCATTTGCCTGACTAAGGCCAACAGTAAATAGCAGGACTGAGACGGCAAAATCTACAACTCTTTATTGTGAGAGGACAACATAAACATTCATTATCAAGGCAGTCAGTTGAAGCTTGTGAATTAGCTCAAACATAAACTGTTTCAATCTTTCATTTGCAAATTTTTTACTTGAATAACATGGATTGAGCATGTAAACCTATCATGAACATTCACATATTTATGAATTAAAATTGATCACACTAGCTTAATGCAAATGTACCTCTATTTTCTCCAAGTTTTATTAACTTAGTTGTTACATAAATCTAAATTGGCTGCTGTGGAGAGTTTCTGAATCTGAAATTTCCAGCATTAGCCCTTCGTTATTGATGCTGAGATAGCAGTAAAGCTGAAATGGCAGGTTAACCCTTTAATTCCCATGAGTGGCCATTAGACATAATTTCTCCTTATATAATATCAAGCAGACAAGTGATGAGAATAAAGAAAAATATCAATTAGAGGATAATACATTGATCTCATACCAAATTCTCCCAACTAACATCACAAGAACTGTATGGCAGACAGTGAGGAGAATTACTAACAAGATCTTGGGAGTTAAAGGGTTAAGAAGCACTCTGCAGTGGCCAATTAGCATCATCAACTCATTTGATAAAGCCAAATTATCTTGTAATACTCACCCCACTAACACAGCAACACTGTTTCTTACCCCTTTCTTTAAAAATGTATCGAACAGATGTCTTTTAGTGCCTCTAAAGCTGAGTATGTTTTGTATGTTTTCCCAGATTCTCTTGGAACAGAAACCCTAGAGGACATTAAAGGTAAGATAAGCAAATCTTCATTTAATATGATTGGTATTCCTCTGTATCAGGTAGTTTTCATAATTTTTAGCAGCAGTGAAATAAGGTTATAGTTTGTGGTGGAAGTGTTGTCTGTCGTTTGAGCAACTGGGGCTTGTGGACTTCAGAATGATCCTAAATTCTGGGCTTGAACATTGCAAGCAATCCCTGCTTTACACTTTGAAAAGCGAGACTCTTTTCTCTCACATTGCTTTTCCCCCCAGAAGTATATATTCAGTTGTAGAAATGGAAAAATTTTCAGTAGCACCTTTATGTTTGAGGATAACATAAGTCATACCAGCATCCCATGGCTCACCAGCAAGATTGCTATGGAAACCAGGATATTTGAACCAGTCTCATATGTAGTCTTACCTGTATATACCCTGTAGAATTACAGTTAAACTTTTTTTTAATTAATAATATTTTTCTGAGCAGACAAGGCCATAACTGTCTCATCATTGTTTATTAGTGCGTACTTGCTTTGTGGCACCAAAGTTCAGTGGACCAGAAGGAGAGCCACGCCCTGCCTCACAGGTGCCAAAGGTTGACTATCCTCTTGATGGAGGAAGGATTATCAGAATTGAAGGTCAAATCAGGTAAAATGATAAGAGAAATAAAATAACTGAAAAGGTCTCCAAACTTAAGGAAAATTTTGGTAAAACATTTTCCCTAAGGTAAAAATTTAGAGGGAACTATTTACACAAACACAATCTTCAAACTTTTGAAATCAGTGCCAGGATTTTAAGTCACAGATGCCAACAAAGCTTCCTATCAGTATACAAATTGATATAATTATTCAAACTATCTCCAGTTTATTTCATCACCTTTCAAAGGCTTGTCAACAACTGAAATGTTGTTACTGCATTGCGAGCTAGGAAACATTTATGTAAAGGGTGATTTTGTTTCTTTTGCAGAGAACAGACTTTTGATATTTTGTTTGATGGGGATGAGGAAGGAAAATCTATTGCAACATGTCTGTTGGATTCAATACTTAAGGTACACTGGATACCATAATCATTATTTAATTATTAATTGATATTTCATTCTTTCCTTTTTTCTTTTATTCACTCATCAGTTTATTTCATTCATTCTTAATTTTATTTGTTCTTAAACCTATTTATGATCATTATTTCTTTCACTACCATTTCAATGATTTAAAATTGTCAACTTTTGTTCTGCAGTGCCCTATTGACACAAGGAAGCAGTTAGCAGAGAATATAGTCCTTGTTGGTGGAACTGTAATGACCCCAGGATTCAAGTAAGCTAAACTTCTCAGTGTATTGTAACGATTGTCTATGTGGCACACTTCTCCACTCAAAAGTCTGAAAGATTTTTTGTTAATTATGAAATTATGAGATGTTGTGTTTCTTTTCTTTTCTTTTTTTTTAATTCACTGCTTGTTATATATTAATTATGTATATATGCTCATGGGTAAGACTTGATTCTGGCAGTAACATATAAACTCTGCTTGCAAATATTGAATTTTAAGGAGATTAAAAATCTGGTTTGAGTTTTATTATGAGCATGATTTGGACAATCATGTATTTTGCACATCTATGTGATAATTTAATATTTTAAATTCCAAAATCATGTTTCTTATTGGCTGCAATCATTAATCTTGCAAAATTTTGTGTAAAATATGCTCATATCATGAGAGAGTTTATCCTTTAAGAGTGACTAGCATCTAATCCCTCCCTACAATGTCATGCCTGAATCACATATTTAGGTCACAAGAGTAAAGGAAATGTTCAATTAAGTCTAATAAAAGTAGCTCCTGATTGTGAAACAAATTCTCCCTGTAAGCACCTTAGGAGATGTATTCTGAACAGTAAAGAGAACATGCATACAAATGTTGGAGTGAAGCTAGGGTTAAAAAGTCCATCAGATTCTTTTGAGTGTAGGATTTCAAAACTCTTTTCACTTTTGGCAATTGGCTTGTAATAATAATTATGTTTATTTTAACATGTAGACATCGTCTGTTGCAAGAAATTTACTGTTTACTTCAATCACCTCGATACAAAGAGAACTTATTTATGAAAACAATCAAAATGCATCAGATACCTGTCACTGCCAACTGTACATCATGGCTTGGAGGTAGGCTTGTATTCTGTTTTGTTTTGTTTTTTCTCTCTTTTTCACTCTCATTATTGACATAATTTTATAAGTTTCCACTGTTTTTGGAAGAAGCGGTGACTTATTGGTCAGAGCAGTGGATACAAGGTAAAATTATAAAATGCTTGGGATGTATCCTTCGTGATGGATGTACATTCATCTAGTCAGGAGTAGTGCTACTCCTCACCACTTCATGGGAAGGAAACCAGGATAAGCTTGGGCTGAGTGGGCCACTTGGCTTGTGTATCTACTTTACGATACCTTAGGGTAATTTAGTATTATCAACCCAGTTGACAATGTAAATTGGCCACTGTAAAGAGTTTAACCTTTTAACTCCCATGAGTGACAAGACAGAATTTCTCCTTACAATACCAATACAATATCAACCAGATAAGTAATGAGAATAAAGAAAACTATCAATTTGGGGATAATTATTTGATCCAAATCAAAATTCTGTGAACTAACATTATAAGAATTGTATGGTTGACAGTAAGGAGAGTTACAAATTGGATCTGGGAGTTGAAGGGTTGAAACTCTTTACAGTGGCCTATTTACATTATAACCCAATTGATAATACTAAATTTCTCTGTTATACTCTCCCACCAATGTAGCACTACAGTTTCTTAAGAAACTTACACCTTTTATTCATTCATTTTTACTTACCTCAGTCATTTGCATAGAGTCATTCCCAGAACTTTACAATTGTGTCACATACTGGTGTTTAGTTCCTCTTGTTCCTTCCAATTCTAATTTGTTATGGACATGCTAGTTGACAAAGAGCCAGCTTGTGAATGTGCCACTGTTAAAAACCAGTGAGGTTAGAAAGCCTGCATCACAGAGTAGGTGGAAAGAAACGATGATTTGTATCTTCATGTCTAGTTTGAACATAGGTATAGGCCATGGATCTAAGTATGGAGTTTGTATACAGTTTCTTTCTTCTTATGTACTGTTCACATCTTTTAACCCTAGACATTTTCCAGTATACAGTATTTGGATCAATATCAGTATCTGGGCAACTGCCCACCTACCCCTCGCCTAGCCCAAAATAAACCTTAACTTGTTGTCAATTGACTGTTGTTGAGTTAGGGGAGGGGTAGGTGAGCAGTTGCCCAGATACTGATATTGATCCCAGTATTTTTGTGATGAATACAACTCCTTTTGTTGAATTCAAGCCAACACTCAGCATTATCAAGGCATTTCTGTTTTCTGTTTTACTATCACTCTAAGAGTAACACTGTTCTTCCAGGTGCGATATTTGGTGCTCTTGAAGTCCTGGCTGACCGTTCAGTAACTAAGGAACGATACAATCAAGATAACAAGATCCCAGATTGGGCCTCCTGTGAAGAACAAACTGTTGACAATGCTCCCATTTTAGAGGAACGCCTTGAAAGACCAGTTCTGTCACGTCGTCAGACAAGTGGCATCACCAGCACCCTTAGTAATATTAGCAGCTCCCTGTCAAGCCGACTTCTCAGTGGCAGCAGTAGAAGCCCCTTAGCATCGAGTTTACTTCAAAGAGCAGGAGGATCCCCTACTTCAGGGGCATCATCCAGTATAAAAGAAAGTGACAAAGAAACTCAAAAAGAAGAAAAAAAGGGTTGAATATTTTGGCTGCAATAATTTATTGTATGGGCATGTAACCTTTAGAAATTTTTGACCCATTTGTCTCTTAGTACAGTTAAATTTCACCGTATGCTGCCCTATTAGCAACCTTCCCTTGGACCCAGAAGGGTCCGAGAGACAAGAGGGGGAGACAACTTTCTTTAACCTTCTAACTCTCCTCTCCATCTGCTACACATTTCATTGTAAATTGGTGAGGAGAATTTGGGTGTTCATACAAGATAACTTCTACAAGATATGTTTGAGTATTCTCAGTACCTGTCTACTGGATGAAGTGTGGATTTTATATGGAGCAGTTGTATGGTAATCACTTTTGGGAGTTAAAAGGCTAAGGATGGATGTCATGAACTAACACTTTTACTTAAAAATTAGCATGGTCTCCTGTTAAGCTCAAGGGATCATGGATATGCAGTTGACTTTTTAGAGTATGCTCTGTTTGGTTTACTGCAGCTTTAAACAAATCTGACCAGTGGACAGTTAATATCTAAAAATTAAGTGTAGCTAATACAGGTGGCTCTGGAGCCTTTTTCACTCACTGCACTTTTGTGTCATGTGCATAACAAAGACAAATGGGTCCTGACTCAAAGTCAAATGACTGCATTTAACCACTACAGTTTTTTATATTAATTTATTACTGAAATAACACCTAGTAGTTACCTTGAGCAAATGTTAAACACAGATTAGAACATATAAATCAGAATTCTTTGATTTTCGCTCAATTTCAGAGGTTTCAAAATGTTTTAAAGTGGGCATCAGACTCTGCAAAAGTAGGTGTCTGTGAAAAGTTCATTAATTGCCAAAAGGTAATTTTTTAACTGGATAATTGGCAACATCTTGTCAAGAAGCTGACAAATTTCTAGTGGTAGCTGGCTTGTTTTAAAACCCCTGGAAATTGAACAACTTGGGTGGCTTTAATATTTCCATGTTTTACATACAGTATATGGGGAAAAGTATTATATGGGCATAAGGAGCAGTGAAGCCCAAGGAAAACAGGCTAATTTCCTGAGAGTTCTTAGGTGGTTCCTTAGTCATATTACCTCACCTAGCAGGCAACAAAAGTCAATCTGAAATTTTGGGGACAGAGGGAAATCAATGTAAAAGCCTTTTATGATACAGTTAGCTGTCCTTTATGTCTTCTGGACATCAAGCAGTCCTTATGATGTAGTATTGTTTTTGAAAGGAAATAAAGTAGGACTGGGCATGGAAAGAGGAATGTGTCATTTGAGAGACAGTCACTTAGAAAATAAATAGAGTCAAACCTGTATTAAGCTGTCACCCGTGGGGAATGGTGCAGTAACCACTCAATACAGGTTCCATAAAATAGGGGTATTATAAAGAAATAATGAAAAACATCACTTCATGTACAAAAACTTGCTCAAAAACATTACCAAGTTTAACACTGACTTAAGGAGATACCATAAATATGGATTAAATTCTACTTGATAGATAATTCCTAGTTCTATTTGAGTGGTTCTGCTTTAACCCTTCAACTCCCAAGATCTCAGTAGTAATTCTCCTTACTACCTGCCATATAATTCTTGTGATGTTAGTTCAGAGAATTTGGTACTGGATCAACTAATTATCCCCAAATTGATATTTTTCTTTATTCTCATTACTTATCTGGTTGATATACTATTCATATTGTAAGGAGAAATTTTTATTTTTGTCACTCATGGAAGTTAAAGGCCTAAGTGATATATAGGGAGAAGAAAACAAAAACCATCCGTTGGAACTCGGTAATGGGTGACACAATCACTCAATACAGGCAACTGCTTAATAGATGTGAAAATTAAAGTTACTTTCATGAAGGGGTAAAAATTTTGGGACTTTGACAACCAACCACTTAATACTGGGTGGCAGCTTAATACAGTGCACCTCAATACAGGTTAACACCAATGTACCAGACTAGGTGCATACACAGTACATTACAAGTTCCAGATTTAATCTCTTGTGATTCTTCATAAAACAATAGTATCTTTTTTTTCTTGCCACAAACTGCTTACAACAGAGTGTGAATCTGGGTTTTTTCTGAGCAGTTGACTTCTTGCCTGTCATAAAAGACTGATGACTTATTGCAAGCAAGTCATTGTTATACTTAAAAAGTAGTTGCTGTAAGATTACTACCACATCATATGATTGCCACACAAGATCTTTTGTGTGATATCCTTCCCTGCCACCATCATTCCCTTCTTGAGCTTCTAGTCTCACAAGGTTCACACAATATCAAGCATAGTGTGACTATCTAGTTACAAGCTGTACATCATCTGGGTTGTCTCTAAGCCTTAGCTGCCAGTGAGATTGGACAATTGAAAGGGCAGTCACCTCTGAGGTTACCCACTTCCAGTCACTTTCTATTGAATGCAATCTCTGAGCTGCCTTTCCTGAAGTTTCAGCTGGCAGGCTAATTTCTTGACTACAGCCCTGCATCTTAGTCTTGATGGCAACAAGTCCATCAAGAGTGCCTCACATTGTTATCCTCTGACAGCCACAAAAGGATGACACAAAGTGTATTTTGAATTTGTGACTGTGACGTTATCTTAAATCAGCTTCAATCAACATGCTCTCTAGAAGAACTTCATTCTCATCGTTTAAGAGTGGCTCATGTAACCATAGTGACAGATATACCATCAGTTCATCTCTGTTCTTACAATGAGTAAATTCCATTACTAGTCTCTCCTTCAAAGAAAGTTCTTTGGTATATGAATCAAGAAGTATCTTTGATGCATCACCTGAGGAAAAAAATAATTATTGAGTGCCTTTAATTCCCAGAGGTGATTAACATGTAAATTCTCCCTAGACAACCCATAGATTATCCAGCAAACAGGTAACGGGAATACTGAAACTTATCAGGTAAAAGTTGTTATCTTGATCTAACACCAAATTCTTGCAATTAATTATCTAGGAAATGTGCAGCAATTAAAGAGGAACACTCACAGAATTCCTCAATAGTCCACGTGCTGAAGATTCGATCATCAGAGCTTTCCCCCTTTCTTTGAAGAGCCTTCAGGTTTCCTATGGCATGGAAATTCTGCTCTAAGGATTTCATCTTAGTCCATAAATCAGCCTATAGGGTAGGAGAAGAGTAAAGGTCTTCAGTCTCTAACTACATTTTAAAATAATCTATTTGTCTTCATTGAGTGTGAAAACCAATGCTAAAGGAGTCACAACTGCTTTTTAGAGCAAAGGTTAACACCTGTACACGCCACTCACGACTTGAAGTAAATACTGGTGATACTCGTCAGAGCTCACAGGAACACAAATATGCAGGTAATTACTAGGTATTTTTTATTTGCATCAGATTTCCTAAGAGGATAGTGTAAGTTATCTTAACCAGTCATGAAGCTCACTAAAGCAAACCTGTTGTATTCTTACAACAGCCACTGAAAAACTCCCCTATAAGTAACTCTGCTGTATTATGTACATGTGGATAGCTTCATTCAATGCATTAGGCAGAACTCATTTGATCACAGTTGACCAGAATTCACCTGATGGTTGACCCATAGGCATCTGATGGTAGATGACACTCCATTGATAGTAACCCTATGTCAAGGCTCAATCTACAGCTGTGGGGTGTTTTGGTGCATGTGTCATCCCCTTTGGGCTCACAAAAACACCCATGGTTAGAGACTGGGCTGAGCCAGTATCATCTGATGATAATTTTATCCCATGTGGCAGAAATGTCTTTCAAGACATTGTCTGATTATCAGTAGTGTGTTAATGACTATCGGCCACCCATCAACCAACTTATTTATCTGTGGTTCTTATCAAATCCACTGAACTTGGCTTCTAATAGTTGTCAAATGGGCCAGATGGACTATTCTCGGATCAAGGGTATTTAAAACTTGTGATGACATTCAACAACTAACGCCTCATTATTTTTTTTTATTTTACTTACCAAAGAATCATAAATTCGTGATAGTTCTTGAGAGGTGTTCATAATTTCATCATGTAACTTAAAATCAGAGTCGTGGTCAACTGGTGAAACTGTAGTGTTGTCGTCCATCGAGCTGTATCTATTAACCCAAAAATTCCCAGCAGTCGCCATAAGTAAATCGATCGAAATTTAGGCAAGTAAATGTCGGAAGTTTACATAAGTTGTAAGAAACTTGATGTCACATACTCTTTTTGAAGTTGTAAGTTCACCAGCTTGTTAGCCAGAGACAATCCCGCTTCCTTCAGTTTTGACCAATTTTTAGCGTTTTCATGCCAGCTGGCACAACAATCTCTAACCTTTCTAGCAACATCTGACAGGTTTCTACTGGGAGATGATCTTGGAGATGGTGAATTTGAAATACTTGTCTTCTTGGATGGCGTTTTGGGAGTTTTAGGAGACTTAACCCTTTTAGGCGAAGCGGCCGCCATGTTGAAATTAAATGTCGAGGAAAGCTGGGTTCTATTGGTCGCTAGGAAACGGAGGCTCGTAAGTTGATTACTAGCAACGAGGACTTTATTTACATAGCAACACCAATAGCGTGTAAAAATTATTCACTGAAGATGTAAGAATAATGAAACTTGCCATCACAATGTTAAGAAAACCCTCTTACTACCTCGAAGCCACAAGCAAGCAGGACAATTTACGTACGCAGGTAAGTATTTCGTTTTTCATTTCAATGCGTATTTTGACTGAATGAAAATGAAAAAAGTGTATTTTTCTTCTCTGATCTCTCGAATCGATATTAGTGATCAAATGTACCTTTTCTTTCAGACACAGAGAAGTTTTAAGCGAGTATAACAAGCAATTAGCTGTCTTTTTGTAAGCTTGCCGCTAATAAAACTTCAAACCTCATCAGGATCGTAAGAAAAATTAAAAGGGACACTTGCGTTCCTTCAAGCATAGATTTCTTCAAGACTCAGAGCAGTTTCACAGCTCCAAATCACGATCGATGGGCACGTACCAAATATAAGCTTTGATATACGTTTCTGAAAGTATTTGATGATTTGTTCGTTAGATTCTCATAGTATGTCTCCTTGATCAAAATTTTTGGTTTACAAATTTGTAAAACACGCTAATCCTTTTCTCGTTTAAATGAATCTCTGGCAGACAAAAAGTGTAAATTTGAAATATTTGATTGCAATCGCCTAATCAACATACACACATTCATTGAACTGAAAGATTTGTAAGCACGTTTTTTCGAATTGATAAAGAGATGATTAGAAATGTAAAACAGAAATACATCTCCACCTAAACTTGTTTCAGTGGTGTTTCCGTCTCCGCTTTTATACGTGTCTTTAAAAGGAAGTAATCTTAAATCAAAGTATTGAAAATAATCACCAAAGGAACACTTCATAATGCCAGATGAATGTCTTTTGATCAACTCGGCGGGAATTAGGTTGTTGACACGCGCTATGTTTACGTGAAGACAAAAAAGTAATTGACGTTGAAGTTTTGATAAGATCTTTTCAGGTAATAGGTCTCCATGAAGACTTGTACAAACTGCATGTACAAAGTCTGTACAAGGTATTTCTATTTCTATCAGGCAATATTTTGCAATTTTGATTGCTGGGCTAGCGCGTATTTAACACTTCTAAAAGCAACGTGATCAAAAGAGCGTTGAATGGACTTATTTACTTAACATTTAGTCAACGTTGTCCCAATGACCGTAAGTTGTTTCTGCCAAACATTTACAATTGCAAAATGATCATCGGTGTATACTTGATACAATGCCCTTAAAGTTTCGCTGACTAAACACAAAAACTTGCAAAAACGCGTATGCATTCTTCTATATACCATTTACTTGCATGCTGAGAAAATCATTTTTCTCTTTGATATAGGGCCTGAAGACCCTAAATTCAATCCTTCCGAGACCCATCTAACAGGAGCTTGATGGCCCAGACACTTTATGATAGCTCCCCAACATGGCCATTGCATCAATATAACTATCATGAGAGTAATCCAGAGCTTTCATCCCACATCCCTGATGCAATGAAGTCAGTTTCAGCTAACAGAGAGCAAGTGGACTACACCATGAGTCACAAGAAAGGTTCTCCAAAGAAGAGGTTGTCACGGTTGGAATTGCTCCGAAGTGATTACAGCAAGAAACTTCAAATTGAGAGAGAAGAGAAGATTCGTAGACTGCAAATTATTCAACAGGAGAATGGTCACAATCAGGGTAGCAGTAATGGCGGAATGGTACGTGGATTTTTTGCAGAGAGAAGAGCACTGGAGGCTACAAGAAAAGGGCAGAAAAATCCTGAACTTCTTCCCCCTATTGAGTCACATTTCAGAATGGTGAGAGATAAAAAACAGGAGCCATTTCCTGAACACACAGTTAGAAGTAGACAAAATTCAAAAACAAATCTGACACATGGTAAGCCATTCAGTGTGAAACAGGAACCATTTCCATCACAAAAACCATTGCCAACAAAATACTCATCAAGGACTCAAACAAAGACAGTTGGTGTCACTGTGCGCAAGAGAACAAAAGGTGTTGATAAACAAGATCCTCTTCCTCCAGTGAACAAGGGTCAGTCTGAAGTAACAAGGAGAAAACCACCAACTCCAAATAAAAGATATGAAACACATTCTGTTTTGAAACAGGATGATGTGGAGGCTTTTGAGTATTCTGGCCCATCTAATTTGCCAATACCTCCTATTGAGAGACGACCAAAGCGTTCAAAGGTTCCCTTGCCTCCCCCAAGTGCAGAAGACTTAGTAAGTGATTTTGATGATGCACAAAGCACCCTTACTGATTATAGCAACATAGCTCCAAATCTGAGCAAACTAAAAGCGAAGGCACTGAAACAAAGACAACTAAGCAAGCAACAGTTAATTGACACAAATAAAACTCAGGAAAATGCCAAATTAACCGACTTTCAAAAATGGCAAATGGAACAGGATCAAGAACGAATAGAAAGGCTAGAAAAACACAAGCAGAAATCAGAGTTGTCTCTCTCCCAGAGGGAAAATGAACTACTCAAAAAAATACAGGAAGAACAACTTAGGCTTGAAAAATTAAAGTTGCAGAGGGAAGAACTGGTAGAACAAGAGATACGACAAAAAGAGGAGGATGAAAAATGGTTAGCTGAAAAGCAGAGCTTAGAGGAGCAGGCAATCATTCCTCAGCAAACTTTGGCCAAAGATTCTAATCAGACCAAAAAGGTAGCCTTAAAAAAGGCTTCAACATTGCCCAAGGTACCACGAAAGGTGAAAACTCCCCCTCAACAACTCCAGGGAGAAGAACTTGACACAACTGAAAAAATTCATGACAATGCTTACAGAGATTTTTATGAGCATCAAACACAAGATGTTGCTGAGGTTTCCGTGGATGTTTCTCCTTGTTCAATTTGTGGGCGCAAGTTTGCTGTAGACAGGTTGGCCAAGCATGTAAAAATTTGTGCAAAAAGTTCAAAGTCCAAACGCAAAGTTTTTGACACAAGAAAGCATCGCAGTGAGGGTACTGAACATGAAAAATATGTTCAGAGTGGAAAATATCTTGAGGAGCCCAAGGCAAAGGTTGGTGTCTGCTTACTCATCCTTCCCACCTATTCTTTTGGAATGTCAGGCAATTTTCCCTCAAGAGAATCTATCAGAGGAGTGAAGCATGAAATTCATAGAGATTTCAAGAGATCTTTGCATAGAAATCCAGGGTCACCTTGTTTAGAAAAAGTTTCTGAATGTGCCTGCTAACAGTAGGCTTTAAGCAACCCCTCCTTTTTTGCAAAGTCTGTTGCACAAGTCCACAATAATAACTTTTGCTAGATGGCAGAATTCAAAATACATAATTGAATCATGCATGAAGCTAGGATAAGTATTGGACTTTCAGGGGGTGTTTTGAGGCAGGAGTATATCTTTCTAAGAAAATTTATTTAGCATCAAAGTCTTCTGTTGCTCCAGTTTGGTTTATTATGTATATTTGTCCCAGGGATACAAGCCCTTCTGCTGACTCCTTTTGCTTCTATCCCTCTGAAAATTTGCGAAAAAAATTTATATGAATTAATTTTGAAGACTAATTCCCTCTCAAACCCCCCCCCCCCCCCTCACCCAAAAAAAATTTCCAACAACCCCTCAAATATAATATGTGTGTTTATCTACCAGAGCCAAACAAACAGACAATTTTTATGGCAACAATTTGGGAACTAAAATTTTTTTTAACTTCCCCGTCTGATAACTTCAAAAGTAAATTTCATTTTTAATTTCAGCCCAAGGTGGACTGGAGAGCTCAACATGAAAATTTCATCAAAGCAATCCGCTATGCTAAGGGAGCAAGCGACACACCTCCTCCACCTGCAGAAAACCCAGACTATGTAAAGTGCCCACACTGTGAGAGAAAGTTTAATGCTGCTGCTGCAGAGAGACACATACCAAAATGCAAGGATATTAAAGCCAAACCTGCTCTTTTAAAAAGGAAGAAACGATAAAATCAGCATTGATATTTATGAGTTCAAGTTTTAAAGAATGTAGAGTGTGTTTTTCTGGGGTTGACTTAAAACCATATTGTGAAATGCTTTTGAATGAAGTGCTTCTACGGGACGACCAAGATTTTTTAAACTCTGTTTGTGATATCAGTATAATAATAATAGTGTGTTACAATACAAAATTTTGAAATGAAGTCGATGTAATGATTATGAAGTTAACCCTCTCATTCCCAAAGTCTCTTTGATGTTAGTTCTAAGAATTTGGTAGTGGATCAACTCATAACCCCCTAATTGATGTTTTCCTTTAATCTCATCACCTTTATGCTTGATATTGTATGGATATTGTATGGAGAAATTCTGTCTCGGTCACTTAAAGAAATTAAGAGGTTAAGAATATCAAACTATCCATGTTGCCTTCTTTTGACAGTGTTCTTGGTATTACTGAAACAAAGCTTTCTAGAGTATTTAGCTTCCAATGAAAGTACTTCACCTGAAATAGATTCACATTTAAGTGATTTTGGACAGAAAGAGCAATAAGGAAATACAAGCAGTAAATAATTTAATACTGGTGGAAAAATTTTCCCTTGCCACAACCTGGGGACGTCTTTGGAGGAAATTTGGGAGGAGGGTGAACTGAACATCACCTGTGCAACCTCACTGGTGGTCATTACCAGAGTGGAGTGAAACCACAGTAATTAAAAACACATTTTTATTAAAGTTTGAGGCAAACAAACCACACACTTGCCTTGAACTATGTGTTGTATAAAGTTCTACAACGCTTGTCTCTGTCTGAATAAATACTCTTTCTAAGTTTCAAACTCTCTCACATATTTGCTGACAAACTCTTTCATAATTATAAAATACATATGTACAAACATCTGTATAAATATACTTAACTAGATAAATATTTAGTGTACAGTTAAACAAACTACCCGTTGAATGACAAAGCTCAGTCTCAAAACCGATTATGGCTTTTTCACAACACACACAAGTTTGAACAGCTATCACAGGAAAATACACAAATAAAATCATCACTAGGAATGTTTTGGTTGAGGTTCATTTTAAATCACAGTTAAACCATACCTTTTCATAGGTTTGGATACATTTTGTTTAATATTGTGTCTGAAATCAAGGGGCAAAGAATTTGAATCAAGAATAGAACGAAAAAGAAAATGCAATCACAGAAAAAAGAAAAACTGCAAGTTAGAAAAATGCATAATTTGCCAAAAAAAAAAAAAACCCAGTTGCATAAAGATATGCTAAGGATGTTGATGTTGTTAGTGAGAAAGCCATTGGTGTCCTCTACCACTCAAAAAATGTTAGCACTTCCAAAACACTCTGACATCCCACTTCTCAAGGTCTAAAAGAATTGTGTAAACAAAACCACCTTTTTACTGCTGTGGTACCTACACAGAATAAATGTTTACTTAACAACACCACATGGATTGCCCTAAGTTACTTGCAAGAAAAATTTTCTTCTAGAATTCCAGGAAAATCACCTGTTCTGGTATACAATGGCATTTCTACCCAAGTGGATATTTGTTGGTTACCATATTAGAATACTGACTGTTTGATCAGACTTTCACAGAAATCATACATTAAAAATATAATGTGTAAGTAACACTACAAAATACTGTTTGAATAATCACTCATGTTCACGTGCCTGAATAGGTACAGAAAATTATAAAGACATAATACTGGTTCAGTAAGAATAAATGATTCTCCAAGCTTTGTAATCAAGAAAGCTCAATCAACATGTTAAGAATATGAAAGATAAATTCCAACCTTTCTAAAGGTCCTAGTGGACCTGCCCCCTTATGATACCCAGCTTAGTTTTTATGCTAATGATATTAACTGCTCGGAATTAACTGAAATTTATGCTTGACATATTCATTTCTGTCTCCAAGCGACTCTCTCTTTCCTAATCTTATCATCCTAGCAAATGATCTAATGATGTCTTCTTTGTTATGCAGTTTCCTTTTGTGAAAGGAAAAAATCAACCTTTTCCACTTGTATCTAAGTGTAAACTATCAATAAATTTTTTGGTAATCGTAACTAGTATTGTACAAGTATTACAACTGGTTTAAGTAGGTTGATGTTTTCAAATTCCCTCACAGAAGGAGAAAGAAGCCTGCTTCCTTCCATTGACATAACAACGAAACCCCTAACCAGCTGTGTGCTGAGTTACCTTCAGCAAAAGCAAGCAATTTTTAAGTTTTCAGGAGATACTCTTACGATGACCAGCTGTTAAAATCTCAAAACCTTAATACCAGGAATTGTAAATTTAATCTTGGGAGATATTCACAGTGCTCCTCATCAAATTTCTGCCGGTTAAAATAGATTTAATGTAGTTTGAAGATGTGTTTGAAAAATTCACAAAGATCTTTTTAAAGTTTTGGTGGGAAGAAGAACAACAAAGAAAAAAAAAGGGCATGTTTACAACTGCTTATTTCCTGTGAAAGAAAATCAAGCAGATTTACTCAGGAAAGGTAAATTCCTAACAAACCTGAATTTGCAGTGTAGCAATAATAAGGGTAATTTTTAAAGGCTCTGTTCATACCCTTTTTCTCTTTTGATATTACCCTGGACAGAGTTTAGTGACTGTTAAATGACAACTACTGGGTGGAAACCTGAATTTATACATGTCTTTAAAAATTATATTTATCTAAATGCTCCAAATAATGGAGTAATGTCTAATGATGAGCCCTGAAAACATGGGCGTTGAATTTTTTTTTTTGTCTTTACGATGATTCAAAAAATCCCAATATCAACACTCTGATAAATGAATATCTTTAACCTCAAGATCCCCAACTTGTACAAACTGCAAGTAGTCAGTGGTGAACAAAGGAGAGGCGATGAGACACACAAGACTCTCTAGCTGCATCAAAATGATTCAGTTATGTTGAAGAGCTGCACAAAACACATGAAAACTCAAAAACTACACGCATCCACATCTGTGTTAATCACGCAGTACTCTGCCACAAAATCTCACCAAGACGTCAACTTAGGCATTTTAATAGGCAAAGCCAGGTTCTTCAACAGGTGCAAGACTAAATGATGGGTTCATCTGTATAGGCTTGAAGGACAATACTGCTGGATCATAGATGCGACCATGTCTTGCACTTGGAATACCCTGAAATTTTAAAGCATAACAATACAGTGTTACAGTGTTAATGAACAATCACATGGCTAATGTAAGTGAGGGTGACTGTAATAAATACTTCTCCTTTCTTTCACTTGAAGTTTCAATAAACCCTTTGGCTGCTAAGCTTAAATAACATCTAATTTCACTTTCCACTGAAACCTCTGAATCACACTTTCAGGCACAAATCAAACTAATTTTCCTTGTCAGCATCTTAGGAAATTACAGTTTATCACAATACAGGAACAACACTATTGTTTATATCTTTTATTTCCTATATCAAAACCACTCATCTTTCTGGCAGTATCTGCCTAAAATTTAAAACAAGATTTTCATGCTTTTTTATGGCATCATACTTAACCCTTAAACTCCCAGATCAAATTTGTAATTCTCCCTACCATCAACTATACAATTCTTATAATGTTAGTTCAGGGAATTTAGTATTGGATCAACTGATTATCCCCAAATTGATCTTTTTCTTTATTCTCATCACTTATCTGGTTGATATTGTATAGCTATTGTAAGGGGAAATTCTGTATTGGTCACTCATGCGAGTTAAAGGCTTAATTTACATTTTATATCAACACAAGTTAAAAATAACTTTGATTTAAGGTGAGTTCAACTTCCTTTGAAACTGATCAAGTGTTTGCATCAAATCATGTAAACAGTACATAATACCATAAGTACCCCTTCTGTGCCAAATTACAGCTGTAAAGATGTAACCTGGCATCTTGTTTGAATAACCTCACAGGAGCACTGGAGGCTGAACAGTTTGTTCAGCTAACCCTTTAAGCTCTAGAAGTGACAAGCATCAAACTTCTCCCAATTGTATCCCCTTAAATCAAATATTAAGGTCATGAGAATAAAGGACATGATAGCAAATGCAAAAAACTGTTGGTCATTGGACAAACTCTTTGTATATACAATAGGAAATGCATACAGAGAAGTATTGAGAATTTAAATACTGATGTTTGAACTTACCCTTACTCTAACTGGTCTGGGTCTTGACACTCCATGAGTGTGCTTCTTTATGAAGACAGATTTCTGGAGGTAAAAAAAAATCCTGATCAATGATAGCAAAAGTTATTAATATAGCCCGTGCCGAGTTGTAATTACACCTTTTTAATCCAATCACCAAATGAATTAGTTTGGTCCTTTATACAATTTACAACTCTGGTTTCTAAGTAAAAATACAGAAATGCAGAGTTTTGAAGATGTTTTGTTTGCTTTAAACACATTCAAACTCGTGGATGATCAAACAACTGAGTAAATCGAGTAAATTGAGTAAATAAAGTACCACTTAAAAAAAGTGATGGACATTTTAATTTCTTGATCTGTCGTCTACAGGAACAATAGCAGGTCTTTGAGTTAGTCACGTACTGGCAACTAACATTAAAATTCTGATCATTCTCGGTCAATTTTCAGTCACGTAGACAACCAGCTGCTTGCCATTTCAGACCCTATATTATTATCGTCCACACATGTATTATGTTCACCCCTTAAACATTTCCAACTAATGTATGGTTAAGTTTCACATGCCACTAACAGTTTGGTTTAAAGATGAAAATAGAAAGTGTCAAAAGAGAATGACACTCATTTTAAAAGATAGACTTGAAAAAAAATGAATCTTAGTTGCAAGGGCTATGCTGTAATTCTCTTAAAATCAACAAGGGTGAAGATGTGAGAATAGGCAATTGGTTTCTGTTCCTATCCTAAAACCTGGTGGTGAACACAAATGTGTACTAGCAAGATTCCATGCCTAAGTGACAGGTCTTCAAACAAGGATAGTTATCCCTTGGAAATTTGCAATTTTTCAGAAAAACAATATCAACATCAAGAGTAAAATTACAATTTCAGGGTTACTTAGTTCATCAAAAGAATTTGGACCACATGGGATTAACTGAATATTTGTATTGACAAAGAGACTTCAGCTAAATTCCTTAAGTTGGTATGGCAACCATCAATTGACAAATTATAAGCTGACATGTACATTCAACGAAGTTTAACATTATTTTTCACCCTTAAAATTTGCTTTTCAATTGCCCAGCCAATCACATCTTGACTTCCTATTAATCCAAACAAAACATTTCAACGAGTTTCAGAAGGCTGAGTTCACAAACAAATAAACACAAAAGGCATGCTTTGTGAAGAGGAATCTGCCAATTCATCACATATTCTAAAATTTCAGAGCCAGGGCAACGTAATATGTTATCCAGTAACACAGTGGTGGTGGCTAGTCTGGAGAAAACAAGTACAAAGAAAAAAAAACTCAATAGAACTCCTGGAGAGAGGGAAAATCTTGCCCCTGTACGATTACTTTGATCAAAAATGCAGAAGGGCTGACAAAATTGGCACCTTCTAATAACGCATCGAGAGAATACAGCAATTAAATCTGATGCTTTCAAAGGATTTTTGGAGCTCTTAATAAAATGCGTTGTTTACGCTTCACGGATCCAAATGAAAAGAATATCATCGTAGCTAAATGACAGATTCGATGCACGAGTTGGCACAAGATTCAAACAATAAAACTCATTGTTTTGAAAAAAATTCACCCCTTGTGAACCATACCTGTTGCATTTTCTCGAAATTTAATGATGGTCTTGATGAATATCCCTTGTCTTCGGCGAAAACAAGACGGTGTTTTTTCCTCGAGTGTCCTTCACTTGTGAATGTAGTGGGCCGCACTCGTGACGAAAATGCAGAATGTTTCGACAGAACAGTCACCTTGCCAGGTGGACTTGAGCTGAGAACAAGTGGTCCACTACTTTTACCGCACAGTTCTTTAATTTCGTCATCGCTTGATGAACTATCGTTTCCAGAGGCAAACTGTTGCAATAGTTTGTGAGCATTTACTTGAGACCACTTTCGCTTTTCCGGTGCACCACTTTCCCTTAGAGGAATATCGATCGGCAAGAAACTGCCTCTGTTGTCCCCCTTTGAGTCTCTCTCTGTGAATATATTTTCTTTCGCCGCTTCCTCTTCAAGTCCTGCGAAAGCTGTCGCTTTGATCTTCAGCGGTTCATCTTGCACATAGTTGTTATTCAAAGGTTTGTCGGCCAGCGCTAATGGCGAAAGTGAGATCGACAAATATTAGTGATTGGTTGTTGTGAATAAATGTAAAAGGGAAAAAATCTCTCAATTACCTCCGTTTATCTCTTTTAATTCGTCGTCCTCGTCTGTACTTCCCTCTACGTCGGACTCATCTTGTAAAAGTAACTGAAAAATAATGAAAGAAATTGAAATAAACTGTACGGATAGTTTTCAATACATAAGAACAAACGAGCTTCGTGTCAACACCGTGTTGCAGTGGAAAAGGAATCGTACTTTTACCTGTGGTTCTAAAGGCTTGACTTCATTGATGGATTGGTTCTTCAACTTAAGAGCCAAAAATTTCAGCATTTCTTTCTTGATGAGAAATCCTTGCTCAACTGTTTGATGGCGGGAACAAGAGCCTTTTTCCCGCGAGAAGCGTCAATTATGTTGACGTCGCGACGCCCTATTCGAAGAAAGAAAAACAATATTTTATGAAAAATTACACTTTACGACATCAAGGCTACTGCTTTCCAATCTACAGTTCTTTCAAGCCTTCTATTATTCTCAGCAAGAGTCCAAAACTCGTTGAAATACATTACCTCTTTCTTGCGGTTGGATAGCGATCATCCCAGACAACTCGTCAATGTAACTAAATTTTATATTTCATGAGCTTAACCGGCACTGCTGCCTACCATTCCTCTATAAACGGATATATCAAGCTAAACATTGTACTATAGCCCTTCGTTTACAAAATAAAAGTACTGTAAAAGTTAGTTAGACGAGCTCACGAACTATCAACACACGAATGAAAACAGCACACAATTCGAAATTTAGAACGAGGTCTGCTATCTAAACTCAAGCTTCAACCATCGTTGTCTTTGCATGAGTTTGACGGTAAGGATAAATTTCGCGAACCAAGAAGGAAAATACAGAGATAAACATAGACTAGGCACAATTCTACGAGCGAACTTCACAAATTTTAAACGCGGTCGGGAAAAGCTTTAATTCACAAGGAGAGGGAAGTCGTACAATTCTGAGAGCATAAAAAATTCAGGAAAGAGGACGGGTGGTTGGGCCCTCGAAAAATACTTAAAATTTCGCTTTATCTTAAAAGTACTAGCATTACGTTTAACAACCAGGCATTGAAACACTAACTTGAAGAAAGTTGTCGAAGCTAGAAGTTTCAGAGGAAAGGCTGACGAGTGGCAAATTCATGACGAAAGTTCATTTCTAACTCACAATGACGACCAGGTGCCGTTGACAAAGAAATGCGTGTTCGCCGTTTCTATTTTTTCGATCCCCCGCGGCAACCTAAATTTGGACTAGATAGTACCGAAGGCACCACCGGCCATTCGATTCAAAATATTTCTTTACCAAAAACAACAACGATTAGAATGCCAAGAACGTTTGAGACGATACCGTTCACGGTGAATGTGTCATTCTCAAAGTGTGTGTACAAGGCACATTTATCGCGTTTATCGACATTAGAGAGCTTAACATTTTTAGACTAAATGCGCTCAACGAGGCAAGTACGAGGAAGTTTCAATAAAGGCATACCTTTCAGCGAAAGCCGGAGAATTCACAATGTTGATTCCATCGTACGTTATTGCTTCCAGTTGAAGTTTGCAAGCGACGTAAATGAACACCCTGGAGCACTAAATAAAGCTCATGGGACCAAATTGCAGTGATCTGATTGGCTGCTGTAAGTGAAAACAGTCCATTCACTGCGCTGACAGCCGGTGACAAGTGTGCGGCCGTGACCCCGAAGATAAAATATTCGATTTTTTCGTGAAATGGCAAAGTACAAATTAGCATGTCTGAATATTACCAAGTTTCACAAACATAAGCACTTTATGCGCTCTCTTTCACAAGTTGAATCGTGGAATCTACGGGGCGACCTTTCGAGAGATACGATTCACTTATCAATTTCAGAACTTGGACTTTAATTCGTGCCTCATTCAAACAAAACACTGTAAAAACAAAAAAAATGTCGCTCTTTGGCCCGACACTTAGCCCGGTGGGAGTAGAGGGGGCGGGACAGACACAAAGAAGAACGGACCGAGTTGCTATTAACTCAATTTTGCGACTCTCGTGCCCATCACATGCCCGCTGCACTTTACTTTATCTCCGATAAGAGAATTTGAAACTTTATCTGGCTTAAGCTCGGGGATATCTTTGAGGAATTTTGTAAAATAAATTTTCCCGAAAGACAATTGCAGCTTTAACCTAGCAATTTCGTCTGGTGGATGGCTGGACAAAGATCGGTCACGCGAAACCGGCAATGGCCCGCACCAGCAGCGATCTTAAAATCAATAAAGAGCATTCTTGAAACATTTCGATTGCTAATAACGTCATTAACACAACACAACCAAGAAAACACGATTTGCATGGATCAGTTCATAACCTAAATTTACATTTGCGCCAGTTCGTAAGCCCCACAGTGATTTCACTTGATCATCCATAAAAGTGATGAGTTAACACCTCAGGGTTTCTTAAGTGTAAAATGGTACATGTGAGCGGCAGGTGAACAGATTAAACCACCTTGAAAAATGATCTAACAGGCATTTACTCAATTGACTTGTACCAAGCTGATTCATTTAAAGAGGTTGACCAATAAAAACGTGTTTCATGAAAACGAATGGCTGAATTATTCAAATAAGTCAGACCGCTTGTGTAATAAAGCATGTGACAATATTTCCCGTGCATCCTGTCTCGCTATCTAACTGGAGGGTGGTTAGATATGAAATGGTATGTCCATATCAATTTGGGCAAAACGTTTAACTATCTAAAACAAGATTATTTTTATCTTGACAAAGAGCTTTAGCTCTAAGAAATTCAAATATTCATTCTCTCCAAAATAGAGGAATTTGAAAATGACGATTGGTGGCGGCAAAAATGAAACTTTTCGTAAACGATGACGCAAATTCGCAGCGAAAGTGGAATCTGGCGTTTTCACAATTTAGGTTGAAGAATTTCATCGGGTTCAAAATGTAATTGTGTGATTTGAGATCACAGGGGCAAAATTACCGATTTCGATCGCGTTCAAAATAAACTGAATACTAAGCGCTCTACGATTGTCACGATTACCTGCCGGCAAGAGAATATCAACTGCAGTTAACATTTCTCTTGCCTTTGGCTATGATCTGCTCAGCTGACGCCACGGATTTTTCTCTTTTTGTGCAGCGAGGAGCTCATTGTGCCGTGGGGGGTGGGGGGTGGGGGGTGGGGAGGGAATGCAAACGCTCTTGATTTCAATGAGTGCAGGAGGAAAATTACCAAAACTAAAGCAGGAAGATCAAGGCAGATATATCTGTTGTTGATTTTCCTCTATTCCGTCGTCCATCATCTCATAATTACCTAACGAAGGTCATTCGGGCGTTTCTCTTCCTTCCCTGATATAGGATCATCAGTGGCTTTAGAACTAAGAGAACCATCTACATCTAATCTACGTACGAAAAACGTCATTGGTGGAAAAACGTACGAGGCATTGATGTCACTATCAAAAGTACGACAAAGAAATAATATTTTTAATATATCATTCGATACAAATATTACACTCGAGACAGAAGTCGACAGCCTTACAGATCAACCGCTCATGCATTGAATTACGTACAATACAAACATGCGTAAGCTGATATCGCATCATCTTAGATATCAATAAATTTACCATTGCAACTTCTGTAACTAGATTACATTATATAGAAAGGTATGGGGAAAGTGATAAGAGATCTATAACAGTGAGCTGAGGGCATATCAGTTGCCTGTAAAAACGAAATTAATAACGAGGAATAAAGAACAACAGCCCTTTTGAATTGGATGTCCGAGAGAGCAAAAACAAAACGGAATTTAAGATCCGGCGCTCGATTCTTCGCAAATGTAGCTTATGTTCCATGTCGGTGAACTAAGAATTTTTTTCTTTTTTTATGATAAAAGATTTAAACTGCTGTCCCTCGACTGAGACTCAAGCTGAATCGCAAATGTTCAGTTCGCAATTGCGTTGCTCAAAAGTTGCACAACCTTGTTGAAAAGAAAGAGTACGACCCAGCTATCCAACGTTTTAAATTACCTTTTGGCGTCGAAGGAAAAACTGGATGGTTCTGGGCTTATTTTAAATCAGATTAGGTAACAGGAATAACAGCAAAGATGAGTGATAAAAGGAAAGAGTCGAAGAGCTGAGAAATGTAGTCGTCCAATCGACAATGTTTTTTTCTGGAACAATCAACATCCTGTTGACCAAAAAATATTTAAAGACCAAAATTACTGAAATTTCACCAGGCGGAACTGAACAAAAATAATCTGCATATCAGTCTACGAGAATGGTGGTAAACTTTGAAATGTATTATTCTTTCTTTACGGATGAGTGCGGGGGCATAACTTTTGAATTTCATTTGTTTAGGTAAATTTCTTGAAAATTTTTTCGTCGCAACTTTAAGCCAAAGGCTGGTGGATATGTCCGTTCAAAATCTGTAATGTTAAACCGACGCTTGTTGGTAACAATATGAGAAGTTTTGTTATTTCCGGTGATCGCGCGGGTGAAGGGTCAGGTCTTACTAAACCTTATTCGTGCAAGGCCGGCCTTTTTGAAAAGTATACCGAAAGTTTAGCTGGGCACGTAAGTTCACTAAATGTACCGGTTGCACTCGACTCGACAGTATTAGAGAACATGGAGCAGTGTTCTTTTGTTCAGAGCTACTGTTAGTTATGATGGTACAGGTTGTTCCGTTTCTTCCAATCTCATAGGACAAATGCGCGAGATACAGGCGAAGAAAAGCCAACAGATCAAACTTGTTGTTTTCCCGATCAAAGATCACATCGGACGCCTCTCCAAACAACAGATCAATCATTTCGTTATTTTGCGTTGACATATGTAAATAATTTTGATTGCAGACACAGGAGAGGCAAGATAAGAGGACTAATTTTAATTAAAAACGTGTTTAGAGAATGAAATACGGGCCAAGGTGAAAGTAAAATCTGCCACAACAATATCGAAAGGTTAATTCAAAGGAGGCGGCTAATTATATTCGAGGCGTGGTCGATGGCTTAAAGAATCCTTTTAAACATGCGTGTTTTATTCGAAATGGCCCAGTTGTAAAGGATGAAGATACCCTCTGAACACCTCAGAACCTTAACGGAAGGAGATGTGTCTACACTGCATAGATATTCGATGAAAAAGGCGGTTTCGTTGAATTGGTAACCAGGCTGAAGTAGATAATTTTGAGAAATTTCGGCTTTCTTTTTCACCCATATCTACTTTCAAAATTAAAATTTCCATCACTTTAGCTTGGCAAGTTCATTTCCTCATGTGATAAACGGGGGCTAGCGAGGAAACAAGATATTTTAGAAACTAAACCGGAGCGGTTGTCAGGGCTAACATGAAGCGCCGGAAAAGCGCGTTTGTTTCAACAAAGACATGAACGCCGGTTGTCAAATGGAGAAGTGATAAAATTTGAATCATTAGCTCACCACCTTTTGTCACTGTGTCACTATTTATCAGTAATAATGGGCAGCTTAACTTAACAGCTTATCCTTGAAACTTCTGACTCATTGCAGACAGAGAAAAACTTTGGAATGAGATCTTGAAAGTAGATCGTTACTGTTTGTTTTAAAAAGGCTATTCGTTTACATAGAAACACCAAAAACCGCTTTATGACGAGCATTTAATGGAAATAATTGGCGGAAGAGCAAACAGACTTTGTGCAAACAACGAGATGAGCTAAATAAATTGATTGTTCTATTAGAAAGCGTTTCTATCGAGTTTCTCCATGCTAAAAATTTTAGTAACCAAAAGGCTACCTTGAACAAAGGAGTAAATCTAAGAGGAGCCAATGAGGAACTCAGAATGAAAACAATTAAGCGAGTTACCTGAGGCGCGCGGGGATACGCGGGTGACTAGGTTGCGATTGGTTTCAGTTTTTCATCTGATTGGTTGACACGGTGCCGTGGGTTTTCTAAAGCAGTCATAAAATCATAGAGTGTGGTCGGGTAAAAACTCTCGATCCTCAATTGAAAATTGCCCAAAGGGATTCAAGCCAATTATGCGGTATTCATTTCTGGCAGCAACTAGGAAAAATCCTGTTTAATTTAAATGGCAATATTCTATTAATTTCTATTTACCATTCCTTTCGTGAAGTTACGTCCGTCGGTCAAACAAAAAGCGAGGTGTTAAAAAAGGCGAAATTAATCGAGAGAGCCTGAGTTCTAGAAATGCCTGGAAGCGCCTGCTCGCTTGCTAATGTATTCCCTACCCGAACCCTTACCCGTAATATTTCAGCCCAGAAAACTGAGCACAGCTAAGAGATTATGACCTGTTTATAACCTCTTGGTACAGCTGATTTCTGTTCAAAATAGTCTCTATAAAACATATCTCAAGTAAAATCAAAAATGTAAATCTTGAGGGTCGGTCGGACAGAGTCCTTGAATTTTCTCCATTATCATTTAATTTTCATTTTACTGAGACTTATTTATTTCAAATCTTTCCATTCATACGCTCCCTGAAGCATCAGATATGATTCCGACGACTTACTTCAAGAAAAGTAAATAAACGTCTCTTTGTGAGTCGATATTATCAATAGAGAAACAACGGATGTTTAGAGCTTCTTTGTCCTGGAGTTATGAGCTCCAAAGAAAAAAAAAACAAAAAAACGCAAAATTCAGTTCGCAGAGAGACAGTTTCAATGACCTTGTGCGTTCCCTGAACGCCAGCTGAGAATACTGGCGTTCATAAGTCGGTTTTTTCAATAACGCAGAGTAATTGATTCGCGCTCATACCACTCAAACTACATATGTCTCGTACGTGACTTTGTAGTGAGCTAAATTGACGGGCGAGTTGAAACAAAACAATTGTAACGTAAATAAATGAATGAATTTACAATTGAAGACTGAACTTATGGGCTAGAATGAAACTAGGCACATAGCACGACACAATTTATTCTCAATATTGAAACCTTCAAGAACTATCATTACTTCTTGGTTTGCACAGGACGTATTTGGTTGAGAAAAATACGTTTGCATGCCCGTTTATTTACTTAGTGTAGCTATTGTTCCGATGCCAATGAGAAATGAGACTTGGATGTCTGGCGTGTTATTTAAATTTTAATCAAAAATGAAAACTAAACCGACAAAAAGCCCTGCTAGAGGAGGCAAAAGATTAAAAGTAATTTATTGAAACAATAATTTTTAAGTTCATGAAATCGCCTTCTTCTGCACGCACATACAACGAATGATATCTATCGTGTTCGATACTTCAAGTAAAACTAGACAGGTAGGATATTGACCCTGGATATCGATGTTAATTTACTGATAACTGAATTTGACTAGTAAATAAGCCTTTTTGAAGTCGAATTTCGCTAAAAGATTTCCATTCCATTGAGCTGTAAAGATATTTATGGAACTATAGATTTATATATGCTATGAATCTTACTACAAACTAAATAATTGCAACACGCGTTTCACTGCCTTGTTATCTTTCTCAAAAATTTAAATAAATTAATTAGTTTCCACGTTGCGAGCTTTCAGGCCGAGCATGCAATACTAATATAAATTCGCAAAAGTTCAAAGAAACATTTCCCTGAAGGTAATCTTAAGGGACATTTACAAAGACTTTCTGATATAGAAATGCCAGTTTAATACGCGATGAGGGCACGAGGTTAGTATGGGTTGCGGCAAAGTAGTAAGAATGTCTGGAGGTTCCTTAAATTATTCCAGCAGTAAAGGAGTTAATTTGTTTTGGAGCAGACATGTTCTAAAAATTCCCGGGAATATCAGCCACGACAAAAAAACACTAGATCAATAAAATCTAAAAGACAAAACGGTCACTTACCAAAATATGAACAGATAGGCCTCAAGCTTCTGGTTTGTAAGAGTACCTCACTCAATAGGCAGCTTTTATAAGCGAAGACTGCCGTAGTTTTTGACACCTTTCTCACGGAACTGCAACCTGTCCGACGGATATTAAATATTTATAAACTATTACAATGAGTGTTCTAACCGCTTACCATGGTAACAGTCATGGGAACGTGAAGGACGACTTGAAATTTCAAATTAGCGCTGAATCCGAGACTCACTTGGAAATGCAATCAAGACAAAACGGACAGCAAGTATGTAACACCATTGAGCCACCAACTTCGTTAGAAGTTATAGGCATAGAGCACGTAACGCATAATGAATCAGGCTTGGCATAATTACGAGTGCCTCAGAGAAAGCTGAAAAGCCGTTTGAGCTAAAAATTATTTCGCGACGGTTTTGGGTTAAAAATCGTTGAATCTTAATCGGGAACTGAAATAATCATGTTGAAATTAAAATGATATGGCACCCCAAAAGGATAAATGAAATTGAATAAAATTTCACCTGCAGGTAAACCACAGATAGAGCCCCTTAAAAGTAGAAAATATTTCTTCGATGGGACTCCTTCCGTTCCACCCGCTAATTATAAAAGACTGGTCGCTCTGGAGCTGTAAACTGAGCTATCAAGGCACTGTTGTATTACAAGCGAGCTAGTTTCGGTAATTTTTTTTTGTTCTTTTTATAGCAAGATCTTTCACACATCTGTCTTTACTCAAGAATAGTTGTATCCCAAAGCGTAAGGAAATTGTAATCTATTATGCAACGTGGAACAGTTGGTCAGAAAAAAATATCGAAAAATTGTTTAACCCGTGAAAATTGTGGAGAATATGTCTCTATCTGAAAGGAAAAAAAAGCTTAACACGCCCAAAATTTAAATGGGATTGAAATAAACTGTATTGGAGGAAAGTGTACCATGCGTTTCAATACAAATATGAACTTCAGGTTACAAAACGGAAACGTTTCTATGAAATGCAGACATGCCATTCGTCTGAAGATCTTTCAAGCCTGGAAGTAAAAATGTGGTTTAAATTTTTCAAAATTTGAGCAAAATTAGCTTACCAGTGAATTATCGTCGTATAGCATGAGAGAGCTGGGCTTTGGAGGCAGTCAAGCGGTCAATGAAATTGTTTTCACAGGTAAAATCAACAAACGTTGCCGTTTTTTACACCCGAAGTCACGTAGCCATTAGGATTTAAATAGATAGCGACGTTTATTAATATATCTGTGGATCAGAATGTTTGTCCAGACAGACACATAATAAGTTGGCTCGACCCGACCATAATTTCGCCAGCAAATGATTATGAGAAATTATGTTTGCTGGTGCTAAAAGTTGTCAAATTTCATTTGCCTTTTAATTCGTCGAAATTCTTCAAACATTTTACATGTTAGCGCCAACGTAAATAACCGTTTCTGTGACCATGCTGGGATTTCGCTCCCAAAGACCTTTGTGGCAGTTTCCCTGTTACAATAACAAAGAAGTTTTGTAACCTGGTGATTAATTTTTCTTAGCCAATATGCTTTTTCGAGAAGGGCATTTCGTAATAATGCTAGGAACAAGAAAGCAACTGAATGAAAACTGGAGGTGGTGGAAGGAGGAAAAGCTTACAATGGTTTGAGGCGCGCTTAAGTTTTTTCTTCAGTTTTGTCGCAAAGTGTTTTCTTTCAATTCAACTCATGTCACGCATTTATGAATGTGTGGAATAGTCCTGAAGAAAAGTAGAAAATAAAACAGCGACATTCTCAACCAAATTTTAAACATGTTTCTAGAGAAAGACTGCAAAGAGGCCACTCGGTGATATGGCAACATTCACGTGATAAAACCAAAGTTTTCATAAGCAGAACAATATCACTACATGTCCTTTGCAACACTTTCTGTGATCTGTCTCTGTCCTATGCAAATCAGAAAAAATGAAATAACAAAATAGTGTGGAGTCTGAAAACAGAGACTAGGTTATGTTGAAGAGAGAATTTAATTGGCCTTGTTACAGGAGGTAAACCACAGATCACCTAAGCTTGATATACTAATACTCTTTCAAAATATTGTTATTACGCAAGAGAAGAGACATACGTATGTATGTATATTTTTTTATGGGATTAACAATTACCTTAAGAAACCAATTTTGGCGGCACCCTTTTGTACTGTAACTGACGTGAATTACTTTTCGTGTTGGTACGGAAACAACGTTTCTCCTTTCAAAGCTTGGCCTCCTTCAAAAAATATTTCTTGACCGTAATTTTCAATCGATCATAATCATAGTCACCCTGGACTTTATGATTTCTTCTTGGCTACTTATTAATTAATATTTGTCCGCCCTGAAGAAAAATGATTTAAGAATTATTTTCACGGAAAGGTGATTCTTTTTGACGCTCGAAATGACACAAACTTATCTCCTCTTGTTTCCCAGTGGAAACGTTTAAGAGAGTGAGCAGGAGTATAAAATAGCCAGTATCATTTATGATTAGTGTAAAACGAAAACATCAAAATTTTCAGCGAAAAAACTAATCAAATATGTCCCGGACATGCAAATGACCAGCGTCGATTTCGATTGATGAAAAATAAACAAGTAGATAAAGCGAAGGCAAATAAAATTTGTCTCATTTAAGCAAATGATTGATAATAAGCTGCAATTTGGACGAGAGACGGAGACAGTCCCAAAAAAAAACCGCAGCCAGAGTTTTAAGTAACTACGTTGGATTAGCTGGGATAAGACTAGTGAGTATTTTACCGTTGTGAACTTATGGAATTCTTTGCGTCGAGATCTGCACCCCTGACGATCTGTGCAGTCGTTGTTTACCCCTTTATCCTGAGCCAAAGTTTTCTTTCTTAGTTTGTTTTTACTTGATTGGTAATTTTTGTTATCTGACCGAGCTGTCATTTCGAGGTCAAGATAGTTAGCATGACATATCAAAATAAAAGTTGCTGTAGAATGGGGTCTTTCATCGATAATCGGCGATAGCCGGACGTATTTCCTCCCTGCTCCCGACATTCAGGTGACACAAGGAAGGAAACTTCCTCTCTTGGGTGACACTATTGTGATAACGCGAAAAATACCATTTATGAAACCGGACATTATTACTGAACAAGAGAATTTATTCTCTCGTATTAGATCAATAATTCTTTAGGGAAAAAGCTCGCTCTTTTAGTATTTTGCCGGAGTGTCAGATATGGTTTTTTTCTTACTGGAAAAAAAAGGCGATTTCAAAGAAAGAAAAATAATAATAAAATGATTGTTAATTGAAGCAGGCCAGGATAAAGCGACGAAGCGATTTAGCATACACTCCTTCTCAGATAGAAGTCCCAATATAATGTGAATTTATGGAGCACCATTCCTATTCTTGGTTGTCATTCGAAAAAAGCGCATGCTATGGCGAAAATCAGGTAATGTGGCTATTTTCAACCATAGTTCTTTTCCATCCCGTGTCGCACGCTTTGATTGTTTAGCCTCAAAAAACTTCTCAAATGTTTTTTAAAAAGTGTATGTTTGCAGACCTTCTTTCGATCCATGATGGGTCGAGGGAAACAGGTAACAATAAACCTGTAAGTTAGTGAAGAAAATATTTTATTTACATTTCCGAGTCGCGGTAAAACGTTTTTTCTACGGGTGTTCCTGTGAATCAGCAAACCGCGGATCCTCCGCCACCTGCGGAACTAGCTATATAATTCTGTAAAAGGAAAGTAATGAAATAAAGTAAAATCCAAAATTAAAAGACCTTAACAGTGTTTGAAATTTCATTTTCGGGTATAAAGAAGGTTACGTTAAAGGATAAATATTTTCTTAATCGTCCTTGACGTCCGACTAGAAATAACTGACTTTGATTGTGGCGTCATTCACCGAACAAAGGTACGTAATGTTACAGAGAGCAATCAGCAATCTCCTACGCCGAGCGTTAGTAAAGTGAGTTCCGCAATATCCGAATAACGCCTCATCCGAAGGCTCTCAGTAAACGTTTAGGCCGGAATTGGCGGCCTTTGATCCCATTTCATTGTACATGACCCTAGAATGACGAACACGAGCATAAAGTAACATCATCGTCCGTGATGCTTAGAAAATTTGATTGGCGCGTCCGGAGTTTATTTACAGCGATTTGCTTTCTGTGGATTCGTTCAGTTGGCGTAACTCACAGACCTACCTCGGAGAGGATTATTAGAGGGCAATGGAGGTGAACTAAAATCAAGCTTAATGGCCTCAAATTAGCCCAAGAAATTCAGGCTAGGCAAAGGAACAACCACTTGAGCGAGGTAAGTTTGGCTCTATTCAAAATAGGTCAGGTCGTTTTAAGGTTGAAATCGCCATTGTTTATTACCATGTACTCGCCTATCGCGCAAGCTGAACATATTTGCAGTTTGACGGAGACTCACTGTGTGAGCCTGGGTTACCTGTGGTTGAACTTCAAGGAAGATAAGAAAATTTTTTCCTTTAAAGTAATCCTCTTAAACCCGAAATCAAACTTTCAAACAATGTTAAGGTCTTTTTAGCTTTTTTTTTATGAAGGAAAATATAGGTTCCGCAGGTTTCGCTTGTTCCGGGAGTTCCGCGGTTTGCTAATCCACAGTTTAGTAGCATCCTTTGTTTATACCATTTTCAGCTTTTATTACATTTGTATCAGCGTTTTCTTGATGCACACTCTGCCTTTTTTTTTCTCTTCTTTGCCCAATTTTTAATGCTTGCTTTACTCCTTTGCTTTTTCTTGAAAATAAACATTAGACGCAAATCCCTGAATATGAACTGAGTCCATATGCAAATTTGTTGGGGTTACCAAATAATCACGTGGTACCAGAAGCTATTAGCAAAATGACAAAAAAAAGACCTAAAAATATATTTTTTTAAAAAAGTGCCAAACTCGACCGTTCAGAAGCAAAAAAACCAACGAGTTTCTTGCATTTACGAGACCTGAGCGATAGCCTCACCATGCTGGAACCGCTGTTTGTATGACTTCACTTCGATAAAATCGCGTAGGGTTATGTTGAGAATTCTAGAAACTGAAAAATTTAAAGACAAAATCTACGATTAAACTGTACTTTTCTAGGATACATCAACACTGAAAATCATATTTACCAATCCATGTAATGCCTCAGATGTGGCAAAGCCTCAGTTGAAGTAAACAAGTTCTGTTTTGTCGCCTTTGAGAATCGCATTTCCCCTTCCTCCAGAGCTAATTCAATCCCTTATAACACTTAAATTTCCTTTATTTTCGAAATTTATTTTTCTTCGAAAAATGGAGTTTTAATTTGAGCTCTTATAGGCATAGCTTGATCGATATGAGACGGAATTATGGTGTAATAACTTCATGAGGCCGTCTGCAGGAACCCAAGAATTGGAAATCAAAGGTTTTCGTTAAAATTTTGTATCTTTCAGGATGTAGCCGCGCGAAACGACATACCCCCTGAGGGATCTAGTACAGGGTTGGCCAATCCCAGCGTTCATTCTGAACAAAGTCGTGTATGGCCCGCAGTGTGGTACGTTTTTGTTTCTCTTCGAGGAGCGGCATTGATTAATAAATCAGTGAAATGTATGTTTTCTGAGAACCAATCAAGGACAAAAACGTATATAAGTGTATACTTTTTTGATCGCCTTGATTTTCTTTAGACATTGATGACAAGCGCCAGTCTTACACTGATCAAACAAAGAATCCAGGTATCGTTCGTCCACAACAGAAAAGTTCACCAAAAAAATCATTTTTCGTCGCTGAGAAATTAGTCAAACTGCAAAATGAATAGGAACTAATTCAAATTGCAATTTGCTTTGAGTCTTACTATAAAATTCTGCTGTAATGCTCAAACATATAGAAATCATACGATTCACCTTTCATCTGGTTGAACTGGTTCGAAACCGGTTGCGTGAGACGACTACGCTAGACCACAAAAAAATAAATTATCTTGATTATCCTTGATGAATGCGCAGGCACAAAATGTTAATTCGTTAAGAGAAAGAACTGTCTGCCTGCCTCCTTACAACGATTGCGATCTAAAAGAGAAACCAGTCTAGATATTTAAAGATGACAGAGGTTACTTGCCGCATGCTGATTATTCAAAATACTGATCATGAAAGTCAAACAAAGGAAAACACTTAGGAAAAATGGCTAAGGTTTGAAAACTCGATGAAATAATGTAAATGATGTAACCATTGAGTAAAATCTGAAATCAAACTCACTTGATAATGTTATAACGAAAAAAAAGGAACGAATTCAGAAACTCGTAAGCGGGCGATGCAGAATATTTTCCAAGGAGTCGCCAAGGTTTACACTGAATACTGTCAACTGTTGATGTTTCGTTACGATTCAGATCTTCAGACATAAGCAGACAGATTTGGGCTTCTGTCATTCAGCCTGGAGCTTCATGTTAATTAATTCACGTATAGAAAATAAACACACATAAAAACCACTTAAAATGTTTCAGTGACTTGAAATATTCTAAATAAGATAATGACTATTGTGATTTTGAGTAACAAGGTCCGGTTAAACTCGGGCTAAAATTAGGACTGAAATTAATATATGTGTGAATTTACAAACGATCCCTGAGGTTGATAACTATTTTGATATCTTAGGAGGAATAAAAATTTAATTTGAGATAGTGAATAGCTTTTTAGCTCTAAGTTGCTTTCTAGCGTTTAAAATTTATTTGATCAACTAAACTGGCTTGGAATTCGCATTTTATGCTCACAGGTCAAAAGAGGCTGTTTTTTTAATTTTATCTTGCAATGTTGATAATTCAGGAAAACATTTTCAGTAGAGACATGTTCATGCAGCCACGTCAGAGCTTGGAATCTATTCATTTTTAGGAATTGACAGAGAAGAATTCACTTTGTCAGAATTCGAGAGAGAAAATCTCATATTTCCCACCACAAGGCCAAGATTTCTAGAAATTAATCCTTCCCATCTGAAGTGATGCATTGTTTGGCAGCCCGTTAAGATGCATTGTTAACGGGGCGCTCACGCGATATGGAAAAATTTTCCTCTAGCGGTTTCTTGAAGTTGAGAGTAAAAATTTTTAAAGAAAAAGTTTGAGTATAAATAATTGCATGAAAGCTACTCACGTTTTTTCAAGGAAAAGATTACTCAACGGAGACAGACTTTCAAAGCGTCGGTCTTCATCACACAAGTTGATGTTTACAATTGGGGGGTCTGGAAGAAGTTTCAATTTTAATTTAGTTCTATTCGACAATATCACTTTCGCAAAGCAAATAAAGCGGTGTTTTAAATTTAAATGTAATACACATTGCAATTATTTGACCACTGTGGCCAATCATTGTCTTAATATACCAATCTTAATGGCATAATTCTGAATTATCAATAACTCCTAGATAATCTTTTGTCTGCATCCTTAAAGCGCCGAACTTTCTGGATCCGCTGGCAGGTAAACAAAACAGAGGAAATTCAACGCGTGTGATTTACGTGTCAATCTTGTTCTGTCTTAGATTCGAAATTTTTCCGGGAGTACTCAACAAAAAAACATTATTTTCGCGAAAAAAGGAGACACTGCTCTATTTCGTGACCACGAGAAATTGATTATCAGAAATTACTTTAATTGCCTCAAGAAAAAACTATAAGTTTGGTGGTAAAAAATGGCCCTTGGGCGATGAAAAACTTGACTGCGGAAAGCCTCTTCAGTGAAGAGAGCTTTTTGTTTTTCTTATTCTAGAGACACGATGGACTGCACAAACTACGTATATTACAGTTGACATCGGCTTTTCTTTTGTCGGAAAGAAAAGAAATATCAAAATTAAATAAAGTTTGATGAGATGGCCGCCGAGGCAAAGGTGTGGCTAACCTCAAAATATTGACTAGTTTCCAAATTTCTTCAACTGGTAAAAAAAAAGTTTAAATATGCGTTTACTGCCTTTACCATAAATAAATGTCAAAAGTCTAATTCGTCTCTATGTAAACTCTTTCAAAAAAGCTCTTCCGACGAAATAATACATATTTTAGCAAGGTCATCTAGATTGCTTTCATAGAATTAAATTTTTAAGTTTTCCTTTTGTTCTTGGGATTAATACTGTAGGATTGCTTTTAACACGCAAATCTTCTTCTTAAGAACACGAAATACTTCTTCTTTCCTATCATGAGCTTTATTCAAGATGCACTGAATCACAAAAAAAAAAGAATTTAGCCAAAGGCAATAACCAAAACGTTTTAATTTATAAGCGAACTGCTGTTGAGTTCCCGACAATGAGAACGCATACAGTTAATTCACGAGTCGAATGCTTGTACGAAGAATTCTGTGACCTCAAACGCGTGAGGTAACTTGTCGAAAATGACAGTGGAAAAAGAAAAAAAAGATTTTTTTTCGCTATTTTTTTCGCAAGATTACTCCGGCCATCTACAGAGTGCGTGATTAATTTCGAAAGCCATTCAGTGAGAAATGATATGGCACGACAGGAAATCGAGCGCATCCGGCTGAAAGTTTATTCAACCAACAGCGGCACGAACTTAGCTGAAAATCTTCCATACTTAATGGTACTTGAAAAGGGGGTTCTTGAGGCTTTTAAAATCATTGTGTGCGGATAAAAATCACTGAAACCAATTCCATGTAACTTCGTCCCGTGCCACTGATGAACAGTCCCATAGATCCTTTCGCTCCGATCAAAAAAAAGGGACGCACGGGGGCCGATGGGAATGAGGAAAAGTGCGCCGGAAGGATAGGGGAACAAAACAGGTTATGGACTGAAGCGTCGCCATTTAATTTAAGTATTGGTTTTTTATCTTCTGACGACCTAATATCTATGTCTTGCTTGCAGCTGAATTCTTATTGGTGTAATAGTCTTTGTAATACGCAGCAATCTATTGGTTGGATGGGGATGTTTCAGATTTTTATGGAACGGCAAACATACGCTCAAACGAAACAAAATTAAGAAAAAAGCCTGACAGCACAATTTAGTGAGCGGAGCCCATGCAATAAATTGGGATATCAAGGAGCGGGTTTTTGACTCAAATCATTGTCATCATAACGACGCTACCTCACAACGTCGGAAACTAGTTCAGTGATGCACACCTAATTACAGTGCTGTAACGCTGTCATCGAAAAGTGCAAAAACGAAAAGGGAAAATTGAAACTAAATTTAAAAAAGTGAGAATATAGCGTAGGCATATAACGTATTAATATATATAAATATATTTCTTTAATCTTTGGAAATTTTTGAAATTTCTGAAAAGCATCTAATACTGTCTAGAAGTTTGAAATAATTCTTCGGTGGAAAGTCTGTGGAACTTGTGCGGCTGCCGTCAAATTGCCAGAAGGTAGCTTCATATGCTAATTAATTCCTATTTGGCGTCTTCCTTTTTTGCTTTCACCATCACAACGTTATTACAAGTGGGTGTAGACAGATGCTCTACAATAAAATTAACCTTGCATGTAAAAATTGAGGAGTTGGAAAGGCCCTTAGCACTTCAGTACAAAGTAAAGATATCTGTTGGTAGCACCAACCTGATCACAGAGCTGCTAAGTGACAAATTGGTAGTCATGCACTACCTGCAATTTAGGTTGCGTGGGAGCGATTCCTCTAGCCACCAAACAATAATTGTTTTCCAAGGTGGTCAAATTCTTCAGTAATCCGAGTAAACAAATAAGGGAATAAAGATAGTTTATAGGTTGAAGTTGTGAACACGGAGTGCTCTCGACAAATTTGGAAACATTTGGCCCAAATCAATGGTTATCAAGGACTGGATTTTACGAGGAAGGAGCGAAACAGTTTGCCAATAAACAAAGTATCATTACTGTTGTTTTTTCGTTTGCACTGCCTCTACAGTCGACAGCTGAGTACTTTAGACTGTACATACAAAGAAACTAAAAGCTATTTCAATGAATATCTCAGTTTCGCCTTCAACAGACAGCAGACGATTTAATTCAATTTATTCTTACTTATTCTGTCCAATAAATAAATCTACAACATGTTATAACCCATTAACTGGTTAACTAATTATGAATAAATATTACAATATCTAGTCTACTATAAATACGTGCTCTACTGCCATCTCATGATAAATAAAGTGCTTATTACTTTCACCCGTGCATTTGTTTAAGGTATTTTCATATGTTTAGTGTTCGTTCATTCTCGAACAAATAAAACGTACTTCCGCGTTCTGCAATAAAATAAACAGCTCTCCTCCCTTGATAAACCTTTTCGATTCTTAAAAAAATATAACATTACTGATAAGAAATTTTACAACCTGGAGTTTTTTCTTAAATATAAACAACGATAAATAAAACGCTGTTGCCTTTGTTTCAATTTCCAAGAGAGATCCCCGTTACCTATTAAATAAATTCAAATAGCGGGTTCCTAGTTATCGAAATCTTGTTTTGAATTCATGACTACACCACTGATAGCCTGATAGCCTCAGAGCAGGCTCTCATCACCCGCCCTTCTGTGGGAGCGTATCACACTAATTTCACTTCGCCCGCAACTAAGTTTGAAGCCTAGAGGAACACAAGCCAGTGAGAGTTCTACAAGTAGTCTAGCACTGCTAATGAGCCGTGCCAGACCCCTGACAGGCCTCTACCCGACTCGTCTCCAATCTTCTCGCGGGCGGAAAAAATCGCGCTGCAGCGCTGGTAATGAGAGCCTGCTCGCAAGCTACATCACCGATAGTTAACCAAATTTTCTATAAAAATGTCAATTACATCGCTACTTATGATCGATCAGTCACGCAGTCTCACATTCCTCATAGTTTTTGATCGTTAATTAAAGCCAGTTTTTCAGCTCAGCTAAAAAAACAAGGGCTTACCGCCTTGCGTGACACACTAATTTCACTTCTCGTGAAGATGTGGCTAGGTTACGAAATTGTATAACTGATTAACTCACATCTCGCTACCAATACGAAAGCGTAACAGGTTAATGCAAGAACTATGGAAATTTGGCCAAGACGTGCAACGGCACAACAAATTAAGCATACAGTTACACTAAGATGACTTGACCTTCTAACCTGGCGTGACAGAGAGCCATAGGATAACATTCCCTACCAATACACAGCCACTAAGAATGAGGTTCTCGACTAATCTGACTGAGAGAGTAAATTTGCCTCCACGTCGTGCCAGACACAAAATGACCATATTGAAAATATCACTACCTATGTTGTCATGGTTTGGTATACCGTGCTCTGTTGATGAATTCTCTGTTTCTAACGAAAGTCTGAGATTCAACCAGCTACTGAAGTCACAAACCCCTTTTTCGGAGTCCGAGGGAAATACGCGCGATATCCACCGGTATATCACACATCCCAAGTTTCATCGGAGGAGTCGGTAAAGTCGTGAGCTGGACCACTGCTATGTTTCTCCTAGAGTGAAATGTGTACATACATTATGAACATCATTCAGTGTAGCCTGTCTTAGGAAACCACCTTTAAAGGAAGACCGCAAAAGCTGGGCAAGCGGGAGAGGGAAGGAACGATTAGCCCTATCCCCTGTCGGTCCTCTTAAAAATCCCACCGACTCTTTCCCGCCTACTCATTCATTCGTCCCCATTGACTGAGAGACTGACACAGTTGAAATAAAACACATTTAAATTGATGCTAGCACAATCGTAACGATTTAAACTGCCTGTTCTTCAAGAAAACACGAGAAACATTACGCTAAAAAAAAAAAAAAAAAAAATCGGAATTACCGCTTTATTATCGGAAGTCAGCGCAGAGGCTTGTTGACAATCTTTGTGCCACGAATCGATTAATTCCCAAAACCTCTTCTGGTTTGCGATGTAAGTGGCATTCTGAGGTGTAGAAACAAACAACGAACACTTCAAAAACAAGAGTTTCCTATCAAATCAACCTGTTTCTCTCCTCTTGTGTTTTCATGTATAACAGGTCAGTTTTTCTGATTTTTTAATACATATAAACCAAAAGATACTACTGATTACTTTCTAGGGAAATGCGTTGAAGCTATTTTTAAAATAACTTACATCCTTTACATGTGATTTGTGTGCGTTGGCTAATTAATTATATCGTGTAAAACGTACCTCTCGCTTTAGAGTCCTCATTTTGGTACTTTGCTGAGCTAAAGTTTCTCTAAGCTACAGAGGTAAAGGCAGAAAAGTTAGCTGAAGTTAGTTTGCGTCGTATATTTTGCTCTTGAGAAAGAAAAAATATTTTTCAACATATAAATGCCTTGTTTTACCAGGATTTCCAGTTCTGAGAAAAGACGTAACAACACACGTGTGAAATTACTATAATTTTTACTTGTGTGTGTGATATAAAAGAGAAATTCCATATCTACGCGCGCCCATGCATTATTCTCTATATATCTACCGTGCCTGAAGTGGACTTTGCCGTATCTACGCGGTTCATTATTTGGCGAGAAAACGTGACCTGATCACAGGTTCAAAGGGGAGGATGTTGTAAATTGTGAATTTTGAAATCCAGCATTGATTACCCTTTCACTAGCCGAGAGATATATTTCAGTCCTAAAATACGCAAGTAACCATAAAAACGCGAAACATACAATTAATCCCAGGATTTGAGAGCGGATTCTCCCTAATTGCTGCCAAGCATTTCCTAGGGGTTAATTTGAGAGAATTTGGTGGCTCATCAATATTACACTCTCTAATTGATGACTTTGTCTACTTATAACACCTTGATATTACATGTTAGTCGCTTCTGTACGTTTAAGACAAATATTTAATCTTGGGTGTGAGAATTTCACTCCAGGCACATCAACAAGAACGAACTATTACCTTTGCATTCTCTTGCTCTAGCTGTAAAAGCCGGGCTGCCATTTCTTGAACATCACCTAAGTTAAAAGAAAAAGATGAAAACATTGATTCGAGTGAAAGATGGCTGGAACAGACATAATTGATTAAAAAAAAATACGCCCCAATTCATATGAAATGAACACCGCCCAAATGGCCATGGAATTCGACTTTGCGAGTCACTCGACCACTCATTTTCCCATCGGCCATGAAATAGCAAACGAACCTGGCTGAAGATCACACTGGACCGCTACAGACGTCATCGAGATTTCACTATAAAAGTAATATTACAAAGTTAAAGGAAGCTAGGATTCCTGTCAAATAAAGATAACTAATGAAAAAAGTGATGGGTTCCAACCATATCAACGTATCGAAATTGTTTCGATTGTAGTTGCTTTATTGACCATCAACTATAAGTCATAAGTTTGGTCCACTTGAAAGTTTTCCGACATTTGAACATTGTTTATAGGAATGCAACCGAAAATGTTCCAGGCTCGATGAGTTACTACTATTTGTGATAAGTACAGGACTTCGCTGCGCGCGCTTCAAGTTCCGCTATCAATGAACGATTGGAAGGTAGCTAAATACTCAGGATCGAAGAACGCAAGAATTGTTTATTCACACTGTGTGACGATCTCTCCAGAGATATTTTTCAATCCAGTTCCCTCTTTAATACCTTGTTTTTCTTGGTGTTCAATCATTTAGCTTCCATTCATTACAATGGGAGCTTTGAAATAATTCGATTAGGGGATCTGACTTCACAACTTGATAACTTAGTTGACGATGGCTTCATTACTTACCATTGGTTTGGAGGGGGAGTTGGTGACGGGCCATGTCTGGGAATATACTCAGCTTCACGAAGTTCCTGTAAAAGTAAAATAGGTGATTAATTGGACCAATAACTCTTTATTGCCTCATTGAACGCTTATCATTTAAGCGTCGTAAAATATAAAACAAGGTAGTGCCTATGGCCAATCAGAGCACAGGAAAAAATCACATGGGGCCATTGAGAACCTACAGTGAAGGAAAAATGAGCAACAATGGAGAGGTTTGTTCAGATCTAAATTTGAATGGTTGAGAAAGGGGTGTGCGTTTTCTTGAGCAACAACAGAGCGAAATGAGGGAAAACTAATACCTTACTCATTTGAAACAAGAAAGACTCAACCCACCGATGATTTAACAACTACTCCGAAAAAATACTAATGTATCAGTACAACTGAATTGGAATTTCTAACAAATGGTAGTGCACATTTAACATCCATACATTTTTCAGCCAGCCTGGGACACTGCCCTCAGAATTGGACAAACTACGTTCATTACTGGATGCGTTAGCCTGGGACGGGTTCCTGCTGGAGTTGTGCGAGCTGCTTGAACCAATGGAAATGTACTCCGCCTGATCAAGCTCCTAAGGAGGGAGGGAAGGGTCAGAGTTATCTACATCAAAATGGCGCGGTTACTGAGCCCGTAAAGTCTTAGCAAAGCACTACAAGGGAAACAGGAAGAAAGTTCCAAACAACTAATTAGGAAGTGAGTTGAGTTTTAAAAGTTCCAAAAATTCCGAGCCGGGTATGTTAAACTGTGTAACGTGATATAGCAGAGGATTTCAAGCAAGAGAAGATTAAAAAGACACGTCGCAGAAGAGGTATTGAAAATACTTTCATCTCTTAACGATAGCTTAAAAAAACTGGGCCCAAAAATGTTATAGATCTTCATAATCCATATTCCAGTAAAAAAAAAGTGTCACGAACAAAAGAATTATCTGTAGGACATATTGTTCAATGTAACACCACATTCTAAGAGTCACAATGATACGAGATGTTTAGCAGACAGTGCAGAGGATGAAGCTTTACATCTTGAGAGTGGAAATTTTAACTTTTGGTTTAGGCTTCTCACTCCTTGTGTTTGCTTTTGTGCCAGTGTTAATGTGTTTGCTTTACTTATCCGTTGTTCACATCATAGCACAAATTTTACTTCGAAACGAAATCACTCGTAGCAGAAAGACTACAGGCGTTTCTTAAGAGTGTAACAATAAATGAAAACTTACATCCTGGAGCCACGCTGGTGGTACACTGCTCTCTCCCAGACTCCTGAGGCCGGAGCCGGGCCCAGGGTCCCGAGGCGAGCGGCCCACACCGGAGTCCTTAGTTTCGCTAAAGTGGACATTCGGAAGGGCGGGGCCACTGTCATGATCGATGTCCAATCTCATCTGCTCTGAAAAGACTGAATCTCCGCCGTTATCACCCGCTGTCGAAGGTACATAAAAATTTGTCGCCTCAGGAAGTGATGGCTTATCTTTTCTTAGGTGCGTTCATTAATCTTTTGAGTCTATCCTAAAAGACCTCCGACGGGGAAAAAATAACGAAAAATAATCTATACTTAAACGGATTTCATTTCTCAATTTTGCAGTTTTTGTTGGTTTTCAAACTACAAGCCAATCAAAAAACAGGTTGTGACATGTTTGATACGCATGTCATAAGGATCTATTGCTCTCCGTCTCCCACCCCTCCCTGAGAAATAGCAACTGCACTCACATGACTGTGACTCCAGAGATCGTCCTTGGGACCCTCCACGTTTGACAGTCCGCGAGCTGAGGACACGTTCTGTGGAAATAAGAATGAAGAAGTCAAAAATTTGCACGAAAATGTGGTCCACTCTTTCACATTTGTAATTCAGTTCACAGATGAGAGAGGTAATTTCCATGTTCTGAAATTCACTTAAACAAAAACACATACCAGAACCCTGTATACCATTCACTTCTTTCGCTACACGTAAGTTAGTCTCATTTTTCACAAACCATTCTCTCCATCTTTGCTCTGTTTGAGAATGCGTTGCGTGAGGAACCCATGCTAAACGTCTCTCATCAGTCCTCGTAAACTTCTTCACACTTCACCTAAAATATCCGCTGGGAGACCGCACATCAACACCAAAATATGGCTCTATTACTGGGCCGAAGTCTGCACAAAGATTTCTTTGAAGGGGGGAATAAATGAAGCAAGTAAAAACTGGCCATTCCTATTATAATAAAACTGTTTTCAAAAGTATGTCATGAATTGTTTCATATTTACCAGCCACGATAAGAGAATTCCAGTGTCTACACGCCACGCAAGACATCACGTGTAAGGCACCAAAAATAGGCCTGGGGACAGCTGTGCACGGGATTCCACCCTTTGCCCGTGCGAGGCTGTCAGTCAATACACCAAGTCGACCATTGTCGCCCCTACCCCACGAGTAGATCTGATTATCTGAGAAAAAAAGGGGAGCATGTTAAAAAAAAAAACTAGCCATACAGTCAGTTCTCACCTAACGGACAACTCCTGGCAAATCTCCAGACAAGATCATACATATTTGACGAAAAAACTCTTTTATTTCTGACTTCTGGACACCTTCCTCGGTCCTAAAAGCATAATGCTATTGTTTCGGACGCTAGTCTTCATCTTTGGATATCAAAGCAGAATTACTTGATTTGATTTGCGCTCTTTCAGCCACTAATCAAAATTGAAGTGCGACGATGTTACAGATTTCCACGCTATATCTGAGGTGGTCTAGATCACTGTGTCCGCCAAACATCTAAAAAACTTCAATTTTTTTCCTGGACCATCGCCCTGGTTGAACTTTCCCCTAACGGTATGTTCGTGCTCTCCGTTGTTACGGACTTTCGCTATTGCAGACACCATCGGTGTCTCCAGACACATCATTTGACTGTGCTTTAAACAGAACAGTACGAGTAAATATCCATAGACTCAGACAATATGAGCCTGTGTAAATCGCTTACCTGCGGTAGCAACAACGGTGAAGTCATCTCCACATGCAGCATGTACAATCTTTTTACCGACCATTTCTCCACCGATGATAGAGGGCCCCGCCCGGGGCTTGAAATCCCCCACCCCCAACTGCCCGAACCTATTGGACCCCACTGTTATCAGCCGGCCGTAGGCTGTGAACAAGTCAAAAAGAAAAAAGGTTAACGGAAAGCTAACCTTGAAATTAAAGTGACTTCGTTGTGCTCGAGTTCAATCTCGCAACTTGCGAGAAAATAAAGAATCAACCCTAAGGACAATAATACGGAAATTTGTCTGGCCCATTTGATTGGTTGTCTCGCCGTTTAAATTTACGTGCAAAAGTAAAAAGCAATCAGAAGCTACTCTTCAAAAGTTAATAAACTTCAGCCTGCTCGCTTTCTCTCTCGAAACTCCTAAGGAGGCTGAACCCTGATGAAGCAACTTCACAGAAATGTTCTAGCGCCACTGATTAGCTGTTTCTCCGTCTACAATTTACGCGCTTAAGTTACAACCAATAAGAGGCAGCATATGAAGCAATATAAATGTAGAACTCGAAACTCTACCAAGAGTGCTTGCAGGTCATTTCAGATCATTCTTCTAACGAGAAAACAACCAAAATTTAGACATAGACACTTTGAGCTATCGGCCGCGACACATTTTTACTAAACTTCGCCTTCCTTGGCCGACAAGCTTACCGTCTATAACAGCTGAATGTGATCTCCCGGCTGAAACAGAGGTTACGCTGTACCTGAAAAAGTAATAATAAAAATAAACAAAAAAACAAACAAACAAAGAAAAAAAACATCATTAAAGGCGGTGTCAGTCAACGTAATCTTAATACCACTAAATTCAACGGTTGCCTGGCAACTTCTTATCGTTAAGTCTTGTACAGAAGCAAATGGGCCCACACAGTCATAGCTTTTCCCAACGACAACTAAGATTAAATCTATTTCCCTTAGCTGGGATACTAATTCATTGCAGATCACCTCCCTCAGCATTGCGCCTTTGAAATACGAAAAAATGTAGGAGAAAGAGCAAACTAGTATTTTTAAGAAGGTACTCACTTGTTAAGAGGCATAACAGGTTTAGGAAGAGTGACGTATGGTAAGTGACCTGTGGTTGACTGAAAATGAAACAAGCACGTCACCGGTTAGATGACGTAGAGGTAACAACAAACGGCTTTTGAATGTTTGATCACCGCACAATTCAACAGAAAAAAAAGGGCAATTCAAAACAGAAATTGGCACCATTCATCTATCTATCTATCTATCTATCTATCAATAGCTAATCGCAAAACTTGTACTCCATAAAATCAGAATCACTTGTTTATAAATATCTTAACAAGATGCTAAATTTTCTGCTTCAAGACTTGCACTGAGAATGGTAGAAGAAAGTCAGAGAATTTTCATACTTATGTTATTCCCTCTTTTGCAAAATTAATCCCGTAGATAATTTGAATTTTCCACAGAGGCAAGCGAACTAGAGTTCTTTGTGCAAAAGAGTCACATTTAGCAGTAAAACGCATGCACCTTTGTCTGTCTTTTCCTGAGTGACTGTGGTGTATCAAGTCCTAATTGATTATCTTCATTGTTACCAAAACCCAACAGTCGTCCAGTTGAGGTCAGCAAGAACGTAAAATCTGAGCCGCAGCACACTGACGTAACCTTACACTGCAGTGGTACAGCCACCTGGCACAAAATACATCAAGAGTACGATTAATTTGAATTGTTACGAGTAAGGGATTTCAATTCTTCCCGTAATTTGCGAGCATAGAGTTCTATGGAAGCCTATTCATCGTCATAACAAAATAAATAAATTTTAACAAATCAGTGCAGTTTACCTTTTGTGGGGCAGCACAATCGTCTTCATTTCCAAGACCCAAACGACCTTGAAAGGAAAAAAAAAACAGCTGAATTAGAAAACTGCTACGACCTGACTGCATGCAAAGATTACAAAAATCAAAGTGCTCTGTGAGCAAACTCGTGAATTGACACATGATTTTTTGGATTATGTTTAATGTTAGCTGGTTTAGGGAATTTTGTGGTTGATTGTCATATCTAGAGTACGAGCAGTAGTTCAGTGTTCGTAGCAAAGAAACAAAGTAACGTTGGGATAAGAAGGAATTACAACTGAAATGATCACGCTATTGCATTGGACAAGGGTGGATGATGTCATGTGTTTTAAACGTATATCATTTCTGTTTCTGGTTCAAAAGAAAAGGTTGGAAGTAAATGTGGGTAAAAAGTGAAATTCACTGTCTATCATTGTAAATATTAGAAAATCAAGGCAATACTGTCTTAATGAAAACATTAACGATTCCCTCTTTATCAAATGAGACAAACGGGAACGAGTTTTGAGTGATATAACTAAGCCAAGACTGCCACCGTCATTTTGGATCTCCGCCTGGGTAGATTTTAGTCACGTGCTAGGCAACGTATAATCAAGAACAAGATAGAATTTCATTTCAGGCCTATTTATCAATTTTGTGGTGTATAACTTTCGCATTTTAGTACGTAGTATTTATTTTGAATCTTCAAATTGTCTTGAAACTTAAAATAAAATTGTTCTTTAAAAATTCACTGAAAATCGGTAGCTAAAATTGTTTGTTTAGGTGTTATTTGATTTTCGTGATAACTTGTAATTTCGTCAGTCGCCGGCATCTTATGTTACTTCACACAGGAAAAACACATGATACGAAACGTAATGATCGATTTTGTCCTCAATCTCACGCCATAACAGAAAAAGCTTTTGAACATCTGTAAACTCCGAGCGCTTCGCAAGAAGTGATATTTTCAATGAATCTTCGAATTGTTTTCAAGTTCAAGGAATGTAAATTACAATTTTATGAAAAGCGAAGGTTGTTCAGTTATTTAAGTGTGAATCCTTGCATGCCTGCTAGTCGCTGGCGCCGCTTGTTGAAACTAAAACGAAAAAAAAAACTCTTTTAAGATTATCATTGGCTTCTTTTTCACCCCACCACTATTCTTAGCAACAAAGGTCGCCATTTCGTTTGTTTATTGCTCGCCAAAAACTATCAAATGCACTCAAAAGCCTAAAATCGAAAAAAAGTTTACAGGAATCGACCAATCGAGCAAGCGAATGACATTCTTCACATCATATCTACAACTCGCTCTTGAGCATGCGCGCAATTCACGAGTTAAAAAAAACGGAGTAGACGACTGCAAAGCTATGCTCCCACTTATATCAACAACGAGTACGTGAGGCTGTATAGAATTGTTTCCTAGCGGAAACTCAAGAATGCAAAACGTTGTCCTTTTTCGCTTAAGTTCAATTTCAGAGATAGGTAAACTTACCGTATTCTCCGCACCCCCACGAATAAACTTCTTTCGAAACTGCAACAAGGAAAAGGTTAAAACGAAGTTTAACACGATCAACAAGTTATTCTTAAGTAGGGCAAATTAAGCGTACTTTCATTCGCTTCATTTGCCTTTGCATGGGTTTAGTTTAAATTCATCGGGTTTTCTGTCAAGAAGTGGTTGAAACCAAACTGGATACAAACCAACACAAATGGCGGATTCGGTTCATGTATTTTACCCGTGCAGGACACGGCTTACAAAATTTCACCATGAGCTCTGATTGGATCGCCGCGCCCTATCAACATGTTGTGGTTGGCAAAATGAGGTCATATCAGTTTCAGGGCCAGTATTAACAACTAGAATGCGATGCAAACTAACCCGTAACAGCTACAACATGGCACTCGCCACACGCTATTTGTAGCACAGGATTATCAACAAAGAATTCCACTTTGTAAGGCGTTACGACTTCTTCGTCCAACTCGTTATTACAACCAATGCAGCCCCAGTAGTCAGACCCAAATGTGTACAAAGCACCTTCCTCTGGTGAAAAACAAATGGACATCTGTATCAGAATTCTCCCCAACAGCTTTCATACACCTCCTACATATTGGTTTATGAGAATTCGATTTTAGGTCAAGAATTAAATTAAAACGATTTAACGTTAGGAGCCAAAGAGGATTGCCCTGAGGTTGATAGAGTTGCTGGGGCAGAGAGACACCGCTGACGCGAGAAGAAAGTAGAGGAGGGCGAAGATGTTTAGGGATGAAGAAGATTGAGACAGAGTACCAATTTACCCCATGTTCCCGCTGGGTTAGCTAATCAGAAAACTGGATCCGCTTCATCTCACCAGTTACCTGGCCAAACAATAAAATTTATTGTCGCAAAACTCTCGTGGAAACACGTCGTAATGGATCTATGGCGACCTTTGATGAACTTACACAGGAGTGTTACTACAAGACATACAACTGTACCTGTTACGCATGCAGTGAATTCATCTCCACAGCCCACTTGTTTGATAGAAATTCCGTGTAAAGCTTCAACTGGTTTGGGAATGCGATAAGAGGCGGTATCTCCATGCCCTAATTGCCCCACCATCTGCTTACCGCCATGAGCATTCTTAAACAGAGAGATATTATCAAGGTGAAATTAATCCAGGATTACGTTGGTATTGCTTTACAAGGCTCTGTGATTGGTCAAGAAAACTCCAACCACCCTCGACAAATCAGATGCAAGTCTACATCCAATGGACACTCATGTTTCGGGTAGTTTCCTGGTTTATGCTTTCATATCCCATTGGCTAAAAGTGATATTTTCGTGTTCTGATCGGCTTTGACCGACTACTTACAAGGCGATTCTGGTTTCTCGACGAACCTTCCAAAATAACACCTTGAGCGACTTAGTTCTTCAGTTTCAGAGGGTGTAGGTTTCCAAAGAAATTGTAGACAATTTGGTTTTAACAACAGTATTTATAAATTGGCCATCGGAAAAATTCTCTAAAGCTGGCGTTTTGAGCACTGACAATTCGTCATTCGTTCTAACAAAGGGCTAAAGAGCTTTAGAAACTCCTTACGGCGGCCAGTTTTCATCATCAATTCAGCTGATGAAACCAAAGGAACTTCAGTTTGTTTGGGGACAAAAAGTACTTTCGATAAAGATGCTCACACATGTGTCCCATTCCAATATTGACACAAAAAAATCACTGATCTGGGTAACAAACAGGCGACGGTTAGAAGAGGTTACTAATAAAAAAAAAAAAAAGGTATTTTGAATTTGAAGAAAATTTCATACTTACAGCCCATGTAAATAATTCATTTTCAACAGTGACAACAGCAAAATGAGACTGACCAACAGCAAGCTGAAATTGAATGAAAATATCTCTGATTGCAGACTTAACAGAAAAGTCAAACTGGATAACAGTTGTGAAAATCACTCAAAATTAGTACCCTGCAGCTCTGGCCGGGAGAGCTGAACACGTCATAAATTTTTTGATCGTTTAACATTATCCAAATGGTCAACAGCAACATCGTTGACACCATATCATAGCATGTCATATCGTGCCAAGGGTAGTAGATGAGTGGGAGACTGGGGAGACCTAGGTGCTGAGAGTGAAGCGTCTAAGGGCCTATTTACACGGTACGACTTTGTCGCATGCGACAAGCTTACGACAGGCTTACGACACGAATTGTTTCGTGTAAATCAAACCTACAACTCGCTTGTCATGGAAAGCTTGTCGCATGCGATGAAATAGCTTAAGAAAGAATGAAATAGCAGGCAATCGCGATCACAGGAGTGAGAACGTTCGCCTCTCGATATTGTGGCGCTTCCTTATTCCCAGGGTTTATTCTGGAAATGGGTGCCCTAAAAGGTGTTTGAACGTATTTTCGGCGTATATTCAGTGAGGAAACGAACAGGAGAGAGGAAAATTAGACAGTGAGGCGATAGAGCTGCTCTCGTATCAGTTTTGATGTCATTTAAATTCTTAAGTGTGCATGCACTTTATTTTAAAAGCAAAATATTTCTTTATAATGATTCTTGTACGAAGGCGCAATTTTTTCGCCCTATTTGACCTTGAGACGTATATTGCTAGTTTTTCGCTTCAATTCTTTACTGCATTGCGGAATCCCTGTGTCCTAGAATAAACCTTGTATTCTTCACCCTGGAAACACAAGTGGGCCAAATTAATGTCCCATATGCAGGTCTCTCCTTCTATCCACAAAGAACGAAACATCAAAAATGTTTCAGTTGGAACAGGTGGCCTCGTTGAATGTACCACTGCTAAACTCCATGGCAATTTATTTAACATATTTTAACGTTTGTACTGACAATGATCTTGACCTACCAGGGCATAACCTGACATGAGTAAAAGAAAATGAACAGAAGGTAAATTCACCTGCAGGGCAGAATGACCTCCCTGGAACATGTCAACTTTGTGAGGAGTTTGTTTACCACCACCCCAGTAGAATACCTGCAACCAAAAATAAGAGAAATACATATGTTGTTTGATGTTCATCCTTACCCTAACCAATAACATATTATCTAATAATTAAAAAAGTATATCCTTGCAATATCAGAATTTATTTTACAACTGGAAGCGCCTTTGGACGATATGAAGCGAATCCTGTGCTCTGATTGGCTACCTGAGCGGGAAACATGAGCCCAACTTGCCCGCTCGGAATTGCCCGCTTAGATCCCGCGCAAAAACAGAGAATTGACGTGAACTCGTCTCAGTCCATAAAAACGCAAAAAGAACAAAAAGGAACTCGGCCAATATCAAACCATCGAACGGGTCTGATAACGTTTAAAGTTTATTCACAAGGACGAGAAATGCATTACTCATTGTTGAAGTGATCAGGCACGTTGCATGAAAGTGAGATTCTGATGCAAATACACTACATAAGGGGCTAATCGCTTCATCAAGTTTCTTACCTCGCTCGTTTTGGCTGTAATCACAGGAACAACTTCAGTTGATCCACTGACTAGCCTGAAAAAGTAGAGGTAGAACAAAAAACCCTTTCAGTTTCGAGGACTTGTGCATGAGATCGGCGAGTCTTGAGAATTACATCGTAAGTTGAGTGTAGGCTGTAACTAGCAGAGTTAAATATTATTTTAATGTAACGACTTTGTGAAATGGTCTTCCACTGGAGTTAAAATATTGATGGTGTAGAGGAAAGTTAAAAATATAAGAATACACATACTGTACCTGGCCCGCCTGGTTGAAGAATTTAGTTCCCAAACTTTCTTTTCCATCTCTCTTTGAGCACACGAAGAAGAAGAATATGAAAAGGCAAAAAAAAAAAAAAAAAGAGAATTATAAGATTGCTTTTCCTGTAACTGACTTTTAAATGATCCAATATTCTGTTCTGCTTTGATTTCAGTGCACCTCAAAACCTTCTTGGCAAGCAAAAGTAAAAAAAAAGCTACTTGAATAAACATTGATTGAAAAAAATTATTGCTGTCACTCTTGGGTCATATTTCTTCAGTGTTAATAATGGCTCTGGCTATCCTTCTGTTAATATTTCCATAATTTTTTTGCATAACTTTTAGGAACCCATTAAACATAACTATGTAATTAATGATTACCAGTCATTACATGTACCTACGTTCCATTTCTTACACAAACTGATTTGGAGATCTTTAAAAGGAATGGGTGAGTCACACATACCTTCCTAAATTGCTCAACAAAGGCATAGCAAGAACTCCATTGATTGATGGTCGGTCTTCAGGATTCTAGTGTTAAATTAAAGTACATGTAATTGTTTCAGAAATACAATGTGGTCAGATTTCAAAGATGTAGAGTTTAGCTGAAGGCCTCTAGACTAAAAACCAATGTGCATGAAATTTCTTTCCTCCTGACCTGCGACAACAGGACTTTTACCAGGCTGTTCATGTCTTGAGTATACTGTGGATCAATATCGTCATATTTCCCTTTCACTATTTCAGATACTAATCTAAGAGGATTCTAAGAGAGAAGAACACTGTTAGTGTTTTTACAAGGAAACACAAAGAACCCCTTTAATTTTCTAGATCATCATTACTTTAGCAGTAGGTATAAGACTTGGTGTAGGCTTTGCAATTTGTTACCCAATCATCTGAGAAACAGCTTCAATTTTAATCCCTTCACTTATTTTTCAAAGTAGGTACAAATTGATATACAAAATAATGTATATAATTTTGTTTGATTAAATTATTTCTAAATAAAATGGGCACTCTTAATATTCAGGTTGCATGGGATTTGAACCCATGACCTCTGTGATATTGGTGCAGAGCTCCACCAACCAAGCTAACAAACCATCTGGGAGTTGGTCTTTTTGTTTGTTTGTAATAAACCCATGAAGTGATGATTGAATTACTGTCAATATAAGGATAGCATGTTGCTGAATTACAGTTTCATTACTGGGAAGATTGTTCTCATGCTCATTTATTAATCCACATGTCTGAATTTTTTTTAGGTTTCATTTTCACTGCTGCTCATTAATAAGTAATGCTCAACATTGCGAGGACCTCATCTTCATTTACATGCAGTAATTCTGCACTTCAAGTCTAACTCATAATGAAAATTTTTTCAAGCTTTATTTTCATTACAGCTTATAAGTAGTGTTCTTTTGTTCTTTACTGTGAAGATCACTCTAGCTTATCCTCAATTGTTATTATTATTACCAACATTATTATTATTACATTATTATTTTTAATCATTATCATTGTGATTATTATTATTATTATTATTATAATTATAATTATTACTTACAGTTGCATCAAACACTTTTTTTAAGGTGAGCATCTCATATAGGACACACCCCAGAGCCCACATGTCACTCTTTTGGTTGTACCTTTAAGTGAAAGTTAAATTCAATCAACAATGGCCCTTCATAGGAATGAAATAAATATAAGAAATAAATCAAACCCAAGAACAAGTACTTACTTTTGTCCCTGGACAATCTCTGGTGACATATAATATGGTGTTCCAACAACCTAAAAACCATCACAGACTATGAATTTCTTTGAAATGGAAAAAAAAAATGAAAAAAAAAACCTTTAAGATAAATCTAATATTTTGATGTACATAGCATCTTAATTCTTGCAACTTTTTTGTTGCTCAGTTCAACCCCAATTTCTGCTCTTTGAACTGAATGATGACTTTATAAGAAATTGTTGAGATCAATTAAGACAAAATACAATCATGTACCTAGTTTATTTAATAATTATCAGTAGTAATTTAAAAGCTTACATGTACGTAAGAATAAAAAGTTGCATTACAGTTTCTGAGTTTTGATTCGTGTAAAGGCCAAGGTGATTACACTGATATATAATTATATAGCACCCCAACCTTTCTTATAGATCAGAAAAAAATAAACTCTGAGGCACTTTTCTTACAGATTCTGCCATGTATTCTTTGGAGCTTTTTAATACAGTTGCTATGCCAAAGTCTCCAAGTTTTACCAGTCCAGATTTGGTCAGGAAGATGTTTAGGGTCTTGATATCTCTAACAAGAAAAACAAACACAGTGTTTCATTATCATGCCTTAAAACTTAACAATTATCATGACCTGCACTGCCCCTGAATTGTTTGCTTTCTTGAAAACCTTAGACAAAAATCTCAGTTTTAGGGCCAAATGGGACAGCTTCAGCTTCAAGTGTGTGGCCTTGTGAGATACAAGTTGAAAGAAGAGAGAAGAAAACCAAAAAGTGATGGTCATTTGATAAAACTGACCATCACTTTTCATCACCTATCAATAATGTGGGGTGGGACAGAGGAGTATTTGGCTCTTAGTAATGATGCTCCCTCTGTTTTTCATAACTTCTGGCCAAATATTTTCTCTTCTGTCCCTTTTATTCAGTTGGCAAGGACATTATAATATTTACTGTATTAGCTTAAAAAAAAGTGACCCAGTATTTCTCTTCTTTCCTCTCCATTCACTCAGTAAGATGAACGTGATAAATGTACCTGTTAGCTTTGAAAAAAGTACTCAACATCAAAAGGTATTGAATGAAAAGACTCAATTACCTGTGAACAACACCACATTCATGAATATGACTCATTCCAGAACAAATTTGAAAGAAATACCAGATCACAATCTGAAATGAAAAACGAAATTAAAGTTTTCACCATTGAAAATAGATCTGTGATTTATTTCATCACTACCATAAGTACAGTAACTGTACCATTAGTTAGGGTAGCAATATCAACTAAAAAAACACACAAAACTTAACTGGCCAACAGGACATTGAGAATTACGAGAGTACCTCCTCAGCAAATAATTCCTTTTGACCATATATCTTGTCATTCAGAGTTCCACCATTGCAATATTCCATCTCAATGAGCAGTGATGTACCATCAATGTAATGATTAAAATATGTCACAATATTAGTGTGATTTAGTAAGGAGAGAATTTCCACTTCTTTTTCTGCATCCACTCTCTCCTTGTCAGTTGCTCGACTCAAGTTCACTTCCTTTACAACAACAAGCACATTGTCCTAAATAGGAAATCACATAACAAAACAACTAATCACAAACAGTACTAAACAATATTAAATTTATCAATCAAAAACAAAATCTGTTTGAACTATTAAAAGCAGAATGATTTTTTCTCAAAATAGTTGCTAATATTGAGATGAAATCAATGGCAGGATTATGACTGACAGGTGGGACTCACAGGGAAAGAGGTAGTAGAGAATGACATGCAGACTTGTTAAGCCCCAAATAAGGCTTGATACATTGGAAGAAGACCTAACTTTAAAAAGACAACTGATTGGCTGTAACACAACAGGAAAAACAGACACTTATAGGTTTCTACCAGTGTCACATTGTAAGGACCCTTGACTCTACCAGCCTACAGACAGTTAACCATGTAGGCCTGTTAAACCCCAAAGAAGGCTTAGAACAATGGAAGAAGACCTAACTTTAAAAAAACAACTGATTGGCATTAACACAGTAGTAAAACAGAAAATTTTAGGATCTGCTGGCCAGTGGGCCAACAGTTGGCTGCCAGTCCATAGGCAGTCCATCGACTGTAGGCTGATGTATTGACCAATGCATCTGCCAACATGTTGTTTGGATTGGATTTGTTATCTTATCTCAAAATACTGTTATTAAACACTTCAGTACAAATCAAGTGCCCACTATTTAGTGCTAATTACATGTCATCCAATTACAATATTTCAACAATTGCTCGCTTATCAAAGTTAATAGGCATCCATCTTTTTTTTTTTGTGTCATGTGTTGTAATATAAACCTTTGATTCCAAAGGTGAAAAAATGTCATTTTAAACTTGAATAAACAATACAAGATCCTAAATGATTGTCAGCTTATTCAGGGGCAAAGAGGAGCTGGTTTTAAAAATCTCCACAACTTGATGTGTTGATAAATGAGACATGCTCTGCCCAACAAGTAAGAATAACAAGTCAAAGAATTTGAAGTATTTCTCTAGTAGTGACCTCTGCAGATCCACTCATTATAAGCATGCAGTGTAATCCTTTGAGTATTAACTTGTCTTGTCTTATTATTTCCCTGGATATCAAATGACAGTAATCTAAATCCAGACAGGATTAGTTATCCTAAACAGCTTATAATAAAACCAAACATTTCAAGTGCAGCTTTCAAAAAATAAACCTCTCACATTTCTTTGATGAGTAACATTATATCTGAAACTCACCAACACTGCATTATCATAAGCTGATTATCACTATTATAACCACTGGCTTACACTTCTACTGATTCCTGAATAACTATTTCCATAGCTCGCTGCATGATGCTCTGAAGATTAAATTTATTTCTTTTAATCAAATTTAAATAAAGTGCCAGATTAAGGCAAGCTTATATTTTCAAAGGTCACTTGAGTATACTTCCACATTTGAACTTAACAAAATGCTGAAAATTACACCCTTACTAACGTGGGGACAATGAGACAACTTGATCTCTTTTACTCAGACTAATATATTGTACACTGCTAAATAAGCTACCAAAATTGTGTGAAACTTATTTATTGAATGATCTTGAAATCGTCTCTGGTCTTGGAAAAAATAAACTGCAAATTAAGCTGTAAATTTTTCTCTTTTAAAACGTTTAGTAGGCATTTTAGCCTCTTGATAGGTAGGTTTGGTAAATTATATCCCTCTGAGTATTGAAAAAAATGTACACATAAATAGAGAAATTATGTTATAAAAGCGGAAAATTTAGCTACCAATGCGGAATTTTAGCCACTTTAATAACTTGAGCTTGATTAAAAACACAAATTTATTCAGAGCTTTCAACATGTGGCAACTTGATACAAGTATGCGCTCAAACTACCATCATTTTTTTATATCAAAAACATTAGTTTGCCAAAGCCATTTTAATTAATTAAGATGCAGGCTTTATCATGAAGAAGTAACTTCTCCTATAATCAAATACAATTGCAATTCGTTCAAAGTCAACAAAAGCGATTTCCATCTTTTTCAATCATTTCGGCAGGTGGTCTCTCTAAGAATCAAATAAATTTGCCACGAACAGAAAAATATTTGATATCCAGCATCTTAAAAATATTTCAACACTTTTCTGCTGTAAAGACCGCTGGAGAGAGATAAAATTTGCAAAATGGATAGAGTTTGCACACTTTGCCTAGATCGATGCAGACTAGCTTGTGGTGGCAAAACGCAGACTGACTTCCCATTTTCCTACCTCTGTTTTGCGATACAAAACTGCCTCGCCGAATGCCCCACGTCCCAAGGTTCGTACCCTTGTGTATGGTTCTTCCGATGCTCTGCCATCAGTGAACGATTCATCCGCCATCATTGAGACGGAAGGAAACAATCACACGAACTAGCGAGATTTAAATGTCACTTGCATCGATCAAGGACATCGTCTTGCACGCGATTTCTCGCGCGCGTACTCGTTCTTCGAAATATTGCCTACCGAGACGCATTCAGCCACGGAATGAATGGATAATGTCTTAATATATAATGCAAAAAAAATGAAGCCCTACTACAGAAAAAAAGCGATCATTATTTCCTCGTGAGGAAACTAGAAACCATGTTTATGCGAGCGCTGCGACAAAGTATAAACCAGCTGATGGAGACGCCTATGTAAATGTATTTATCAGCGGACTTCATTTGGAAGGACACTATATTTTCATTACACAACAGTTTGTTGAAAGCGTGCCCGCCGCAAGATGGCGGCTGAACGGGAAGTGGCGCTGCTAATGATAAAAGCTATCGAGGCGGCTCTGAATCCGTTAACTACACAACAGGAAAGAAAAGAGGCTTATGAGGTAGTGTTTTTATATCACAAATTTACTTTTAGGAGAGCGAAAGTAATAATCTGGAGCAGAGAAAACAAGTTTGCTTTCGTTTCGTTCTTGTAGTGTTAGCTTTCTGGTTCGGTCATGCCTACCATTTTCACGTGGAGTACCAATAATTTTTCATCCATAACACCTCGTATATTGATATCTTTATAAAATAATTGGAAAAGGAAGCAGCATCTTCATTCATGGAATTGAGTAAACCAAATTCGATCGGAATTAAATGTCACAAACATATTGCATTTCAATGAGACCCCAGCTGTTGGAGGCTAACTGTTTAATTTTTATCTCTCCCCAAATCAAACCTTTAAACCCTCAAACCTCCTAACTCAAAAACACAATCCACCACCTTAATATTTCCATCAATCAACACAATTCCATGACCCCAATCTCATATTTGCCAGAGGTTTTCAAATTGTTTCCTGCCTGTCAAACAAAGACCAAATGACATCAATTAAAAAAAAAATGAATAAACAAAAAATAATAATAATAATAATAAATAAATGATAAACACCCTTTTTGCATGTGGCAACTCCAAGCACAAACCAAAAAAATGGAAAATTCCTAAGGGAGTGACATGGGCCCCTATTTTTTTCTTCTGGAAACTCCCATGGAAAGCAGGAGTGACACCAGCAGAAATATGTGTTTAAACATATAAGGGCCCTCGCTAGTGTCCGCTTCATAAGTGTAGGGTACTGTTTATTTGATAAAGTTTCATTTTAGTGGGAAAAAAATAGAAAGAAAAAAAAAGATCCAAGGATTTACTTGATGCATGTTTCATTCTGTTTGTTTACATGTGAAACTTATCCTTTGTTTGTTTGTTTTGTTTTCATCATTCAGTTTATTGAGCAGTTCAAGGCCAGCTCACCACTGTGTGTTTCTGTTGGCAAGCTATTGTTTGATCGTCAAAATTCTGCTATGGTGCGACATACTGGTCTTCAACTTTTGGAACACGCAGTCAAGTAAAGCTAATTCTTAATATTACTTTAGAGTCAATATTTCTCTTGTACTTATGGTTATAAGAAATCCCCTACCTTCTCTAAGATCAAGTCATTTAGATATTGACCAGCAAGAGGTATACTTATAAAAGTAAAAAGGTTCAGAACATTGCAATTAAGCCAAAGAATTCCTTTTAGTGGCTGAAATATTCTCCTGATGCAAAATGAGCTGCCTGCTCTCTAATACATCTAAGAGCTTAGAATGCTGGTTGAGGTTAGGAATGTGGTTTTGTACTTCAGGCACCAATGCATTTGACAAGTTGGGAATTTGGGAATTTGGGAATTTGGAGGGGGGAAGGGGGGGAAGGGGGAGAAGGGGGGGGGGAAATATGGAATGAACAGGGTGGGAGACAAGTTGAACCTGTGCAGTTATCTGTTTTATTGTCAAATTTTTTTAAAGTTATTTTTGGGATCTAGTTCTAGCAACCATTGCAAAGACAGGAAGGTGCGCATCTGAATATATTCATATAGATATTTGCGCCGAATAAGTATTTATTAAATAAAATAAATAAAGGTTCCTCAGGGACGATTCTCACATTTGTTGTTTGTTTGTTTTTTTGTCTTAATGACAGATTCAATTGGAATTCAATGAGTGAAGATGAACAAGCAAGATTGAAAGGGATCTCACTTCACTTGCTTGCACAGGTAGATCGAGAAAATTAATATCTGCTATTATTGTCCACTCAGGGGTGGTAACTGTACCCTCAAGTTTTTATTAGAGCACAAACAGATTTTCCTATTGAATTAGGAGGTAACTTCTCTCTTTTCTTGAGTCCTATGGCCTTGCACAATTGCAAAAAATTTCAAAAACTACTTTGCCCATAAATTATGAAATGCACTTGCTTTCATTTGCTTTTTTATACTTATCATGTGAAGGTTTTAAGCTTTAATGAATAACACCAAACTTACCAAATTGATTGGAGCTAGAAGGAAAAAACATCAATTCACTTTGAGAGTTAAAAGATTTGAAATTAAAGATTTCAAGAGCGAGGGTTCCCCTTGCCCCACCTTAGGTCATTGTAGAAAAAAAAATTTTCGTTTTTTAAATTTCAAGTAACAATTTTTCTCTTCCTCTCCCCCCTTTGTAGTCTTTTTGTATTCATGAGTGGTGCATGTGGCTTCACAAATCAACCAATCACATAGAAGAACTCTAACCTTGACTTTTGAAAACTGACATGGACACTTTTTTCATGAACTTTTGTTGTTATTTTGGCTGAGTTTTAATTAGTTGTTTTTGAGTTTTTGTTAGTGCAGCCCCTTTGTTTGGAATTTAAGAAGTTTTGGAGTTTTTATTTTAGACAAATGTTGTGGTTCATTTAACAAATTTAATACATTTAATATATTTCTTCAGAGTGTGGACTCTAGCCTCTTTTTTCGTAAATTGATTTTTGTACAGTCATTAAGAAGTAATTAGAAAGTGCCGAGGAGAAACTAACTTTGATGTGGTTAAGTGGCATTATACATGTATATTTATATCTCAAACCAAGCTTGGATATAATTCAGATGCAAAAGTAAATTTTATTGTCCAAAGATTTCCATTGTCTCTTGTTCAATTTGTGTGTTTTGTACCAGGGAAGTGGCTCCCTGCCAGATGAACCATTCCACATCAAGGAAGCATTAGCAAGGCTGGTGGTGGAGATAACCAAAAGGGAGTGGCCACAGAAATGGGGATCACTGCTTCCAGACCTCAATGACATCTGTACAATGGGGGTGAGGCACAAGCTTGACTTCACTCTTTTGATATTGTGATGAGATACTGTAAAGGGGAAGTGTCAGTATTTCATTGTGTTATGGTAGTTCTGAACTTCTGAAGTTTCTTCACATCCAAAGGACACAGAGAGAATTTGCCAAAATTGTCCTAAGAATCTAAAATCATGACATTGGACAGAGTGGTCTGGAGTGGCTGGTTGACCAGCTGTACTTCCTTATCAGATCACCATCAGCTGACTAGCTTTCACTTTTCTGACCTTCAGAATGTGCAAACAGAAATGGTGCTGATGGTTCTTCTGCGACTTGCGGAAGATGTAATGTCAATGGATAGCAATCTGCATGCCAATAGAAAGAAGCAGATTACACAAGAATTACACTCTCACATGGATGGCTTGTTCACTTTCTTCATTGACACACTGCAGCAAAATACTGCAAGGTTTAGGAGTCTAAAGGTGAGCCCCATATCTTTGAACTAGTTTTGTAACTGACAGCTATAGCTGTATGTAACTTGTAGCAGAAAGGAGCAAAATTCTGAATACCCCCCTCCCCAACCCTGCTTCTGGTTGAGACAGAGTCTATCAAGTTAAAATAGTGGGGGAAAAATGCACATGCAGTTCATTTTGATGGTATACAAATGCTTATTTACTGCACTGCATAATATTGTAATACCTTGGTGGAAAATACCAGGGTGTATTTCAAAGCCTGTATTTGCTTCTGTGTTGAATAGTCAGGGATTTTCGAACAGAAGAAATGCACACTGTTTTTTTTTAAAGCAGGGAAGTGTGTTTAGAAGAAAAATGATGACTCCCTTTTTGGCCCTCAGTGATTTTGTACAAGCTCCTGCTCCTCTCTGTGATAAAGCTCTCCTTCTGAAAGTTTTGAAAGGAGCCTCAGCATCATTAGAATAATTACAGTATAGGATTAGTTTTGAATAAAAATAATAATAATTAGGTTTTACACTCTGGCTTGAAATAATTATCAATGATTTTATTTTGATGCGCATGTTTCTTTTCATAGAGCCAGGTTGAAAGTGGGGACACCAGCTGCAAGGCTCAGGTTAGAAGTTTTTTTGTATACAGTGTTCAGTCATTTGTGGATGAAAGCAGCAAATAATGAGCCCTTAATAATTCTAATGCCTAAATTTCTCTTTTCAAATCAGGTATATGTATTAAAAATAATGGAAAAAATGCTTTACATGATACATTACAGGCTTCTATTCTGCCAGTGAATGGCTGCAAGTAGAGGATAGAGGGAGAGTGAAATTGTTTGGTACTTTTCTTTTTCCCTGCTTTTCTGGGGCCTACTAATGATTAGGTGCCTTTAGTACTGCAGTGTTTCCCTTTTTTAGGGGGTCTCTGATAAGAATTACCACCTATAGTACCAGCACTACTTATTACCATCTAAAATTGCTTGAAATCATTGAAAATTCAAGAGGTAAAGGGATTGTTCAGATGTTTTGGTAATATCTTTACCTGTGGTGCTTAAAACTAGGAAAGAACACCACTACTGAAAAAGGTTAATTGATTCAAACCTTCATTCACATTTGAAATTTCTCTTCTCCAAGGCGGCAGTGCACCAGAGACTTGCTGAGCAGACCCTCCTGACATTAGCTGGATTTGTAGACTGGGTGAAGTTCGGAACATTGTACATAAAGAATTGTATCATACTACAGATGTTGTGTTTACTACTGGAGGAAGACTCACTGAAAATACCAAGTTGTGAATGTCTTTTGATTATTGTCAGTAGAAAGGTAATTACTACAATAATATTAGTTTATTTAATAATGTGCACTTTATTTGATGGTTTGATATAAAATATGCACTGATGTTTTGCAAGTTGTGTTGTATTTTTCAGAGCTCTAAGGGGCAAGGAAAATACGAGCAACAATTTATTAATCCACTTTTATTTCACTTTTTAGCATTTAGATTTTAGTTTGTAAAATACATCCTAGGGCCTTAGTCTGTGGATCATATCGATCACATAAGGAGTACACAAAAGAGAAAACCAGAGGAGAGAGGAAAAGTGTTTTAATGTGACCAATGAAAATATCATGCCAAAGAGCAATTTTCTGTTTGTCGAAATTTCTGTTTAATTTGCTTTTCCAGGGTAAAAACGAACAAAGGATTCCAATGCTGAAGTTGTTTAGTGAGGATGCCATGAGTGTCATGTTGTCTGCTGCTCAGTAAGGAGAATTTGTTTCTAATCTTGAAATTTATAATGACATTGTTTCTCTCTTGTTAAAATTATCTTAAGTTACTTGGGCCCTTAACAATACTACACCTTGTCAGTATGTCTGGGTTTTTTTTGTAGTACAAACATGGGTGGGATGGTTAAGTCTGTGCTCAAGCCAAGTGAGGGTACAGTGTATTTTTATGGGATGCTAGTCCATTGAATGCAAGTTTACTTCCAGCATTCCATCAGGCTTCCATGACAATTCACCAGGACCCATTTATACTCCTGGGTGGAGAGAGAGAGGCACTGTGAGAATAAAGTGTTTTGCCCAAGAACATAACACATTGACCTGGCCAGGTCTTGAATTCAGACCCCTTGCCCCAGAGTCCAGTGCACTAACCATTAGGAAGATGGCAGATTTTGAGCTTGATGAAGATGAGGAGAAAGGTGTTTTTTGGTCTCATCACAAGTGAGGACAAATTAAAAAATCTGAGCAAATCCCATGAGGATTCTAATGCTAACTCTATTGACACAGATGATGCTTCTGACATTGCTGATCTCAGCAGTAAGCAGCCTATAGTCTCTGTGGCTCAGTGGTACTCAGGAGTGATGAATCTGAATGTTTGTTGTTTGTTTCCTTGTTGGTACTCAGAATTTTTTCTTTGTCTCATGCTTACCTTGCCAAAGGGGATATCATAATGTACATGTAATGGATAAGAGAATGAGATTTTTGCTTCTTGATCTTTTGATAATATATGTTCATGCAGGTGTAAATTCCTTAAACAATACTCAGTTTTGCCGACATAAAAATGATTGGAAATTTATTAAATTTTTAAAAAAATCAAATCTCTATTTTCTCAGAAAATCAGTTACCGCAGAATTTGATGAGAGACAGTATCTCTTTCTTAAGAGGCTCTGCCAGGTTCTTGTGACACTTGGAGAGGTGCAGCTCTTCCACTTGTGGGTAAGAGTCAAAATTACTTTTAAAAAGCATCCCTTTTTTGTAAAACTGAGGTCCTTGCTGATCAATATAAGGTTTCAATAAGTTTGTTTGAGAAATATCAAGGACAATAACTTTGGCTCTGTTTGAAGGTTGGCAAGCCAAGTGTGCGCTTTCATCAAATGCAACTGCATATTTTTGGGTCTTCAAAATTTTGGTAAAATTTGCACCAAACTTGCCACTCTAGTGATTCTTTCATTTCCAGAGATGAGATGCTGAACTTGAGTCAATAAGCAGATCTTGCAAAAATGTTCAGAATGAAGGTTATGTACTTTTGAGTGTCTATGAGTGGTTGTTCCTGTGTCATTGCCTTGTAGTGATGCTTTACACTTAGCAGCTGTAAATTTTTTTCTCTCTCTCTTTTTTTAGAATAGTGACAAGCCCAAGGAGAAACCTCCAAACTTCAGGCAGTATTTGGAAGCGATGATTGCATTTTCAAAACATGAAAGCCTAGTACGTTGATTTGCTAATAGTTTTAGATATATATTATAACTTGAAAATGTGCTGCTACTTTCTGTTTAAGGAGATTAAGTATGCAGGACTGGCCCACGCAGTCTTTTGACCCTTTCACCCCCAAGATCTCATCAGGAATTCTCCTTACTGTCTGCTATACAATTCTTATGATGTTAATATGGAGAACTTGGTATTGGATCAACTAATGATCCCCTAATTGATGTTATTCTTTATTCCCATCACTTGTCTGCTCAATATTGTATTGAAATTGTGAGAAGAAATTCTGTCTTGGTCACTTATGGAGTTAACCCTTAACTCCCATGAGTGACCAAGACAGAATTTCTCCTTAAAATATTGATACAGTAGCAGCCAGATAAGTGATGAGAATAAAGAAAAATATCAATTTGGGGAGAATTAGTTGATCCAAAACTAAATTCTCTAGACAAACATTATAAGAATTGTATTGTTGACCATAAGGAGAATTACAAATTTGATATGGGAGTTAAAGGGTTAAAGAGTTAAGAGCAGGTTGTTGTGATAAAGGAACAGAATACAAGGAAAATCATTAACAATATTGGAATCTGTACTCAACTATTCCTGGTTGTTCAGATGTAAAGTTTGAGTGTGGTGGAGAAGGGTAAAGTTTGACCAGGGTTACAGTATCTCCACAACTGTAGTTAAAAATTTTTTTAAGAAGACTTAAATTTTGAAATAACCCCTTCTTTTACAACATTAGTTGGGGATGTGTTTGCTTTTTGTGGGTGTGATCCCTGTCCGAAGTAGTTGTTTTGTTGATGTATTTTTTGTTATTGTGAGAAAATAACTTTCCTCTTATGTAAATTGGTTCTCTCCACCTATGTAGGGTATGAAGGGTTTCTTGTACATGTATATTTTGTCCAAAGTAGTTTATGATGGACTAACATCCTCTTCATGGGAATAAGTAACACTCTTCTTGGCTGCCACATTATGCTGGGAAAACTGGGAGAAGCCCCGGTAATGTTGGGAGCTAGGCTCCTGTGCTGACTTTTGCAGTGTCTGGGGAAATGCCTCAAACCTCATGTGCACAATGGAGGCACTGAACCTTTTTTTAAATATAAACTGCATACCCATGTTAAAATGTGGGAATCCGTGTTCATTTGATTAAAACCATTGACCTTGTTCTTTACAGACCTTGCCGCACTTAGCAAATGGCCTCTGGCTCACACTATTAAGAAGTCCTGTGATTTCTATGGACACAACATTCCAAGCAGTTTTCCCATCACTATTGGATATTGCCAAAGCTAAGCTTTTTAAGGTGAACAATTTGCTTGTATTATAATGATTAGGTATTGCATTTGTTGGTTTTATTTGAGCTGGTGTTCATGCATTATTTTTACAAGCAGGTTAACACTTTATCATCTGTTTCATAATTCCCGTACTGCAATTTGTAACAGTTACTCCTGAATTATCATCTATAAGGGATAAATCCTACTGTCAATGCACCTTTTACTTTCCTCCACAAGTTCAAACATTACCTAGTAATGCAGTTATGTGATTGGGCAGACATTGACCCCTGAGCTGAAGGCTGTCCTGTCTATTTACGTTGTAAGAGCAAATTCTCTTCTAGTGATATTTTCATCTGCATGTCTAAAGTAGTGTGATATTTCATTGTGTTTGCTTCACTGGACTCTGTGATTGTTCTAGAAAACCACCTTAACTTGCAATCAAATAAAAATGGAAAAAAACTAGTCATTTGGAACTTCCAATTTTCCACTCTTCATACACTTTTCTTGTTTGGAGTTCTCATTGATTGACTGTCTGTACCACTCTAGTTTTGGTTAAGAGACTCTCAGACTCTATCAAAAATCACACTATTAAAATTAAATGATGTACAAAGAAATGTTCAGTAACAAGGAAAGTTGCCCATCAGATTTTGGGAATATGGGTCAACAAACAAATTTCATGAAAATAAATTAAGAGTACTTTTACTGAACAAGTCTCATAAATGACATTTTAAGGTTGGTCACCCTGAAGAGGAAGACTCACCAGGCAGTGTTTTTAACAGAGAAGATTTCAACAGTGAGAGAGAATTTACGTCTGTTAATGGCCGTAAGTATTTACTGTTATCCTTTCAGTAGTTGAATTAAAAATGAATGTTGGCTTGACGGAATTAAAAAAATATAAAATTGAGAATAATTTTAATTTAACCAACATTTTCCAAACTTTCATTTGTCTGCAACTTTCGGCTCCACTGAGCAAGAAATGAATATATGATTGGAAGGGATTCTGAGAAACTTCTTTGCAAACGAAAACCTAAGTTAGCTTTTATGATTTGGCTTTAAAGCCTAATGAAAGGAAAACAGATGCTCAGAATTTAAAAACTGCTGCCATTTCGCAGTGGAAGTGTTCACATGACAACGTAGCACACGTGAGCAAGGGTATCCTGTCGTTTCGTACCCACAGTCGTTTCGTATCCAAATTCAGTCGATTCGCACCCAGTTCGAGTACCCATGGGCACTGGTTTTGCCTCTGTCTCTATTTACAGTGTATACGTTTAAGCCCGTTTACGATGCTTACTGTTCCATGCTGCCATGTCATGTTTCAGAGGTGAGGGGAGAGGTCATGGACATCATACGTCACTTAACAATGCTGCACCCTGTGGCTACTTTCCTTTACGGAGCTGACTGGTTATTACAGAGGGTGACACAAACCCCAGCACCTGATGTCAAAAGTATGGTTCAATCCTATTTTTGGATAAAACTTTCATCAGTTATTACATTCCAACCTCCTCAGCCCGTGAGCGAGACCTCGTTACAAGCGCTTCGGCGTGAGTGGTTCTTCGCCCAGAATTATGAAATTATGACATTATGAGGCCCTGAGCTTTGGGAACCGACGAGATATCTGCAAGGAAATCCAGCGCTATTAGACTCTTGGCAAACCACTTCCCGAACTCGTCTCAAATATTTTTTGGGCGTGAAACGCGGGTCGTGCAGCGCTGAGAACAGACCAAATCTCTCCTGGATGACCACAAGCTATTATCCCAAATTAGCTCTCGGTGAAGTGGTTTGCTTGCACAGTATTTAAAGCAGAAGCTAACATACGATTTCAAATGAAAATGAAATGCTGGCCAAGCGAATATCTTTGACATTAGGTGACTCTAAATTCAAAATAAATGATCAGGGCAAGAGACTTTCTTTTCAACTCACATGCCCCGTCGAACAACTGCAATACGTATTTTACTTTCCCGGATCACATGCTTACTTGTCCGGAAAACCTGGGTAAGAAGTGGAATCCACTTGAAAATTGATGCTAGCACATATAACATACACAAAATGATATTTAGTCGACTCTCTGTAAGCGGTACTTATTTTTTTAGGCCGAAAAGTTGTCAAATATTAAAAAAGGATTTACTGCATGTCCAAAGTTGGGTAATAAAAAAATGTTTGCTTTTTTGGCAGTGCGATCGGACGAGTGAAATTATTTCTTGTCCGAGTGGAAAATTTATCCATCCCAGACGTTTGGACGGCCTAAGTTTCCAGCTCTGATGATGTTTGTTTCTTGTTTGTTTGTTTGTGTGCGTATTTCATTGCTGCTGTTGTTTTTTTTTTAGTCAGTGCACAAGAAACAGAGAAGATGATACAAGAATGGGATGGACTTACTCGTTACTTGGATGCAGTGATGTCAAGATTCTTTAAAGTAGACAATTATGAGGTTAGGTGAAAACAACTTTAAAAAGTTCCAAGCTTTAAATAACCGGCAGCACTACGACTTGGAAATACACAGTGTGTATACTGTGTGTATTCCAGAAAAATTGACGGAGAATTAATATAATAATTAAATTCGTCTTGTTACGAGCGCGGGACAAAGAATTCTGGGTCCGCGTCCCGATGCTCTACCACTGAGCCTCAGAGACTCTATGGCGAGCAAGGCCCATTGCAAAGTTCATATGACACGCATCCTGCGTACTGTTAGGATCAGCCATGTCGATAGCGTCATTTTTTGTAAATGGAGTAAGAGAGATAGTAAGTTTTGAGTTCAGTGAAGGTATGGAGAAATATTTTTATCGTCTTGTCTTGAGCGTGGGACAAAGGTCCCCATGAGGAATCGAACCTCAGACCTTAAAATACAATAAAATGAAGTAACCTTCGCCTTCAAATAAGCTCTAAAGCATATAACACTGTGTGTAATTTTTTTCTCCAGGAGATCATTCACAGCCAGGTGACGTTCCGTGGGACGTCTGTGACATTTGTTGAATTGGTCAGAGAATGCATCCAGACTACTTTGAATGTTGACTCAAAGGTAAGAATAAACTAAGTTATACTAAGAGCCTAGATAGGCTTAAAGTCAACTTATATGAAGTCACATTTAAGGTTTCGCGCCCAGTTCTTCTAAGAGTGGATAACGCTATACAACGGATAAATCACTATCCAGAGGATAACTTTTAAGAAAACGTACTGCACTATGCACCGGACAGCAACGCTATCCACTGGATAGCGTTATCTACCCTTTGAACAACCGCGGACTGAGTTTTTGTGTTCATTTTCATCAGGTTCCTGACATTTTGTCAAGTGTGACAGATGCTATTCAAGCTCTTTATCCATTCCTGAAATACAGCAAAGACTTGTTGATGGAAGTGCTTAAAAAGGTGACCTAAAGCAGAGTTACATTCAGCTGCCATCAGTTGGGATAAAGATGCATTTTTTTAATCCCTGACAGGCTTAAATTAAATGAGATTAAATGGTTTTATCAACTGGGTTAATGATATACACGGGCCACCGTAAAGAATTTTCTATAAATGACGTTTTGAATGTTAGTCCTACGTCAGAGCAGATCATACATACAGAAGTCAGCAACTTAAATCCTGTAGCTAAAAAAACAGATTTCTTTGAACGTAAATACATTTCAGTTGATAAACGAATGTTCAATCGTTTTTCTTGTAATTTAGAGCCTCTGTCAATTGTAGAGTCAAGTTGCCAATCGATCAATTCTTTTTACAACGTGCTGTAGTTGTTGAGATAACAAAGTCTGAAAAATTCATGCCTGAATCGGATGAAAATCCGTGACATTACTAGAGCAGCATTGGAATACAGGACATTGAAAAGTTCTTAAACTTTGTTCTTTTAGATGTTTCAAGTTGTACTGTTCAACACAACAGGTGAACCCAAGGTACTTGTGTTTCTTTTGTTTCAATTTTGTTCTTGATTTTTAGAATTTTTCTATGAAGTTGACTTTTATTTTTCATTGTCCTTTTTTCCTTTTGTTTTTTTTTTTGCGTTATCAGAATCTGAGAGAAAGGAAAGTAACAATTGAACTTGTCTGAAAAATTTTAAACAAGTGAAAATTTGAACCAACCTCCTTGCTGATTTACTTGACAGCATGACTGGTAATGCCTGAGAAGCATTCTGTGCTCAAGCAAGATAGCAAATTTATTGCTTGTGCACGTAGAAATTTAGGTGTTGCTCACCCTCCTTGCTGTGATTCCAGGGTCCTTGGAGTCCTGATGTTCTTCATGCTCGCCGTCACGCTTGTGGCGCAATAATAAAGATTTGTAAAGAATTCGGGGAGCTGCTGGTGGTGAGGAATTAATTTTATTGTTAAAGTAAGAGTGCGCACTGCTGTCTGTCCGGCGGAAACTTTGTCAGTACTAGTAAATTAGCTTAGCAAGCTGAGAAACAACTTTTTTCCGTGAACGAATTTATTTATAGCTTAGTAAGCTCTGGATGTATTTAATGTCTTCCAGCCAGTATTTGATGCCCTTAAAGAGCATATACAGTCGTTGTTTGTTGGTGAGCTAGTTCCCGTGAAAGACAGATGCACTTTAACAGAAGCATTGGTTATTGCCAGGTATTGATGCCTTTCAATGTTGCTATACAAGAAACCCGACATTTCAAAGGAATGCAACAAGTTTCCCCAAATCCTCGAATTTGTGCTCAGGCGTTAAAGTAGTGTATGACTACATAAAACCGACCTGAAGTTATCGTAATGGCTCAGTTCGTACCCACTCGAATTTTTTTTCAATAAAATTGTTTAAGGTTTCAATGTGCTTCGAGTGAAACCGTTACGTTAAGCTTAAGTATCAGCTTTTGTAATTTCCTTCAGGCCAGAATCTCTGTTGCTCTTTACATGTACGCGACAAGTGTTGGCCTGGCGAACATGTGTGTCTTTGTTGTATTTTTCGTGTAGACGTTGTTTTTTTTTTCTGGTCTCGATGTTTTAGCAATAAACTGGGAAACTGTTAGTGTTTCATCTGCATTAAATATAATTTGTTCCTTCAACTAAAGTATAAGCTTTGATAATTTCCTCCGGGTTTCTCTTTGCTTGTAGCTGATAAGTATTTCCTCTCTCTTTTTCGGTTCTTGATTTTCAGCAATAAGCTAAGCAAAGAAAAGCAAAATGAATTCCTCGTTCAGCTGTTAACTCCCGTCAGAGAAATGTGGCTGGGTGAAAAAATACAAGGGTGAGTAGCAAATTATTGTAGAGCGAGTTCTGATTTATCGTCCGATGTTTTGCTTTGCTTCGCTCCGTGATTGGTCCAGGAAACAAGCACCAGCCTCTCAACCAATCAGATTCAAAACTAAAACCAATCACCGCATAGTTACTCAAGTTTTTCTGCCCGTAAAATTTGTTAACATAAGTGATTATAAGTTCTAGTTCAGTGGCTTGGCTCTGTGATCGGTCTAGGAAACATGCACTAGCCTCTCAACCAACCAGATGCAAAACTAAAACCAATCACCGCACGGTAACTCGCGTTTTCTCGCCGGTGAAAACTGTTAACTTAAGTGATTATAAGCTCCAGCTCAGTGGCACCTGGTGACTTTAACCTTTTCTCTAAGTATAATGTACCTTAATATAATCTTGTTTTCAGATGAATCTTGACTTTCCTAGAGGATTTATGCCATGTTTTTCCTATGTCGAAAAAGTTAGCCGAAACTGTCAAGCTAGTCATTCCGTAGTCGTGGTAGATCATTCTCCATCGTCTGCAATCTTTCTCCCTTGGTTTATTCTAAGCTCAGTAATTTTCTACGTGAAAAAACGGTTCCATTGAAACTGCACTCTACTGATAGACGATACTGTCTGACCCTCGCAAAAAACTCAACATAAATTCTTTAAAATGTACATTTGATGTTGTGCCTTTTTTTCTATGTAGGGCCATCTCATCTCCGGAGAATTTTGTTTCATTTATTGGAATGGACCAAGATCCATCAGGCTATTTTCAAAACGGTACGTATCAGTTCAGTTCTCCTTTCATTTTTGTCCATCTGGCCGCTTAATTCAATTTCCAATTTACTTTTTGACCTCCCACAGAGTATAGCGTACATGCTACACGGTGAAAATTACGAAAGTATAAATTTAAAACGAATGCATGGCAGCTTTGCACTTGCGTCGAGCGTGTGGAATTCTTTCGAAAACTGTACCCGCGGGAACGCACGAAACTCGCGCTAAAATACCCAAACATGTTTCATATTTGTGTTTAAAGATTTTGAATTTGCTGATTTTATGGTTTCGTCTAACTTTCAGATGAGCTAAGGGGAAGAAGATTTCAGGTATTTGATTTCATTCCATGTTTATTTAGATTTGGAATTGTCAGCCAGCACAAATCTTTGTGTTGTGATGGAAGGGCTGCTGTTCTAAGATCACGTTCAGCTATAGAACGAAACTAACTTACCAGCGCACTCACTACAGCCAATCAGGGAAAAGTGATACGTAGCAAGGCACCGATGAGAACTAAAAATAAATTCACATTGCTGACTTCATGCGAAGAAAAAAACACGACCGACGAAGTCTATGCTCCATTAGCAGTGGCTGTTCAGAAAATGAGCCCGCGCTCCTCCTCGAACCTATTTCGTGAGGCTCAAAGGCGGGGTCCGAGAAATCGAGCTTAGACGAAGCTACGATTTGTTTTAGTTGAGAGTGTGGCGAAAGCTTTCTAAACCAATCGTATTAAGTAGTAAAGTAAAACCAAAGCAATCCTGCTTTACTTTCATTCCTCAATTAAAAATTGCGCTCTCTTATAGTTTAGGATCTCTATGTTAGTGTTGTTCCTACAAGTCAGTATTTTACACTCTTATTTCTTTTCAGATAATGTATGCTGTGACCACCATTATGGCAGTTGTGCGAAGCTGTGCTATGCTCAATACCAAGGTATTGATATCAAGTTTTTCTTTAGTTACATTTTAAGATACTGTACATATAAAATAACGACCAGAATGCTGACAAGGCAGTCTATCTTTTTCGCTTTATTCTAAAGAGAGAGCCATAGACCTTGAGAGTTCAAATTGCCCGCACTATAGAGCTCCCGAAAAACATCGAACGGTTTATTTGAAAAAAAATCAGATTGGTGACGATCTTTAGGTTCTAGAGGAAGTAAGACTGCACTCCCTCTAGAAAAAAAGAATCCTAAGGTGAAATCCATCCTCATTGGATTAATAGGTGTTGCTTTTGGCGTTGTTGTTTTCCGAGAATAACTTCAGCGCATCATTTTACTCTACATTACCACTAGTGGGATATGTTTCTTGGGAACCACACCTTAACTAGCTTTTCAATATTGTATTTTTAGACGTATCCCTCTCTAAGTCTGAAGGCGTCACATTAAGAAGACTCAAAACCACGTTCATTGCGAGTGCTAGTGAAAAAGTCTCCCTTGATTTTCCTTTCATCTCTCCCCAAGACAGATCCAAACAACGAAAAGTGTTTCCAATTCGCAACAATTGCAAATGTTGTCAATTTTTGTTGAAATGTAAACAGTACGAGTTCAACTCTTACCGTTCACCGTATGTCATTCGCCTAAGTATGGTTACATTTAGAAGGAATTGCCAAACTGAAAAAGCTACTTCTTGATGGTGTATATGAAAACTGAATGTCCCTTGCCAGAGCACTCTGTCCTAGTCCTAGTCTTGTTCTTAATACTCAATTTAAAAGAAAATGAAGTCTTCTACAATATAGCTTACATTACTGGGCACACCATCTTCTGTGCATTTCGTAAGTAGGTAGGAAGGAACGCGGTAATTTAATATTAACAACTGAGTTGATAACGTAAATTGGCCTCCGTAATGAGTTTCAAAGCTGACGTTTCCAGCTTTAGCCTTTCGTCCCACGCTCTAACGAAGGCCTTACACTCAAATCGTCAGCTTTGAAACTCTTTCCGGTGGCCAATTTACGTTATCAACTCAGTTGAACTGAGTTGATATACTGTTATATTATTATATATACTGTTATACTCTCACACCGACGTAGCACCACAGGTTCTTTAGAGACTTACCCCCTTTAAGGGAGGAACTTGGTTAGTTTTATCAGTAGGGAATCAACCTAAATTCACTCAACCACATATATTTCCAAAGTACTCACTGGTCATTGTACGTCTGTTATAAACCGGTTATAACTTGTTTCTGTACAGACGGCGGCGGCCGGTGAGGGGCTGTCCATTGGGTCGATGCCTAATGGAACTCCTTATGTGCACAATCCATGTGCATCTCATGTCATACCGTTACTCGGCAATATAATCCTGCTAGCAAAGTAAGTACAAACGCTGTCTCAGGTACCGTTCACACCACGCTGAATCAATTTAAAGACGGGGTTTTCACTCTTAAGGTGTATCCACATTGGATAACGGTGTTTTCGGTCCTCGCCAAAATGATCATCAGTGGCAGAAGTGGTTGAACATATCCTTACGCACTGAAAGGAGCTAATTTTATGGACAGAATTACCTTATCGTTTTAAAAGGCTCGGTTTTCAAAATTCTTTTTTGTCCATTCCTAGCACAAAACTGGTCTTTCGTATTGTATCCACTTTTCAGTGCGTTTTAGGGAAGATTTTTTTTTTCCTCGGGATAGTTTTTACTGATTATTAAGGAAAGTTGTAGATGCATCTCTAAATTTATTCAGCGTATTGTGGACGGGGCTGCACTCTTTCTTGTTATACTTTCACCAGTGTCTTATAACTAGGTGTCTCATCTGTTTCTGGCGCGATCTCTGTGGAATTATGGAGCTGAGAACATTGCGTTATGTTCAATGGTAGAAAAAATGAAAACAATTCGACAGCAAATGATTCCATGAAAAATCGATTTATGATGAACTTGTATTTGCATTGAAAAAAAAAACTGAGAAGTAGGAAAACAGCAAAACAGAGTTTGTATTTGAAGTTCGTGTTGGTAATCGTTAGTCGTGGTTTTACCGTTAGACTCGAAATGGCAGGAATTTACAATGGTCTGAGTTAATCAAGGACTAATCGGAAAAATCTAGAGCGTTTCTATTTACTTCCCCCTTCCAGATTTGCAGTGATCGATGATCACTCAATATACATGGAAATTTCAGTTTTGATTGTTAAGGACGTCGGCGAGTACTCGAGTTCAATACCATTTGCCATTGCTTGTTTGAAGTTTCGTTCAATATCATGAGAATTTGCGGTTCTGAATGGTATAAATTTCATGATAACAAAACAATTTTCAATTAAGTGCCGAAAGTAATGTGGTATTACCCAGGTTTTCCCTCGCTTCGCGATGAGGTTGAGCTTTGAAAAACGCAAGTTTCTTTCTCGACTAATCTTGATCTGTTCCCTAACGTTTTCATTCCCTGTCAGCAGTTTGCTTGCTTTTATTTTAATTATTTTTGGCTGGGTGTGATATTTGCCTCTGTTCTAAGCCCAGTTGTTCAAAGGGCAGAAAACGCTATCCTTTGGATAAATCTCTTTCCAGTGGATAAGTGTTAACAAAACGTATTGCGCTATCCAAAGGATAGAGTATCATCCTGTGAATAGCGTTATTCACCCTTCGAACAATGGGAGCCTGATTGGGGGTTATAATTTTTCGTATTCTTGGTTCCATGTCACTAAACTGGAGTGGGATCTATGTCGGCAAAATCTGGAAACTCTCTGATCATTAACACCAGTCCTACTTTTAAGACACTCAACTCCCGAATTCACAAACTCTATAATTTTCCCTTTTAATTTTTTCATATTCCAGTTGTGTAAACAGAATACATAATCCATCAGTCAAAGCCGCCATTTTTCCTGAGTATCTAGCATCTCTTGGCATGCACGACCTCGATACAAGCGCCATATATGGTAAGTATAGATCCGATTTTTTGGCAAACCCCGCAATATTAAACTGCACTGGGGAAATTTATACCATCACCTAATTACTGAGGCAGCCTTTTTAAAGATAATCTTACCGAGACTTATCTCGCCGCGCGATGTTACAGGAAACAAGAACCCTATTGGATATTGGCCTCTTTCGTTTCGCCCCTTTTTATTATTTAAAAAAGAAAAGGTGAGTGAATAAATAAACGAATGGATAAATAACAAAGTGGGCTAATAACTCAATCGAAGGCTTGGTCAGTAATTGTTATCAAGTCATTTGATAATCCCCTCGAGACTGTTCCTATTTTTCTCTGTCCGTTCAGTTCTCCCACAGGGACAGGAAAACAAAGACAAAGGCGGTGCACCCTTCGTTCCAACCCCTATTTCAGTCACAAAGGGCTTCTTATATCATTTAGCTGATTCATGGTGAGTAAAAGATTGTATCATGCGCCAAACGTTTTTTCACCAAGCCAACGTCTAAGAAATTTAAGAAGAGATTCATTGCTTAAAATTAGGAAATCTGCTTTGACTTTCTTTTCATTCGATAACCGAGCTAGATAGAGCCTGTGTACAATCCTTCTGCCTAGAGCGTCTTAGACATTGCTGATCCTCTAAGTATGAAGGACACGTGCCATATATGAACTTTGTCTATGACCCAGTAATGTATCTTCAATTAGCTCTAGGCCAGTGAGTTTTCTATGGCCTAGTGAGTAGAGCATCAAGGCTGGAAATCGAAACTAGCCGTGGTCGAATCCTTGTAGTAATGTAGATTTTTCCCTTACGCTCATAACTAAATGAGAACTTATTTTTTTTTATTAAATTACTCCCTAACATAAACTCATAACACCGGTTGGACTTCCAGTCTTGAGGCTTGCATTTTACCTTTTTTTAACTTCATATTCCACTTATTACTTCCATTTTGACGCCACTTGCATTTTATTCCAACGATCGTCATTTGAACTTGAAGTCTTATCTCTTGGGTGAGAGTAGTGCTTGAAAGGACTTCTGTCGGTTGCAGTGACTTACGTCTCGACAACCTAAGGGGGAAAATTTTCATCGGGTTAAAGTTACTAATTTTACATACAACGACAAAATTGCTCGCAGTATCGTTCCATACAAAACTGACATTTGCTTTATCTCTATTTCAGTTACCATACTCTCGGGTTTTCTGCGGTCTGTCTTGGCCATGATTTCTATAGTATTTCCGGACTAGCGCAACTCCTGGTTGATAATCTCGTAAAGTCTCTGCAGCATGTTCCGAATTACAGACTGAGATTTGTTGTGCGTATCCTTTCGCAACGATATTTTCTTCGAGTAGAGCTTTGCATTCAGATAAATAAATGAATAAGTAAATGAATAAATCAACGCGTAGGACTTAAACAACACAACTGGTCTTAGATGGGATGAGCTTGAAGAGAGTCTTACGTGCTCTTGATTCAGTGAAGTTTTGAAAAGAAAAATTTAAAGAGAAACAGAGGGACCCGTAGTTACTTTCCATTCGCAGTCGTAAATCGTTTCATTTGTTTTCTGGTTTTGCCTACAACGGATTCCTGGGCCCGGTAGTTCGAGACCCAGCTTTTATTCAGGATTAAAAGATGTAACTTATTCTGATTTCTCTTCTGTAAAAGCGTTTAGTTTGCACGAGTTTTGTAAGGTTTTGACTTAGTGTATGGCTAAACTGAATCCTGAAGTGTAATTAGAAAAACTCTCCGCAAAGGTACGGATTCAAAGAGAAAATATACCTTAAACGTGAGTTAATCTGATTTTAGATATACGAAAGTTCATATATTTGCACTGCGGTGGAGAGATGAAATTAAGAGATCCTCGCAGCTAAGAACACTACTGAAACGAGTAGTTGTAAATAGGACAGTAGTGAAATAGTTGTATGGTGAAATAGTGAAATAATGACAGTAGTGTAAATAGTTTCAGTAGTGTTCTTAGCTGCGAGGATCTCTTAATTTCATCTCTCCACCGCAGTGCAAATATATGAACTTTCATATATCTAAAATCATCATTCAATTGGGTGTTTATTTGGGCCTAATTCATTGACCAGCTCCCAGTTGGCTTGTTGGCTCAATTGGTAGAGCGCTGCACCGACATCGCAGAGGTCATGGGTTCAAACGTGAGTCATGAGTTAATCTGTTCGTGTTTTAACATCCCAGCCCAGATAGAGTGGTCTTTGTTCGAACCTAGGTCCCAGTGTCTCTGGTCTTTGAGGAGTTGATGAGTACAGGTTAACTTTTGGGGAAATCACCTGCAGATGAATTTTCTTTACTTTTCAAATAAGAATGAGTTATCTGTTTGGAAACCAGCAGGGCAAATACGATTGCCAAGTTGTATGTTCTTTTGATGTAATACCGTTGTATTCCTTAACTCAATTCAGGTAATTTTTTCAAGTTGTTTATCTTGCATTGCCCTCAGTGTGACTATCAGAATGTACTTGTCCCAGTGCTGTCTCCTTTTTTCGGTCATATGCTTCAGGTAGGACCTCTTGGCGGGCTTAAGATACTCTGTTCTCCCAAAGCAAAGCCAATACTTATCAAGTCATAACGCTGAGCAAGGACGTGTGACTAGTGCCATTGCAACTGGGAAAATCAAAAGTGGTGCACGCTGATTGGCTTATTAGGTAGCTCAGAGCCAATTAAAAACATACACGTAAAAACGCGGAAAGTTGAAGTAATGGCGATCTTATTAGTTTCTAGCTATCTTCACTGCTGTTTTTCTTTTGTTGTTTCAGTGAGACTCTAGCTCTCGACTGATTTATGGGAATTAAAAAACCAGGATAATTCTCGAAATGTCTTAAAATTGTGTTATTGAACCGTGAGCTTGGAAAGTCGAAGGTGTACTAAAGTAGTATCAATATATGTCACTTTCGTTCTCTCCTCAGCACCTTGAAGAACAGTGGCAAATGGTCCGACAACATCAAGCTGAGAGGTGATTTTAAATTGTTGTACGCGTCAAGTTTATGCTGTGCGAGACCATTGTAGCTACTAGCTGCTGCGCCTAACACACGTTCCAATGTCGAGGATCACTTTCGTATGTTCAAACTAGAAAAAAAATAGACAAAAAGCTGATGTTTTCTTGGAACGGAAGCGTCGTATGTCAAACGAGTTTCGCTCGGGTTGAAGATCTTGAAAGATTGAAATAGATTTTCCAAGTTGGTCATTCGCTATCATCAGTGATCTTTTGGGTGCTTTTTACACTAGAAAACGAATACTTCAAGGTTTTATTCCGTAAAAAAGAGATTCTCTGCGACTGCGACGAAGCCTCTTCGTTGTAGGGAAGTATTACGAGTTAAAAGGTATTTCTTTTAATATTTAAACTCGCCGATAGGTTCTCTTGTGAGCTGTATTCTGTATTTTTTAACCCACAGCACGGAAGCTGCAGATGAGGAAGTCAACTTGGAATCAAAAGAGATTATAGAAGATCAGCTGGTGTCGATCATTAGCAAGGACTACTTGGATGTCTTCAGTAAGTGCTGATGTGGTCGTTTATTTAACTCACGTGAATTTCAGCTACTTTTAATAAGTTTTCCTTTTCACCGCTTGGCTAGTCAGCTTTTTCCCCAATGCCAACTGCAGAACTGGATTCATGTTTTCCATTTTAGCTCTGGCGTGTATAGTAAACAGAGAAAGCGATGACTCGTCAAGAATGGAGGTCACAGAAGAAGAAGAAATGAAAGGTAACCAGAGTTCAATGTAAATGTTTCGTACAAAGTGCAAGATGTTGAAAGGCTCTAAGGTGACCAGTTGTGGGCTGCGAGCCGGTCATGTAGTTGGCACACCGTTTTGATTTTCTTTGTAGGTATAGATCCATACAATGTCAGGATGGGATCGCTGGGATTCATTCTTCTCAGGACAGAGGTAAAAAAGAAAGCTGAGTTTCGTGAGATTAATTAGTTGATGTGTTTTTTTGTTTTGTTTTGTTTTTTTACCATTTCAGGTAAATATTCCTGGAAATGAACGCAGAAAAAATGTTGCTCGGAGTTCAGTTTAGAAATTCTACAGGAAGTGTAGCTATCTTCATTTGTAAATTTTAAGATTACAGACTAGAGGGCTGTTATAGGAAATAACAAACAAACTATCTAACAAACTAACAAACGAACAAGCGCAGCAAACCAAAACAAAAGAAACTAGTAAACTTCTAAATATTCTGTGGTTTTTATGTGAATTTTAGAGTGTCAACATGCAGATGCTGATCACAGTTTTTGCCTGTTTGACCTGGCCGGACTCTGCTGTCTGCCACAAGGCTACACGACTTGCAACGACTTTCCTCAAGGAGGTAAGGCTGCCTTCAGCTCATAACAGGAGTGAAGTGTTTAGGAATTGAGAATGTTGATGTCCTTTGTCTGTCCGTTACTCGTTACTCCTATACAGCCTTAACAGTCGAGAAGAAAAGTAAAGGAAATTAGGGGCTACGCTTTTCGTTTGCTTTAAATTAAATCAGGGTGTAAGTCTGTTATCCTCAAAATTTCGATGGCACTTGGATACAAATATTAATTTTTCAACAGTTTCTTGGACAATTATATGGTTTCATCATTTTTGTAGGTTATGATGCTAAGCAGTCAGGCGGGTTCACGGATTGCTGATTCTGTAGTCGAACAGCTGTTCTCTCAGGTCTTAAAGGTGGGCATTGTCTGCTTGTTTGGTCGATTTTACAGTGGAAGGAAACTTCAACTCGTTATGTTTCGAAACAGGTTATTGGGCTTCTTTGAGTACGATGATGTTTTTTACTACGCCGTCATTTAGTGCCACTTTCATTGAAGCAATGAGACCACAGAGACAAATTGTTTATAACACATTAAACAAAGTAGAGTAGCAATTTCGCTTTAATGAGATATAAAAGGCATGCGTTTGTCGCCAAACCAAAATTCGCTCGGGCGATATATCATTATAGCGATATATCGCAATGACGTATCCCTGGCTCTGCATTAAATCGTCGAAGCGACATTTCATTGGAGCGATATATTGGTAATGATGTACTGTGCACTTTACATGATATCTTTGTAGCGATATATCGCTAGAACAATTTATCGCAGCAGCGATTTATACTTGGAACGAGATTTTTATTCCATTCATTTATTTGTGGATTTATTCTTGATTGTGTGGAGATACAAGGTGAAAGGATAAAGAGCAGTGTTAGGCTGGTTTTGAGGCCTCGAGTGATCCAACTTTTCTTACGAAATACGCAGACATCTCGTTCCTTGTCGGCGAACCACCAATTAAATAAGCTAGCGATGAAACCGACCTACGAACGGCAGGAAATTAAGCAGACTAGAACACACTTTCTCCAATAATGTCAAGCCCAGCCACATAGAGTAAAAGTTTTGATTAATCTGATTGGCATTTTGTTTCAGGGTCTTCATGTGCATGGCCATGGATCTACAGAAACATATCTGACTTACGTTGGACAGAATATGTATGAACTTCTGGTGAGTTTTCCTGCGCCCAAAACCTGCAAAACAGTCCTCATTTGACAACGAAGAAACGAAAGAAGGCTGTTAATATATTTTAACAATTGTGTTTCCAAATTCAATCATTTTTAATAGTTAGCTTATCCCGATTATCGTTTACTTGCCGGGGGATATGTGGAAAGGGGTTTTTAAGGGTTCCTTAGGCATCCATCTTGGGACTAGCAATCATGATTTGATATACCTAGGGTAGAGGCGATAGTTCAACACTTGTAAAAGTACGCGTGAGTGGACGTTCCTCCGAGGACTCGAGATGTTTAGGTATTGGTACGTCACTACCTCTCATAGTGTAGTTTTATCTGAATTAGCCACACGTTCTTCTTCCCGTGTGCTTTGCGACTAATTGGGGTTTTGCTGGAAAACTTTTATTTATTCTTGAGAACCTCTTTAAGCGCTTTGATTGTGAGCATCAAACTGCGAGCGCTTATTCACTAGAATTCCTATTCAGATTTTTGAAGGCTTAAAACTAAGATCGTTTTCAAGCGCTGTTATTAACGTTTCTTGTCCCTATTTAAAGAGAAAAGCCGGCTCCCTTTTATGTAATGTTTTTTCGCATTTCAGAGACCTCAGTACTCCTCACTTCAACAGCTTCTCCTTCAAACGAACTGTTCGTTGGAGGATTTACATGTATGTAAAACGTTTTTGGGTTAGTTTGACGAGTACAAAGCTTGCAAGGTTGAATCGCCTTTCGTTCAAGTCTCCCTCTTTGACAGATTGCCGCCTTCTAAAAGTCGTAATGATTAGTTGTGAAATCTTTCAAAAGACAAAATGGACATCAGCGTGTACCTAGGTGCTCGTGAAGGTTAAGTCTAGGTACAGTTTTCTTATTATTTTTACACCTATTTCGCAGGCAAATTCAAAGGCATGTGAAAAATTATTTTCCTTTCAAGCAGGATTTTCACCTGCTTTTCAGTAAGCTCCTCAAGCTTTCTTTCTTTTCTTTCACAGGCTTTTGAAGCTTCTTGTTTGGAAGGAAGAGAAGTTCCCGAGAAGAGAAAGAAAGAGCAGTTTAAAAAAATTGTGTCTGGGATTGTTGGGGTGAGACTTTTAACTGTCTTATCACGTTTGTTTTTCTTTGCAGGCATTTATTTAGAGCCATGTTGTGGAACCGTTGCACTTGAATATACTATCCAAAAGCTTTCACTGAAATGGTGCCACACCAAATAGTTTCATCCCCTAACTCTATGTCCAAATATCCAAATTAAAAGAAATTCCAGCAGCTTACTCAAGTACTGAGGGGCAAGGTGGGATTATGCAAAAGTTTTCATTGAAATGGTGCCACACTTAGGAGGTTCATCCCCAAACTCTATCCCTAGATCTCCAATTAAACCGAATTTTAACAGCAAACTCCAGTAATGAAAGGGTAAGGTCTCGTTTGAATGGTTACATCTTCGGATGGGTGCATATACCAATTATTTCGTTGATTTCTGTACCAACTTTTTTGAGTCAGTTTTATCGCAAATACGTTGTCATTATAATAATTTTTTCGCTTTGTGTTTTATTCTGTAGAAACACATTGGCGAACTGTTCAAAAACGAAATCAGGATTAAAGATCTTCCACCGATCAAAATAAAACCCAAGCCAGAACCTAAAGGATACGAGGATCCCACAGGACTCGCAGATCTGTTTGATCCTTCCAAGACTTCGGAATCACATTAGCAGATGTTCACTCGAACTTACAAACCCTCGCCAAAGAAGGAAGGAAACAAAGTAAAAGGCTAGAAAACATAATAAATCGATTGGCGTATTTAACGCCGATTTTCATACGACAAGGCTTAAATTTAGTCAATTTTGTAGTATTTACGATGTTGGCCTTTCGTGCCTACCCAATGATGGAGATAAAGCAAGGCTATAAGTTCTCTGAAATATTTTGGTTTTTGCATACCTTCATGATTTGCTTCTTTGCTGTTGTGTTCGTTTGATTCAAAATAGCTGAAAACCTACAAGCATCTCTTTTCTAACCTTGACCTGTCTTCCATGTTATCGTTTAGTGGGGTGACCGAACAAGCTGGCGATTGAGTGAATTGTAAGTTTCAGACGGAGTTTTTCCCGCTCGAATTTTTCCACGCGGGCCACAAATCCGAGTAGATAAATACAGGGATTGAAGAAGATTTCAATTCAAAACAAACTGTTGAATTCACTGTTCGGTCCGCCAGATTGACGAATCGTAGCGCACGTACCAATTGAGAGAAACAATATAATGAACAACGGAACTGATTTCCGAAAGAGCCTTCCCAAGGGGAAAAGGTTGGGCTTAGCTGCAGCGACTTGGTCCTATTTTTATTTTATTTGTTATTGTTTTCAGTATTCAATGATTCATCTTAAAGGTTCCTATGTATTTGTGGTCTTTTCATTCCTTTCCTGGAACGCACGTGGTTATGGACTTGTTTTTTCGGCAGCCTTGGTGAGTTTAAGGAGAGGAAGTGTCCATTAGATATCAGGTGTGGAGAGGCAACAGTTCACTTTGGGTGTGCGATATTTGTCTTAGAGGACAATGCTTTTATTCCGATGGTTTTAAACATGGTTAAAACATTGTTAAATACGAATAGTCTGTATCATCGCACCCTTCATTTTCTTGTTGATCCCAGTCCTGATGGACTCTCCAAAGAAGCCCTTTGAAGCTGTCTCTTTGACATACGTGCAAATGACGCTGTCTCTTTGATATATGACGGAGATCGCTGATCAAACATTGAATAGGCGAAACTAATCAAATCGTTTTATTACTACAGAGGCTTCCTATAAGCGCTTTTCAATCCTATTTTGAAGCTATTTTTTAAGTGCACTGATATCTGAGCATGCGAAACAGTCAAGGACGTTTTTGCATAAAGGGTAGGGAGGCAGTGAGAGTTACTGCACCAAGATATATCCCATGGCTTTGATGTGCCTACTTCCATTGTCTGAGGAGTATGTTGCTTCGTTTCCGCAAGTGTGATTATCATCCTGATATCCCCCTGTACCAAATCCAATTCTAGAATCACAGTCGCTGCAGTCTTCTTTATCGTCAGCAATGATCCCGATCCTCGCTTTTGACGCTTTTTTGTCGCTACACACAGCATTGAACCCTTCTCTTACACAGCTGGTCTGCAAAGAGGCGTTGGAGCCAATTAGCGATTTCCACAACTTGAGACCCAGCGACGTGTTGCGATATTTCCCGTCAGCTATCAGCGAATGTAGCGAGACAGCCGTCTTATTGACTAAAATGAAGTTAGTAAGGTTATCGATCTTCATACCGAGACAGATTTTCTCGAAGGGTGTGTTCCAAAAAGTTGGTAACTTGGTCTCTTGCCTGTCAAAACCAGTCGCACCTCCTGGAAGGTTAAAGCCAGACTTGCTTATCCAAAGGCTAGAATTGTAATGGAAAGTAACCTGGGAAAGATATTATCGTATGATAATCAGCACGACATTGGAAATTAGATTGTAGTCCTTTTCCCTTCTAATCTATCGTGCGTCATACCATGTTTTCTATTCTAGAAGGATGCATTTATTTCTGCCCTGCTTTTACTCATAGCTCTTACTCGTTGTCAATCGTGAGAGGTTCTATTAAACAATGAGGTACATATAACCTCTCTCACTGTCCACAACAAATGACCATGGCTCGCTTAAGTATCTGACATTTTTATTACAAAGAAAGTAAAGAATGAGAGGTGAGGCAGTAGCTGACAATTAAAGTGCCTCTCTGGGCGACCATCTCTTTTAAATCAAATTACATTTTCAACCTCAGTAGCTAAACAAAGCTAGTTTATACCTTATTGCCATCAGTTTTCATAACTGGAGTCCATCCTCCATCTCCACAACCAAAATTTCCCATATGACAGAAAATGGAAACCGGTTTTGAATCGAGGTACAGCGTCATCACTCCACTCACGTTCGATCTGTTGATGACACAACCTCAATCTCTGTTAGACATGAAAGCGTAAATTGACCACCGTAAAAGAGTTTAAAAGCTGACGTTCGAGCGACGAAGGGCTAACGCTCGGAACGTCAGCCTTTAAACTCTTATGGTGGCCAATTTACGTTTTCAACTCAGTTGATAAAACTGAATTACCCTGATATACTCTCCCACCGACGCAGCACTACAGTTTCTTCAGAAACTTACCCCCTTCAATCCCGAATAACTTCTGTAAGGGTGTTTTAATGACAACTTCCAGCTGTGCTTGACTTTTTATCCCTCAACCTTTTACGAAACTCTACTACAGTACTTAAAATCAGCATCATTGCTATCATTTTCGTTATCGTTACCGTTATCATTTTTATTCTTTCCGCTCCACCCCCAAAGTCTCCTCATTCTATGAGTGAGACCTTTACATTCATTTAACTAAAGTTTACACTCTCTTAAACTGTTTTTTAAAGTGGTGGTTTAATCATCACTTACATATTCTTGGTGTAAATTTCTTTGCACGTCGATACTGCGACAGAAAGGAGGCGTCATCGTTACGAATAAATCTAAGGACAGTGCTTGTGTTTGTGACTAATCTCGAAGACAGCTGAATGTACAAATGGCACATATATATCCTAAACTATTTAATGTACTATAGCAGCACTAGGCTGAGGAGTCAGCAGCCTCAACAACCAGAGTTAGAGTGATTGATTGGTAGATTGCCTTTTGATTGATTGAATATTTAGGAGACTGAAATGGATGGATGTATGCTACTCTTGTGGTAGCGTGACCGAGTCGTAAGAGAGGTCCTGCTACTCGCTGGATTTACTTTTGGTCCCCCGAGTTTAACTCCTTGGTTTATTCTGTAAATAGCCAATTGGGTTTCTAAGGTGTATTTCCTAATATTTGGTAACAATTTTTATGTCAGTTACTGTGTAAATGACTACTGCATTTTTTACGCCATGAAGACGGCGAAAATTTACCATTGCAAGTCCGTCCATCTCCAGAATATCCAGGTTTACATGTACAGTTATACGATCCCTTGGTATTATTGCACTCTGCATCAGCACTGCACTTCTGTTTTCCTGTAGCACATTCATCAATATCTGTAAGAAAATCAGTTATTGTAAACTTAACATTGTAAAACTGATCTCAAACCTCACTGGCAAGCGAAATTGAAAATGACAGTCATCATCAGAATCATCAACTTATAGCTGAGAGTCTACGTAAACTCTGATTGGTTAAAACCCTCTCGTTTTATTGTACCGAGAAACTCATCGTTTTTCTTTAAAAGCAGAGGATCGCATCGTAACAATCTATTTGAGATATTGTTAGAACACTTGAAACCCTTGTAAGTGACGAGGAGAAAAACTTTTGATTTCCAAGCTTTTCAACCCTCACTCGGTTTACCTGGGACGCAAGCGAAGAGAGGGCATTTACCTTTGCAAGTCCATCCATCTCCAAAGTATCCAGTTTTGCATGAACAGGTGTACGATCCCATGGTATTGTTGCATACTGCATCAGCGTTGCAGTTGTGGGTTTCTGCAGTTGAACATTCGTCGAAATCTGAAATTTCAAACAAAGACGTTCAGTTGCATTGAACTGCTAGCTTCGAGTATCGAGAGTATCCTCCGAGAACAAGGACTTACATATCTATACACGATTAAACCCTGAATTTCCAGGAATGATGGGCATGGAACTTTTCCTAAACTTACAATATCAGCGGGTCACGGAGCAACAACAAACACTCATTCAGTTGTCATATACAACGATAGTTAATTTACCTTTACAAGTTCGTCCATCTCCAGAATATCCCGGTTTACAAGTACAACTGTACGAACCCTTGGTATTGCTGCACTCAGAGTTAGCACTGCAGTTGTCATTTCCTGTAGAACACTCATCTATGTCTTAAGGAAAGATTATTCGTGTTAATTTAGAAACATCAACAAGGTTTCCCTTGATTGGGGGCTTTTCCTGCCCCACTCACGCTACCGCGTACAGCCTCCTTTCGGAAATTGTTGAACCTGTTTTGTCAATGAAAGCGCGTGGAACCTTACCAAGAACATGACTACGTATTACAATACTCCGTATCGCTTCATACTACAGAAATCTGCGTTAAGAGAAGGAAGTTTTTGTACACTTGGCTGTTAAGATTAAACCTCCTGTCCCCACCACGTCCTCCCAATACCTTTCTCACATTGTTCTCCGATGAAACCACTTTTGCATACGCATTTAAACGTCTCATCCTCGTGGTAGGCCACGCAAGTCCCACCATTGTCGCATGGATTGTTGGAACAAGGCGACTAAAAGAGCAATGAATTGGGACAGGATTAAACTCACGATGCCTAGGCTGGTTAACACAACCACAACAAACAGATAATGGTGACAACTGTTATTTGTTGTAAGCAAAACATTGATTTCTTAGGGTTCTACCACGCAACATAAAAGAAAAGATACATTTTCTGTACAAGTAGTCCTTACGATAATTTGATAATGATGCGAGCTCTTGTTTTGTTTGAACTCCTTGGGATTGCTGTACTTATCAGACGACAGTAGCTCACACCACAGTCCTCCTTCAGCGACCAGATTCACAGAAATACATGTAGGATGGTAAAGGCATTTGAAGGTACAGTCTAAGTCGTCATACACCATACGTACTCCGACTGGAAGCACGTTCAAGTAATGAAACTCGTGTACTGCGAACAAACGTTGTCTGAAGTTTATGTCGTTGTCGTCCAAAATGTCAATTTCTGTTGACGAGAACATCACATTTTTGAGCTTGGTTTTAGGATCTATTTGTAATTTTGAACGCTGGCAAAATTTGCACGCTCGTATTCTGACCTTGACGATTAAAGGTCAAATTACATTAAGCATGAATTTTTAAATATTCATTGTCTGCACCTACGTTCTTAAAGCCTATCATCGATGACGTCCTCTGTTGTGCGCATGCGTTCGGTTAGCGACAAATTTAAATACAGCATAAGGGAGGGCTGTTTGCAAGATGACGAAGTTTTAACCACCAATTTAACGGTCACCATGGTTACAGACGAACAAGACGTCTTTAACCTTCTGATATCATATTGAGTAGATGGCCTTGCATTTTAAAGGTACCAAAACAACATTGGCAACCGCGACATGTAGTTTGGATTTATTGTCCAAACAGCGACGTAGATAAATCAAGACATAGGATTTCAAAGGATAACTGACACTTATGCTGGTCTTAAATTACTGTTTAAAGTGCATGAAATTTTTCTAGAAGGGGAAGGAAGTAATGAATGCTTAAAAATATTGCTGTAAATTGATGCATTAGGACATGCTTGGCGTCCAATACGATTCTAGTAGTCTAGTGTTTGAGGTCTGCATTTTTCGAGTTTGAGAGAGGAAACCGTCCTTAAGATGAAAGGCGATTGCCAAGCGAAGGTATTGATCAAGTAGAAACCGCCTGATGATGTGTGATCCAAACTGGAGATAAATGTTGGATTTCTTACTTTCATTATTCATGCAACAAATATTGGCGATTGAAACTTAGATGTATCTTCGTTTTTTACCGTCTTCGCGATTTATTTCCTTCTCGCAATTTTAGTAAAAAAAAAAAGGATTCTATTGTAAGTAACAAAAAATTCGCTAGCTGTAAATGTTTTCGTGAGAAAGACATTTATCTATTTCGTATTTTTTATTTTAACCCACTTCATTCACTGATGTTTGTTAAATTAAGTCCTCCTAAATTTTACGTGAAAACGTCAAAATGTTAACACCAAGTTATCATGAAAGAAAAAAAAAAGGAAAGAAGAAATCTGCTAACAGTTTTTAAATTTACTTCGAAAAAAGGCTTTTGTTCAAAACGTCAGCTTTCCAGATTCACAACAGCGTATTACCCTCCTTTATGAAGTAACATTTGAGAAACATCTAATAACTTCAGTTCGGCACAGAATGACAACTAAAAGTTCCTTAAACAATAGAAACTTCGTTTACGATGAATTGTACGAAGACTGACCTTTTGAAGTGACTCGCCAGGGCGTAATGGAACAGATCTCCAATAAAAGAAAACAGAAATAAGCTGAAAACATGGCTAAATATCAGTTGACTGTGGACCAGTTACACGTTTTCCACAAGCGTCACTGAACTCCGCCAACCCGTTGATAGAATCCTAAACTTAACTGAAGGTTCTTCGATATTGATAAAAAGAACGTATTTTTTTCCTTTTTAGTTCATTAAAATAAGCTGAGGCTTGTTTAGGCCATTTTTGAGCTACCATCCATTTGGGAGCCTCTAGATGCGGGTAAATTTGTTTGTCTAACTTGACATTTCTGTCGTTGCACACTTTGTAAAACGAAGTATATCCGGTAAAAACACAGATCTATTAACAAAAGGCCTTACAGTTGATGTATTATCTTCTTCGTTAAACGTACTACGTTACATCATCGGGAAATGCCGCTTTGTTTGCGTTCACCAGACTGACAAACATTAACGTTCCATTTAAGACAAAGATCAAGATGGCAAAGAGGAAGAGTCCCATCTGTAAATGACACGAAGGGCCTTCTTTTCCCTGCATAATCTTACTTGACTTTACTCATAGTGAAGAAGAAATGGAGGACTAGAATTTTATAAATTGTCAAATGGTTCTTTCTGTCCATGCTGTCTTACGACACAATTACTCGGATGACGTGCCATGCTAAAAACTGTCGTTCTTGCAAATGACTTGCAAATTAGGATTAACTGAAGATGTTATTGTATTACTACTATACAAACTTTTTCTGAAATATGGCCTATAAAAAGGCTTTTATTCCTCAATTGTGGTTAATGGAACTTTCTTTGGAAGGAGAATAGTCGGGTATTAAGTATATTGTTTTTTTTTTTCAGAAGACCCACTAATCTCGTCAAAACATCTGCTTTCTATTTGTTAATGAACTACTTTTTATTACCATGGCTTCGGTGATGGAAATCCAGGGTCTACAAAACTGATTATGACTTATCTTGACGCCTATATAGTGAAATAGTTACGCTTTTGCAAAAGAAAGTTGTACTATTTTCTCCTAGTGTTTAAGAATATTTTGCAAACCTCCGCTTAACTCAGCTCACAGTTGTGAAATAAAACATTTTCCAACGACCATGCTTCCTCATTTAATGTTGTTGTAATAAAGGAAGAACATTAGCAACTGTTTCCTTGTGACGAAATGGTACTTGTTTCTTGAACCTCTTAGTCATGCAGGCACGTGTAACTACGTATATACTCACCTTTTAGATATATTGTTTAATTTGAACAGCGAGTCTGATAATTCTTAAATTCATAACTTATGCATCAGTAAAAAGAAAGCACTATTGGCACAAATCATCCCGGTGCGCTATAGCAAATCCCAGCTGTCTAAAACCAAATATCACAGTGAAGTATATTGCTTCATAAGGTGACACCTGATCGTTGGATGAAAAAATACCGGAGATATGACATCAGAGCATCACGATTCACATGGAAGGTGACTTAGTAATCGAGGCACAAACGACAAATAACTTATCATAACATATCTACGGAGGTTTTACTATAGAGGGAAAAATGATTGTTGAATTGTCCTCTTAACCTTTAAACTCTTAAGATTTCATTGGTAATTCTCCTTACCGTCTGTCATACAATTATTATGACGTAAATTTGGAGAATTTGGTATTGGATCGAACAATAATCCCCGAATTTATATTTTACTTTATTCTGATGACTTCTATACTTGATATTGTAAGGAGAAGTTCTCTCATGGGAGGTAAAGGGTTAATTAATCCGTCAATGCTCTAAAATGAATATTAGGGACAGTACAAGAGCCGGGACAAGAATGTGGTGAAGAAAAAGATATGATGACCCGAACAATCAACGACTCTGTGCGTCTGTTTTAAAACTTTGTACATTTCTGAGTTGCAATCTGATAGACCGTTAAATAACCAAATTTTGTGTAGTCTAAGATCGAAACGACCGACAAAAATTATTTCCATCTCTAATTGGAACTTAACAACACCTTCGCATGTTCTGTTGTCATCTTGGTACCCTCCCGTTCCAAAGTCGATTCTATAATCAGCGCTTGTGCAGTCTTATTCATCATTTCCGAGAATACCAATTCCTACTCTGAGCTGATCTTAATGCCGAGGCATATCTTGGGGAAGGGTGTGTTCCATTAGGTAATTTATTCTCCTGTAAGTCCGAGTCTTGAATCATGTTACAAATAGGATTACAGGCCATCATTTGGTCGTATAGTTTGGTGAAAGCTGGGGAAGAGGATTTGTCGCCATTTACAGTCAGCAAAAGGAATGTAGCGGTGATACAAACTTGACGGAATACACTCATTTTGACGAGTTGTCATAGTGTTATGCGAATAAGAAGACTTTGTCAACGTTCTGTCTAGCCTTCTTATGAATAGCAAGCGTGCAACCGTATCCCTGTGTACTGTGTCTCAGTAAATGTTTACCCAACTCGAAAATATTCATACTGTTGGTGACAATCCAATAACCTTGTTCTAAATTTAAGCCGCTGGTGAAATCTTAGCTTCTATAATTTTGGAGAGGTTGTTTCTGACGCTCAATTTTTCTTTAGGTTCCATATACCAAGAATGTATTTTCATCGGTTGCTTATCCGCGGGTGATAAAATTAGAGAATAGTGTTTTAGTAATCCAGTCTCAGGGTTCAGCAAATAGACAACACCTTCCTCCTGAGAAGAAAAAAATAATACCAGTAACAATTTTGCTTGTTTCGCCCAGTTTTGATCGTAAAATCAAATTTTCCCTAATCCCTGACGATTTTAAAGTTTTCAACCCACGCATAAGTTAAGGAAGCCTTTTTTTATCGGCGCAATGACAGAAAATGTAACAACAAAAAAATATAAAAATTGCACCTCTGCGGTCTAAATTTAGCTCAGGCGATTTTGTCCTTTTAGTTTAAGTTTAAGTCTTAGGATTGGCTACGCGTATACGAGATGATCAAGCAGAGAGCCAGTTCGTCGAAACTTTTATCTGGTCTTCCTCTTCACTGGACTGGACAACTACGTCCATCTGGAAATTTTTTCTCTAGATTAGGATCATTCCTAGTATGTTTGAGAAACAGGGCACCAGACATTTACCACTTTGGTAGTTGATCGCTTCAGGGAAGATCTTTTCTAGATGCAGAAGGCCGTCAGACATTAAGTGTGCTTTTCTCTGGCTGTTTCCGAAAGATCACCGTTAACTCGTAGCATGCACTTTAACGCTGAAATAGAGGCCTTCCACCTGATTGGTTGATGTTAAAGCGGTCGTGGACGGAAGCAGCCACATTCTCCTTCTGTTCGGCTCAAAACCCTAAAGACTTCGGTTTTAAGTGCCCTGGTAATAATGATAATGTAAACGCGACGTTTCTTTATTTTGTTAATCAAATACCTAGGTGTCTTTGAGTCACCGACTGGTGGTGAAAGTAGTGACGATTCTGCTGTTTGTTATTTACAGCTACTAAATTAAATTTTTTTCGGATGGAAAAGTATTCGTCGCGCAAGCAAGGCAATTCTTAGAAATTCAAGACTGTATCTAATGACAGCCTCGTTTTGATTTATAAAGGAGTAAAAACGAATTACTTAGCACATGTTCATCAGATTCACTACGTAACAACAAGTACTGCGTACAATCTTCAATTCTCCACATTGTCAAAATGGATAGATAGTCTTCTTTCGGTTTCACCAAGACCTGTGTATGACCCAAGTTTGATTTAACTTTAAACGTTATGTAAATAAGTCAAATAACATTTTCACTAAAGCTAAATAAGAACTTTCCCCCTTTGATTAATTTTCGGTAAAAGAGGCTAAAACATTGTGCAATACTGACTTATATTATCAGGAAAATAACTACAGTCGAACCTGTAGCTAGGAAGCGGTTACTCACGGGATGACTGTGAAATACGGGTTCCATAAAATAGGGCTATCGTAAAAAAAAAACGAAAACAACGCTACTTCATGCTATGATTCATACATGACTTCTTCATGTATGAAAACTCCCTTTAAAATACCGCTAACGTTGATTTCTGGAGATAAACATGGATCAAATTTTAGTTGAAAAATTGTTCATAGTTCCAACTGAGAGGTTCCACTCAGGTGGAAAACAATACAAACAGGCCGTTGAGACTCAGAAAAGGGTAAACGCGATCATTTAATAGAGGTGACCATAGATGGAACTGAAAATTGCTGTAACTACGTGGAAAAGTTTATTGACTTTGATAACCGACTCCTTGATACAGGGTGACCTAATACGGTACCGCTTGAGCGTACTGCATTGCCAAGGCCTTTGCGCAGCTGTTCATCTCACTAAGATCAAGCTGAGAGAGAGAGAGAGAGGTTAGTTTGTCGTGTACTCTCTTGAATACGCCTGGTACCCCTCGTTATTTACTGTTGGAGAATGAGTCACGTTCAACGCGCCATCGTGGACATAGGACGAAACAAATCTCTAAGTCTAGAGTGCTGATGATTAGCATGGAAAGTGACGCGTTGTGGATCAGTGCATTCTTTTCCCTATTGCTTATGGAGCTTTCTCAGTAATTACGCCGCAGCTGTATAGAAATTTTATGTTTTGGTAATCTGTTCTTCTTTATTTTACTCTTTTACTGTGGGATTATCCGACTCTTTCAAGTTAGAACATAATTTTCTGAGAGAAATCCCAGCTATTAATAAACTAATGCTATCGTAAATTTAAAAAAATCTCCGCCTTTTCATGTCTATTAAGAACGTCTTCTGAAACTAGTGATGAAATGGAGAATAACCCGTTGAATAGTTATGGGTGATAGAATGAAAAAAAAAAAAGCTTATGTCGCCTTAATCACGCAGAAAATTCTTTTGTAAGAATATCTCAGGGTTTTCACACACTTTCTAGCTATGCCATTAGACAGTCTACAGCTTACTTATTGCTTCAGTCAGTAGTGAATCTAAGGACGGGTAGATGACCAAGCCTTGATATTTATCCACTTACCCGAGGGACCTTTACTACCCCGACCCCACCCTCCACCGCATTTTCGGTCAGTTGTTGAAACATTTATAAACGCACTCACTCTGAGAGGTCATGGCACCCTCAGTTCAGACACTCCCATAGACAAAAGCCCTCATTTAAGAAATTACTATTTTTATTTATTCATTGTCCGAATTTATTCTTATATCTAGTTTAATTCATATCTACAAAGAGACCAAGTTACGGGTTCGTGGAGTTGGTAGGGGAGACACTTTTTTGTGATAATACCGAACCGCGAAAGTGACCAACTGGAAATGAGAACAAGATATACTGTTTTTGCGTAGCAACTTATAAAGAGTGACACGCAGAATAAAAATGCGTTCATGAAGGAGAACCAGAATTCTAGAATTTAGACCTTAGATAAGCACCGTCTTCCTTGTGGAGATTTTATCGCTGATGAATGGGAGTATCATTGTGCGCAATTTTAGTGAAGAGATAATCAGTTTTCGATCATAAACGTTTCTTATTGTGCTCTGCTAGGGGTGTATTCGCGACATTTTTACAACAGATTAATGATGGAAGATTTGATACATTCTGACACGTACTCATCTGACAACATCTTAAATCGTAGTTTAAGCTATAACTAGGCTTTGTTGTGAATTATTCACTGGATCATACATATCACAAATGTGCATACGTCATTGGTAAGGAATATTTGTTGCACCAATTTTTTATTCTTGTCAAATCCCAACTTCCAGTAACATAGCTATATAATCATGAACGTCGAAAGCTGTATGAAAACAATTTTGATCAGAAACTGGATAGCAACGGTAAAGTAACGAAAGTCCAAACAAGCTAAACGGGATCAGTTTGAACGACTTCTTTTTATTAGCTTTAACCCCTAAAGCTACATCTAATTATTTGAGTTTACTTTGGGCATTGCTCGAAGGCCATGTCACGGAGAGTTCAACGATTCCCTTGTCACTGCACCAAGATATATCCCATAGCTTTGATGTGCTTCTCTCCATTGTCCGATGTGTGACCTTTTAAAGCATCATTACCACACGTGTTTGAGTCGTCAACATATCCTCCCGTCCCAAAACCGATTCTGGAATCAGTGCTAACGCAGTCCTTTTCATTATTTCCAAGAATACCGATTCTTGCCCTGGAATAGCCTTTGGCACTTCCCACAGTACCGGTGGTTTTTCCCGCAGCATTAAAGCCTTCCTTGTTACAGTTGGCCTGTAAGGAGGATTGTGAACCGATCAACTTCTTCCACGCGTTGCGACCCGATGAGGTGGCGCGGTATTTTCCATCAGCGATTAGTGAGTGGAGAGAGCTTGCCTGCTTGTTGATAACAATAAACCTGAGCTGTTGGTTGATTTTCATACCAAGGCAGATCCTAGAGAAGGGTGTGCTCCAGTAGGTTGGTAATTTGGTCTCTTGTGAGTCAAAGCTAGTCTTTCCTCCGGGAAGGTTGTAGATATTTTTGTCGCTCCAAAACTTGGAATCATAATGAAAGGTTTTCTGAAATGTTGAGAAAAGGAAAGTTATAGTGGTGTATAGTTTACAACAGTGGTATTCCTTGATAGAAAAGTAGCATACCTTCTTTCCGTCAATCTTCATGGCCAAAGTCCATCCTCCATCTCCACATCCAAAGTTTCCCATGTGACAGTAAACAGGAACGTTTTGTGAACCAAATATTAGAGGGTAAACTTGACTCTTTGTCCACCTGTGGACAACAGAAATACAAGTGTTCACAAAATTCATTATGGCCATTGTAAAAAACGAAGAGGAAGCGCCTAAAAAAGATCAACTTTTCTTAAATATAACAATACAGGATATATTTGCATTAATTTTGTGATGATTGTATCACTATTCATTTACTTGTATTTTTCGTAGTGTTCCTTGCAAGAAGAGGCTGGTGAGATGAAAAGAACAGCGCAGGTTAATATTTTTAAAATAGCTTTTATTATTCTAAAACGCTTAATCCGACTTACGAAGAATAGAAAGCAGGGTTTTAAAACAAAAACGAGCACCGTTTGTGTGGCTTTTGAAACAATCGCACACGTTGTTTCAACCATCAAATCAATAGAGCGAGTTGCTACGCGAGATACCTAAAATATTTCAGTTTGGTTGGACTACCTGGCAGTGGAGGAGAACGATTCTTCATCGCTGCAATAAGACCTTCGAGTTTGGTTTGTAACATTTTCATTGCATCGTTGGCGTCCGAGTCTTGAATCATGTTACAGATAAGATTACATGCCATCATTTGGTCGTATGGCTTGGCGCAAGCTGGGGAAGAGGATTTGTCTCCATTTACGGTCAGCAAAAGGAACGCAGCGGTGATAAAAACTTGGAGGAGCTCACTCATTTTGACGAGTTGTCGTAGCTTTATGAAATTAAGAGAACTCTGTGAATCTTTTGTCTGTTATGAGTATCTAGCTTGTAACCTTGTTTATGTGTACGTGTCTCAGCAAATGTTTACCTGACTCGAAAATATTCTTGCTGTTGGCGGCTATCCAATAACCCTGTTCCGAGTTTTAAGCCCATGGTCAATGTTTAGCTTTCATAACTTTGGCGAAGTTTTTTTTCGTTCGATTTAGTTTTTTTTCCATCTTATTTCATAATGTACCAAAGTTTATTAACATGGCATGCTTATTGCCCGACTGGGTAAATTAAATAGTGTACTAGTAAGCCAGTGCAAAGAAAACAGAAAACCCGTTCCTTCTGAAAAAGTTTATTCCAGTTGCAATTTCGTATGCTCGGTTCAGTTTTGATCTTCATATCAAATCGATATCAGAGCTTTAAAGGGCTGAGCACGCAAAGGAAGCCTTTTTTAATTCCTGATGCGGATTGAAAGCTAATGTTTATTTTATTTTCATCGTCTCTTCTCAGCCTCGCCGATTGTGTTTCGTTATTTCTAAACTTAGTTCTGAGGGATGCCTATTAGCATGCGAAATGACTTGTTAGGGAGCAAAGTCATCGAAAAATATCTTTGGCATTGGACTCTGGAATATAATCCTTGAATCGTCAAGACTATTTCTTGCATGGTATTCATAAAATAGGCTCTTACTATTTACAATTTAAGTAAACTTAACCATTGATTTGCAAATGTATTCATCGACTTAGCGCCCGCTGAGTCGATGACAAGTAAATTTCTATAAGAAATGTACAGTACACGGCTAAGAAGCATATCCATATATATCATATGTGGGTTCTTGGGCTCTGCATAAGGGTAAAGTAGCCTCATGGTCTTGGGCATGCGACATCAGGCGAAATTTCAAACATAGGGCACATTTTTCTTAATTCAAACAAAACTTGGACAGTAAATAACACATCTGTTCCTCGCCGACGTGAATTGGTCTGTAAACTTATTTGTGTACATACAACTGTGACATTAATGCTATCAGCTGTTAGTAGCGTCTTAAAGTATTTCAGAACATTATAGAGTAGTCACTACAATATGCATTGAATAAAAAACTTTCATGTACTTGCTGATTGGGTTATCAGCCAAGTTCTCCATGTTTTTCTTGTTCTAAGTTTGCAGTTTCATCATGAAAACACTTTCAGTAAGACGCAAGCAGCGAGATTCTTGTAATCAGACTTCTTTACGGTAACCGAAAAAAAATCACAGGCGGGAATTGGCAGAAATTCTAATAGAAAAGTGGTGAGCAAGAATGAAAGAAACTTATTAACTACGTGGAGACAAAAAACACAAGATGAAGGTGTTACAGCGCCAAAATACAAACAAATGAACTCTGGCAAATATGAATAAATTGAATACTTTTATAGTCTTAAATTTATAGTCTTTTTTCCGTTCTGGCTCAAGATGATTGGGTAGGGAGAATTCGAAACATCTGTATTATAAACTGAAAGGACTGTCATGGATTTTATGGATTTTCTATCGAAAAGTGTTTTTTTTTTAAACCTTTTCTAGTTTTTAGATTAGGTTATGTAAACACAAATGCCCGTAATCTGTTCATGTTGTCCTTCAGCAGCATAATTAAAACAAAACTGTTCTAATGATTACATCCCTGATGATGCCGTTGATCGGCGAAAGCTTGGATTTTAGATTTTACTCATTAGAACAGTTTTACAAATGCCCGTATTTCCTGCTTCTGTTAAGATATTTTTCTGAGACACGCACGAATCTTAAAAGTCACAACGGTGTTTAACTAATAATCCCCAATTGATATTTTTCTTTATTCTCATCACTTCTATGCTTGATATTGTATTGATATTGTAAGGAGAAATTCTCTCTTGGGAGTTAAAGGGTTAATTAATCCGTCAATGCTCTAAAATGAATATTGGGGACAGTACGAGAGTCGGGACAAGAAGGTGGTGAAGCAAAAGATATGATGATTAGGACAATCAACAGCTCTGTGTGTCGGTTTTATAGCTTTGAACATTTCTGAGTTGTAATCTGCCAGACCACTACGTTTAATAATCAAATTTTGCCTAGTCTAAGATCGAAACCACCGACAAAAATGATTTCCATCTCTACTTTGAACTAAACAACACCTTCGCATGTTCTATTGTCATCATGGTTTCCTCTCGCTCCAAAGCCGATTCTAGAATCAGTGCTTGTGCAGTCTTTTCCATTATTTCCGAGAATACCAACTCTTGCTCTGGGCTGATCTTCATGCCGAGGCATATGTTGGGGAAGGGTGTGTTCCATTAGGTAATTTATTCTCCTGTCAGTCCGAGTCTTGAATTATGTTACAGGCCATCATTTGGTCGTATAGTTTGGTGAAAGCTAGGGAAGGGGATTTGTCGCTATTCACGGTCAGCAAAATGAATGTAGCAGTGATACAAACTTGACGGAATACAGTTGTCATAGTTTTATGCAAATAGGAAGACTTTGTGAATGTTCTGTCCAGCCCTCTTATGAGTAGCAAGCGTGTAACCGTGTCCCTGTGTATTGTGTCTCAGTAAATATTTACCGGACTCGAAAATATTCCTACTGTCGGTAGCAATCCAATAACCTTTGTTCTAAATTTAAGCCGCTGGCGAGATCTTGGCTTCTATAATTTTGAAGAGGTTATTTCTTTCGCTCAATTTTTCTTCAAGTTTCATATAGCAAGAATATATTTTATCGGTTGCTTATCCGTGGCTGAGTAAATTAGAGAATACTTTACTAGTAATTCAGTCTTAGGGTTGAGCAAACACACAACGTCTTACTCCTGCGGAAAAAAATGTGCCAAAAGCAATTTCGCTCGCCTCGCTCAGTTTTGATCGTAAATCAAATTTTTCTTAATCCCCGTCGATTTTAAAGTTTTCAACGACTGAATAAGCTAGGGAAGCCTGTTATCTGCTCTTTGTGCACACTGAAAATGCAACAGCGAAAAAATATAATAATTGCATTTCTGCCGTCTACTTTTAGCTCAGGAGATTTTGTCCTTTTAGTTTAAGCTTAGGTCTTAGGATTGGTTACTCGTATACGAGATGATCAAGCAGAGAGCCAGTTCGTCGAAACTTTTATCTGGTCTATGTATTATTTCTAAAAAATATATACATGTATGATTTATTTTGCAGTTTTCGTAAAATAGTTCATTACTATTTACAACTAAAGTAAACTTAGACCATTGATTTGCAAATTTACTTCTCGCTAAGCCGATGACACTTCAATTTCTCTTACAAAATCTACAGCGGACGGCTATGATGCGCATGCATATTATCTCTTGGTGGGCTCAGTGTTGGGGAAAACCAGAATACAGCAAGTGTCCTCATGGTCTTGACTAAGCGAAATCAGGCGAGGAATGACTTTTTTTTCCAAACAAAGTTTATCGGCCAGTAACTCATCTGTTTGTCGCAGCCGTGAACCAGTTTGTAAACTTACTGATGTAAATAGGAATGTGTCATTCTATCACGGTTGTCAGTGGCGCCTATGACACATTTTAGAGCATTTTAAATATACACAATACGAGTAAGTTGAAAGACTAGTTACTAAGACATGTATTTAGAAACCAAATTTGATTTACTGATCAAGAAACTTTCTCATTCCTTTTCATGCGCTAAGTTCTGGAGATTTTTCCACTTTCAGTTGGACGCAGCAAGTGACCTGTAACCAGACTTTTCTACGATAACCGAATAAATTCACAAAGGTGTCTCGCAGAAAGAAAAACAGAAGAGGAGTAAGCAAGGCTGAAAGAAACTCATTAACCATGCAGTAAGAGAAACAAGATATGTTTTGACAGCGCCGAAATACAAACAAATGAACAATTCCAAATATAAAATGCCCTTTGATTTACTTACAATTTCCTTTCCATTTCTCAAGACGCGCAAGTGCATCGGGAGAACGCGAAACATGGCTGCAGAAAAAATAGGGGCAGCCATGGATTTAACGGAGTTACTATTGGAAATTCTGTTAACGCTGTAAGTGTCAGCGCAGAATAACTCATGACTCATCTTTACTGCTCTGTTCGGATATTTCTCAAGACACCCGCGAATCTAAAACGTCACAGCCGCTTACTCTCGTCTGAACACTTTTACTGACTTATGATAGCCCGTGTAAGATTTCGGTTATTGCATTAAGATTGAAAGGCAGAATATTTTAGGATATTTCTGTTAATTAACTGGCAAAAAAACAAATAAAAATCAGCAAAACGGACACGTTTGTGTTAGCAGGCCATAAAAATTATGACGGCGTTCCACACGCTCTTGGAACCCACAAACACTGCTGGATTTTGTTGAACCGCTCCTCATGGTTGCAAAATTGGTCCGGATACGTTTCTTTGGTAATCAAAGATCACAATGCATTTGCTTCAATCAAGGGGATTCTTAATAGAAGGAAACGTTGGGGAGTTTTGGAGAAACATCTTATACTCTTTTGATAAATTGCAAAAGGGGCTTAAAAGGGTCAGTTCTTCCTCTTCCGTCAACATCATCTCAAATCGTAGTTTAGGATGACATTAGGCTTTTTTGTGAATTATTCACTGGATCATATCACAAAAGTGTTTACGTCATTGACAAGGAATATTCTTTTTGCGCCAATTTTTTTAATTCATGTCAAATCCCAACCTCCAGTAACACAGCTATATAGTCATGACCGTCAAAAATTGTTGGAAAAGAATTTGATCAGAA